CGCGGTCATAAACGAAAAACACAATGCACATCCTCCGTCTCTGTCTCTCTCACACATGCACGCGCATGCTGGCGCATACTTCCACTCTCTCACACTCACACACGCGCGCGCGCGCGTGTGTGGACGGAGTGGCGGCTCGCATAGCACAGCTTGCCAAACAACTATACCCGCCGCTTTCTCTGGGCGGCGCACCACGCCGCACCACCGCCGGGCCGCGATGGGGCCGCGCGACTTCCACCACTTTGTCTCCGACGTCGTCGTTGTCGTCATCGTCGTCATCGAGCTGCGTCGCGGCCGCCGACAGTGTCGCTTCATTGGAGGCCCCGCTCTTCGCTTGCTCCTCCGCGTTATCATCACGGCCATTGTGGGCGTTCCCTGAACGGCGCGGGTCGGGACACATTGCGCACACTGCCCTTACCCCTTCCGACGAGCAACAAGGCTCGGTGCCGCTCGGTGCGCAGTGCTGTACCACATCCGGTCGGCGCAAGGCGCGGCAAGGCGGCGCGGCAAGGCGGCGCGGCAAGGCGCGCGGCAGGGGGCGCGGCAAGGCGGCGCGGCAAGGGCGGCGGCGGCGGCAAGGCGGCGCGGCAAGGCGGCGCGGCAAGGCGGCGCGGCAAGGCGGCGCGGCAAGGCGGCGCGGCAAGGCGGCGCGGCAAGGCGGCGCGGCAAGGCGGCGCGGCAAGGCGGCGCGGCAAGGGGGCGGCAAGCGGCGCGGCAAGGCGGCGCGGCAAGGCGGGCGCAAGGCGCGCGGCAAGGCGGCGCGGCAAGGCGGCGCGGCAAGGCGGCGCGGCAAGGCGGCGCGGCAAGGCGGCGCGGCAAGGCGGCGCGGCAAGGCGGCGCGGCAAGGCGGCGCGGCAAGGCGGCGCGGCAAGGCGGCGCGGCAAGGCGGCGCGGCAAGGCGGCGCGGCAAGGCGGCGCGGCAAGGCGGCGCGGCAAGGCGGCGCGGCAAGGCGGCGCGGCAAGGCGGCGCGGCAAGGCGGCGCGGCAAGGCGGCGCGGCAAGGCGGCGCGGCAAGGCGGCGCGGCAAGGCGGCGCGGCAAGGCGGCGCGGCAAGGCGGCGCGGCAAGGCGGCGCGGCAAGGCGCGGCGGCGGCGCGGCAAGGCGGCGCGGCAAGGCGGCGCGGCAAGGCGGCGCGGCAAGGCGGCGCGGCAAGGGCGCGGCAAGGCGGCGCGGCAAGGCGGCGCGGCAAGGCGGCGCGGCAAGGCGGCGCGGCAAGGCGGCGCGGCAAGGCGGCGCGGCAAGGCGGCGCGGCAAGGCGGCGCGGCAAGGCGGCGCGGCAAGGCGGCGCGGCAAGGCGGCGGCAGGCGGCGCGGCAAGGCGGCGCGGCAAGGCGGCGCGGCGGTGCATCGATAAAGTGTCATTCCCGCTGCCGCGCCGCGCTGCCTGGCGCTGGCTGCTGCTCGCCCGGCCAGGGCCCGGCCGGCTCCAAATGAATGGCGCCAGAAGGGGCTCGCGGCGGGCGGGGCGGGGCGGGGCGGGGCGGGGCGGGGCGGGGCGGGGCGGGGCGGGGCGGGGCGGGGCGGGGCGGGGCGGGGCGGGGCGGGGCGGGTGGGGCGGGCGGGGCGCGCTCTCGTGAATGGCCGCCCCGCCCCGCCCCGCCACGGCACAGGTACACCTTGTTGATATAGGTCAGCGCGGTGCCGGGAACGCAGCGCCACTCTCGATAAGGTATAACACCGCAGAGCCAGGTCGCCACTCGCTTCCGTCCCGAGGCCTGCTCGGCCTGCACGGCCCTCTGCTGCACCAGGCCGATGACGTCCAGTCCCGGTCGTGTGCGGCGCCGCGAAGCTCCGCGAAGGCACGCCAGAGGCCCCATCAAACAGCCCCCTTCCCCGGCCTCCTTGTCGACAAGACTAGGAAGCAGTACAAGGGAGGATCCTCCCCCGCCGACGATGGAGCGTAAGCTGCCGGCTGATTCCGGACACTGCTTCGTCGCCCTTTCTCTCCCGCAGTCCCATACGGCGCCCGAGTGCGAGAGAGACAGCTGCTGACGCATTGTTCGCTTCGGAATGGGCCAGAAGGCTTGCCAGCAGGTGCGGGGCCTGGGGCTGGGGGTGGGGGTCGACGGCTGGGGCCGAGAGGGTGCTGGCGCCAAGTGAACCCGCCGCACTGCGGGCCGTAGAAACAACGCCCTGCTCGATTCCGTCCGAACAGCACACCCTCGCACTCATACGGAGCACCCCATGAGTGCGAGAGAGACAGAGCGACGACTACGGCTATGAGTGGAATCAGTCAGTGCAGCAGGTCCTCGACGTGTGGGGCGGTGGGGTTGCGATGCCGTTCGCCGTTTGCATTGGTAATGGGGATCAGACACTGCAGTCGCTTGCCGCTGCAGCCCCGCCGCGCCTTGTATTTTGTATTGCCGGCCGCGCCGTGGGAGCATGCCCAAGTGCCACGGCATTGTGACGGACAGACAGACGGACGGACGGACGGACGCAATCCCCCGCGCGACGCGTCGCGACCTGAGCCAAGTTCGTGTGTCGCCAATTTCACCCCCTTTTCCACGGTGGCCGCGTGGCCGTTCGCTCGGGCTGCCTCTCGCGCCAACAGTGTGAGGGCGCGGTGTCAAGCCTCACCTCCACACTCCACACGCCGCAGGGCGCGGCAGTCACCAGCCACGCGCGGCGCGCGCCTCGCGAGGCTAGCGGGCTGGAGAGAAGGGCCAGTCGCGAGGCTACAGGGCTAGACGCCGGGCGGGAAGGGCCCCAAGGGCCCCGACGGGCCGGGGATCAAAGAGCTGGTTGAGCCGACCGACTGCTGTGACTGCGGTCAACCTGACGCGGCGAGGCTGCATTCCTAACGGAGCGCACTGCCCCGCTCCCCCCCCCCTCTCTCTCCTGTTTGGAAAGGGACGTCTGCTACTGCACCGAGCAGTACCGAATACACTGGCAACTTCGTCTGCGGCGTCGCCGGCGGCACGACAGTGCACTGCATGATGCGCTCGCGGGACGCGAGGCGCCAGTGCCCCCCCCCCTTTCCCCCGGCGTCCCGTTGGCGTTCGGGAAGTGAGACGTTAGCGGTAACGTCATTGTTATACCTTATTTTAAGAGCCCTGTTACGTTGGCCGCGGCCGCGCGTGCCTCTGGCCTGGTGGCCTCCACGTCGGCGATGTGAACTTCGCACGCCCCTCCCTCCGTTTTTACACCCGGTGATGTGACGTCACAGGTGTGATCGCTCACGCTCACCCGGATGCGCGGAGTGACATGTCGCGACGCGGGGGGAGGGGCAGGGGGGATGGTCTTCGCGCGCGCGACGCGAACCGCCGCCGGCCAAACGATCAGCGATTATCCATCCGAGGGTCCAACAGGAAACGCAGTGGCTGCCGCATGTCGAACAGATGCCTCCGCGCGCCGCCGGGACGCGGTGCACGCGGTGCCGGCTCGGCGGTGACGTCATGGCGAGGCCGGCGAGGGAATCACCGCCGTGCGTGGAGTGGCCGGGAGCGGTCGCGGGAGTAAATAGGCGTGAAAAAGGAACAAGGCGGCATGAAGACGGGCGAACCAATCTCTTCCCGAGCTGCGGCGGCTGCCGCGTCGCCGCCGACGACGTCGCGATGGTCTCGGACCGCTGCGGACGCCGAGGGAAGGCCCAGCACCCGTTTCCTGAACGGCACGACGCCGCTTGCACAACCCCGTGCCGGTTATGTCACGCACGGCCGCGTGGTCCATCCATGGGCGGGTAGGCAACAGGCAAGCCAGCCCGGCCCCGGGTCGGCGGCGCGGCAACCAGCACGGCCACCACGACCACGGCCTGCAGCGCGCGGGGCAGACCAGGCAGACCCAGACCGCGATGTGCAGCACCGCGCACGCGCCACAGGAAGCGGCTCAGTGACCTTGATGTGGCGCGGCGCGGCCACACACGGACCCAGCACCCTTCTGAGTTATGACCCAATGAAGCCCGCGAGGGGGAAGGGGAAGGGGGCTTTCAGCGAGGGCCTTGGGCGTGTACACGCTAACTACATCGACCAGGCCACACCGGCAGCATTTGACTTTTTAATTCAGGCCGCGCTTTTTCGTCGAAAAGCATCCAAAAGGAAAACACGCAGGAGTCTGCTTTACCTTCCGAGTGTTTGCTGCTAGCCCCCAACAAAATTGAGCTTCTTGGCTCTGTTTCCCCCTCTTAAAAGAGCTGGATGTGCTCGAGTGTGCCATCGCCATCGCCGTAGGCGTGCAACGTGCCAGGAAGCTGGCCGGGTCCTGGGCAGCCCTGGGCGGGCTAGGCTCTGTAAACACCGCCGCGAGGAGAGCAAACACCTGCCCGCGGACGCGGACTGACTCCGAGCGGAGGGGGCTGTCCCGTCGCCGTCTCGCTCGCACTCGCACGCGACGCCCCACGCGTGCGAGAGAAAGGGAAAGGCCTGTCATTCGGAATCAGCCTGCTGCCTTGCCACTCCCCTTTCTCCATCCTGCCGGATGCGGCGCGGCGGCGCCTAGAAGGACCGCCAGGACATTCCCTCGCCGACTTGCTTGCTGCCAAGCGGCGTCTCGGATTTTCGAATTTTCGCTTCGCAGTCTGGCTGCTGAGTGCTGAGCATTGCCCGGCGACCCGTTCGGTAAGTCGGGCGCTTCACTGGACCCTGCCTCTTTCCCCCTCCCTCCCCCGCGGCTGTCCGGTCCGCCGCCGGCCCCGGCACTCAGCGAGTGTGTGTGAATGTGTCCCTCACCTCGTCCGGAACTCTAGCGCTCCCGGCTGTCACGAGCATGCCGGTGCCGTTTCGAACATTTCCGTCGTCAACTTTTGCTACAGTGGAATCATGGTTAACTTGAAGTTCATACCAGGCCCACAAGTGCTATATGAACACGTTTTGCATACTTAATGGGACAAAATTGAATGTTTTTTAAAAATTCCATCAGGAGTATTTCCTGGAATGTTTGGGGATCTGATCAGAAATTAATGAGTGCTAAGTAGTAATGTAATTATGGAATATTTTTTTAAATGTGTAACTTGATGATAAATTTTTTTACAAATTTTGTTAAGAATGGAGAAACAAAGCACTGAAGTGAATAATTATTACATTTTATTAGACATACCGTAACCAATACATTTTACATCCTACAACTTTCATTTCCGTAAATGAAGAAAACCTTTAATACTAAACATGTGAAGGCACCATGTGGAAGTAAGACTTAGTATAATGCAATAATCAATTTACAAAAATCTCTAGCAGTCTCATTCATGACATTCTAAATTGATGCACCTGCACCATCACTGAGTTGTTATCCTTGGACAGTGCCTATTGCTTTTACTGAATGCTAGAACAATCTTAAATTAAATGCACTTTATTCCCAAGTTTGCAACTTAATGAAAGCTCAGAAAGTAAATGAAATATGGCAGCACGGTTTCTCACAAACATAAGTAGCTCTCACAGCCGAGCCAAGCCCAGCTCAAACATGCATTCACACTCAACACATATACAAACAGTAAACGGAATGACAAACCTTGCTTTCTGAATGATATCACAAGCTCTAAAAACACTGTAAACTCAACAGAAAACAAGACAGCAACACTTGACCTTTACTCCACAGTAGTTATTAGATTGTGCTGCAGCAAATAAAAAGAAATCTGCTCCTTCCATGATAAGGTACGGTAATCAACAATTCTTAATCTTTAACCATGACACTAACAAATAACAAGTGACAGGAGAGGGCGCAATAAACAATTTAAGGGCAATGATTCAGTTATCAACATGTTAAAATTACAATTGGTTGTATACGTAATTATATATAAATATATATAAATGAATAAGCAATACTTTTAACTTCAATGGGGTGGGTTTTTGTAACAATGATGAAACCAAATAAAATAAAACAGGGTATGCTGAGGATAGCAAACTATTTTTGTCTGCACTTGGTGAATCTAGCATGGGTTGGATTTTAAAAAAATAGATACATATCAATAAAAGTCTGAGAATGTAAAGGACATTTTATTTCTATACCCAGAGTGACATGAAAGGTCTGAAACATGTTAGAAGTCTATAGAGCATTAATTTGACACTTCATAAATGCTCAGTAAAAATAATACTGATCTAGGACCTAATCAAAAACGAATAAGGCTAGAATTAAACAGAAACCTGAGAAAGGTAAAAATGCTTCAAAAATACCAAACCCTGTCTCCAACCGATCAATCTGGAAAGAAACAGTCAAGAAGAAACCAACTAAAAAGAAACCCTGCCTTAATCCAGTATGTCAAGGGATTTCAGTAGTACAGTCGGTCAAAATTACTATCAAACACAGATACAAATACTCAGTACAGATTTAGTAAAACAGTCACAGGAAAGCAGGAATGGAACATCTTCTGACCCTATCTTCTGACTAAAGAACCAATGCCAATGCCAAACTGAATAGAAAAAGGTTACCCTGAAGTGCAAATTCCCCACATGCAATGCTCACATAATTGAGCCATAAAGAAATGGACGGCTGCATACAATACATCTATGTCTCTCAATTTTGGCAGGCTTAAATTACGTGCCTAGCTGCACTCAAAAGCTCACAAACAGACTGGCAAGTACAAATATTGTCTTCTTCACTACATGAACTTTAGTATCATACAGATATGTGAACTGGAAATATTACCTACAAAAAAAAAAATAGGCACATCTGTAAACAGAACAGTTATCAGACATACAAGATATTAAAAAAATAATGAGCTGTACAAATGTATCACACCTGATTACAAGGCTGGCTGAGTACTGTGGGCCTTAACTGCTCTTCAGAGCCTCAGTCATGGAAAAGATGACATTCTCACTTAAAAATCACTTCCCCTAAAATCCACACTCTTGGCAGCCCCCTACTGTTGCAAATTCATAACATATCCTTTCACAAATGCACTCACACTTGCACAATCACTCGCTCTCAAACACGGCAGAGAAGAAAAGAGGGGAAGAGAATGAGTTTGAAGAGTTTTTCTAACAAGGATTTGTCCATCTCAGGAGGAATCCCACAGATGAAGGGAAATTACATGTTTTCAAACTGATCCACACGGCGCTTGGTGTTGCCCTTGCGAATTTCACGAAGGGTCTTGTACTTGTCACGCCCTTGACGGACGTTTTCACGATGAATCTTGTCCATGGTTGTTTCCTTGGTCTCATCTCGTGTCTGAGCAAGATCTTCCTTCAAACTCTTGAGTTGGTTCTGAAGTCTCTCATTACGCTCAGCCAGTGTGCGCCTCTCCTCGATGGGGTCAACGATATCTGAGTCAGTGGCCAGATCACGGCTGACATCTCCATTGCTCATCTCATCATTTTCATCATCATCATCATGCTCATTCTCTTGAACATGGAGTTGCTTGGGTGTGGCAGCAGCAGCCAAAGCTTGAGTGGCAGCCTCTTGCTTTTGTCTGGCAAGCTCCACCTCTTCCTGAAGGCGCCTAGTTTCCTCATCCTTGGCCTGCACCTCGTCCTGAATGCGCATGACCTCCATCTGCTTGGTTTGGATTTCTTCCTCCAGCTTGGCTCGTTCAGCAGCTTCCATGTTTTTGCTCTCTTCCAAGCGCTCCATCATAGCCTGCAATTCATTCTGACGGGTTTCAAGCTCATCCTTGGCAATCTGCAACTGGCGTAACTGCTCTTCAAGACGGCGAATGATATCTTGAGCACTGGCTAATTCCTGCTGGCGTCTTTCAATTTCTTCCTGCATGGAACGGAGCCTCTCCTCATACTCCTGTTGTTTCTTCTCAGCCTTTTCTCGAGCAGCGATCTCCATTTGGAGTTTTTCCCTCTGTTGTTGCATGGCTTGCTTTTCTTCTCTAGCCTGGGTCTTCATTTGTTGCACATCAATAGTGTCTGGTTTGCGCCGCCGCATAAACAATTCATGATTACCCATACACAATGCAAGGATACGCTTGTTAATGCGAACTCGAGGGGCAAAGAACACTACATCCTGAGCCTTCTTGTCAATGGGTTTGATGATGAATTTCCGGTCATTGAATGAAATATTACTGATTTCAGCCCAAGGGAAACCAATCTTTGGTGTGAGCTTATTATCTTTAGCATAGATGTTCAAACCTAGAGCATCAACACCCAGCCATAGGTCAGTGCCTTTCTTGTTGCGAATCTCGAAGTAGTTGATGCCATACATATCCAGATCCTGGGCGATTTTCAGATATTCCATCATAGCATCTTCTCGGGGCATGCCTTTGTGTTCTGTCCACCAGCGAATGATACGGACCTCCCATTGATCCTTGGACATTTGATGTTGGTCGAAGACTCGCTGAGGCAGCAAGCGATCTCTGGCGAGGAAGCCCGGTTCATGAATTGACGAGTTGTAGTCTCCATGTCTTGCTTGAACGGCATAAGATGCCAAAAGCACTGATGTTTCAGCCGGACAAAATATTTCATCTGATAAGATGGCATTCTTCACTTGTAGGTAGAAAAGTCTCAGAGTAATGTCCTGAATAAGTTCTTGTCCTACATCTTCAGGATAGAATTTGGCTCGGAACTTGAACTGCAGGGGGTTTTCCTTCTTAACATCCTGGCTGGTGACTTTCTTGTACAATTTGATCCACGTCAAGTCACCCTTGCTGTCGGTGTACTGGAGGCCGAAGAACCACACCTCACGGAGGCCGATTGTTTTAACCACTTGATCGAAAAGTTGCTTGCCGGTGGTGGTCTGCTGGATAGCGAACTCCAGCTCCGCATCCATCGTCGTCACCCGCACGTTCATTTGCTTCGGCATTTTGATAGATTTTATCAACACTTGCACAGATCACAATCCACTGACTCGACTCGCGTAAGGCCGACTCTCGAGCCGCCGCCTGCCGCCCCGCACAGACAGGCCTACGCCGGACTTTCGTACACGTCACAGCACTGCACAAACAGGTTCATGCACTTGACCAGCGCGACGGACGGAACGCGCCTAACGCAAACTGGCGGATCGGTCCTCAAGTCTTTCTAAGCCGGAGATATCGAACTTGTCAACGCCAAGCGGCCATCCCGTGACTTCTCTCGTTAACGGGTGTGCCTGTGCCCGCCGCCTACGTCCCTACGGTACGTTACGTCACGCGCGTTACAGGAACAAGAACAAGGTGAAACGGCGGTTTTCGATGACGATGTGGCGTCGCGGGTTAACCAACGCCGTTTGACTCGAGCGTGCAACAGGTTGTTGGGGCAGTCCTCGACAAAGTCGGGAAGGACCCTCGCAGACAAAGACGGCAATTGAGGCCGTTCTTAGAGATGACTTGAAGCGCCCGTGTGTTATCTAGAAGGGTTCTAAAAGCGCTTGAATAATGGGAAAACTGTGCCAGAATTTTCTTTAAGTTGTCATCTTGAACCACCGCCTTCTGGAAAGATGCTCAACTTTCTCAGATAGTATCAAATCAGCAACTAATTTCAGAATACGGGCGTATCTTACGGTTTCAATCAATAAATTATTAATCATAAATAACAGAAATTAATCTTGATCATGCCATTCAGTCAATATCTCCAAAGAAATATCAGAGATAAATGCTTACTTTTTCGACGTAAGTCTTTTGCATGACTTGTATTGTGGGTGAAAGTGAACGCGGAAAGTTTGAAATGCAGATCTGTCATCTCCACACAATATTGGCAAAACTAGATTCAAGGCACAGTAGGAAACATTTATTGCGCCTTTCAGGGCTACCTTTTCTCAGAAAGAACGTTTTGAATACAACCATTTTAGAATAATAAGATGAGAGTGAGAGGCATGTGTCTGTAAATGAGAAATTGCTTTTCATAACAGTGCTATGAAAAATTACGTGTTGCTAAAGAAACTACAAATCAAAACACGAGTTGTCGAGGTTATATTTACTATTTACTTTCAGTACAGGTGTTTTCTCATGATCAACACGCTATCACCTCAGACGGAATGTCAACTAGTCAATCCCCTCATCCCAATCGCTCGACCCCTAAACGTTCCTCTGGTGAAAGTAAGTCTTATCTCCTGGTATTCTATAATAACATTCCTCTTTGTTGTACCTTCATCATTCCTATGTGTTTTCAGTTCACAAAGGTGCCTCTTCCGGCATATCGTCCAAAGTGAAAGAATCTGCCGCTGAGCTTATTAATTTTCAACAAGACTGGGAACGGCTTCATACTACAGGCGTAGCTGTTCTCAACAGCATAAAAATTTTAAAACTGGACGCCTTGTAAGTATGCTTTAAGAGGGTCGCAGCTCCTATAGTTTCTATGTTTTTTATATCAGCATGAGGGGTGCGTCTAATTTCAATGCTTCTGTCCTTCCCTTCACTTTATTTAAAAAACACAGCCGGCGTAACAGTACTGAACAGGTATATCCACAAGGATTGCAGGAAAGATGTGACCAACTTGAAATTGTTGTGAACCAAATGGTATTTTCCTTTGTTGTATTAGCTTATTGTATGTTTGGTAAAAAAAATTCCTAACTGTGGCTTCCCTTATCAGGAATCATCTCTGAAAAATCTAGAAATTTTAGTCCAACAATTTGGTGCTTTGGTAGAACTTGATATTCTTCAAGGTGGAGGTAACGGTCCAGTATTTCTATCCTGGCCCACTGAAAAGTTCAGTGAGTAAATATGACTTGTTGCATTAGTTAGTCTTATGTGACTGTCAATAACTTTTTCTTGTCTCTTTTGTTAACATACAGACCAAGCATTTCAAGACATATTTAAAGCTTATTCCAAAGAATTGTCTTTGAAAAAAGCCATTAAGGAAGATGTTGCCCATTGCTCAACTAAAGAAAGCTTGATCTACCACATCACATGCTGGACTTCACAGCCCTTCATAGACAATACCTGTCACCTTCTTCTAGTTAGTCTTTTTTGTGAAACAGGTTTAACATAGAAGGTCAGTCAGGTAGGATCTAATTATTACTTGGAGTTTCTGTGTGTGTAAAAAGCGTATTTTCTTCAAATAAAATGGTAGAATAAGTAATCAATTAGCTTTTTTATTTTATTTCTTCGAAATTTTATTAGATAAATGTCTAAAAATACAATAGTTTAAAAAAGAAACAAAAACAACAGACAATAATTACTTAAGGATCAAAGCCAGGAAGTTTTTTGCTTAGTAAATTCAAGACTCGCTCAGATAAACTCTAGAGAAAGCTACTACACTAGGGTATCAGACCATAAAGACATTCTTATAGCATAATTTGTAGTTTCCCCTTGGTGTTATCATGTAACTACACATTGCTTCATTGAAATACTCTCAGTCTTAGTCCTCCTTCAAGGGTAAGAAGGGCATTCATTCATTCAATGAGGCTCAAGTTCAAATAAAGCTATACATACACACGCAAACAAAAATTAAGTCATTCTCCTTCAAAATGCCCTTCCCTTGGAAAATACTGCCAATGTTCTGTGAAAAGACACAGGACATCTTGATCAACAAAAATGTTAATGATCAACACATTAATGATTAAGTAGAAAGCTCAGAAAGACAAAATTATATTTTTGCAAACAAAAGAGGAGTTTGTTTGTGAAGGGGACGACTTTAAAGAACTAGATTTAAAAGCCATGATGCGTACTTACAATAACAAAATTAAAACTACTTTCTGTTAATGTAAGAAAATCTAAACCATATAAAATCCTAACGAATAAAATACAACAAAACAAACAGTAAATGTGACTGTAACTTCTCACATTTTAAAACCAGTAGAATTCAGTATGGGGGCTTCTGAGCAAAGCTAACTCATGAAAGGTGGCACATTGTCAATACTGAAACTGAGCTCTACATTATTATTTATTAATAGAAGAGGAGAAAAAAATCACAGATGGTCAGTACCTCAATAAAAGTAAATCACAAGTTCCCACAAACATTCAAATTTCCCCTAGCAACCTGATTGTAATCATAAATATGTTTCTTACGAACTACTGTTCCTATTCATGCCCAATTCCTGTGTGAAGGCCTCAAAGTCTAAATCTAAGCCATCATCAAGTCCGCTATCAAGTTCTAAATAGCTTCTCTGCAACCTCTGAGCAGTTGAAATAGAGGTTGTCTTATCATTTGTTACAGCTGGTGTGAAAGTAGAAATAAATTTAGGAGGTGGCCGAGGTGAATCAGTCGTTCCACTTTCCAGCTGCAGCATTGAACTATTTTTCATAACTCCATCATCAAAGGAAGACACTGGTGCACTTGCAGAACTACATGATTGAGTGAGAGGTGTTTCAAACGAACTTAAGCTTTCTAGGAAGCTGTCCTCAGAGTGAGGTACATTTGAAGACTGTGACTGAAGAGCATCAAAAGTACTCAGAGAAGATAGGCCTATTTCAAAACTACCCAGCATGTTTTGACTAGTTACTGGTTCTAAATTTAATTCATTCGAAGGTTCAGAATTCACATTGTGAGTACCAGTTGAAGACAGCGAAGGTATGGAGTAAGAACTAATCAAGTCCATGCTAGACACACTTACGGCTGGCTTGTTTTCTGTTATGTTATTAGATATCACAGTGGAATTGCTAACTGATATGGAGTTCTCAACCCCTTGAAAGCCTGTTATGAGATGGAGTCCTGATTGCTCCCCATTTAAACTAGATGTATTCAAACCACTCTGCAGCGGAACTGCAAAGTTCATATTATCACTTAAGTTTTTCAGCCGCTCATTGACAATATCATCCACAACCTGAAGGCCAGCATCTTGGTCTCGCTTGCTGTCAGTGGAGAGATCAGGGTCCTCACTTCCGCAAATCATGTCATCACTGGAGTTCAAGAAAGGCATATCCTCATCAGAAAGCTTTGTCAGCAACACCTTGTCCGGATCAACTGGTTTAACCATCAGTGATAGAGATGAGATATCTTCAGAGGATACTCCTGAACCTGGAACTGTCAATTTAAAATGTTCATTTTCCAAGTGAAACAAAAGGCAGAAATAAATTTGGAACATAAGAGAATAACTAACACACCTTCATGATTCAAATTTAATCTTATGTCAACAGCTTCACTGAGATTCCTGGATTTCTTTTCTGGAGGGGTGTCTGTATCACTGTAGCTTTTTTGTTTTAAGTTGGCAGACACCAATTCCATTCTCTTGAGTAAATGTTCCTCATTCACACGGTATACCCCACAGCTTACTCCAAGTAACCCAGAAACAGTTTTTTTATTTATCTGCAAACCAACATACAAAAATTAATGACCAAAAAAAAAAAAAAAAAACCATAAATTATAACCTTGGGACATACCTCTATGTGGTCCTTTTTGTCACCATGCATCATAGCTGGTTGAAATAATTCTGTGGCCAAAGATTGGAGTGTGTCTGCTAGGGAGCCAAGCTCCATCAACAACCACTGAACTCTATTTGAGGTGGAGCGGCGATGTAGGTCTTCAGACAAACTCTTGACTGGAATAGTAGGTTTGTCCAGAGAGTCCGCATTCACAGGTTTCCCTGATCCATTTTTATTGACTTCAATAATCTCTGCATTGTTGTCTTTCTCGATTCTCTTCTCATCTTCAGCCATGAGTCTTAATAGTAAAAGATCCCACAAAGAGGAGTAGCGGGCAATTAAAGGGCCAGCTACTTCAATAATTTCCGAAACATCACAAGCTTGAAGTGCCTGTAAAATACGTGATATTGAGTGACAAGAGTTGGACGAAATCGTATCACAGAAAAAGGGGGAAAAAAGGAAAAGATATTTACCAGCTTTAATTTACGCTTGCGCACCTCTGCCCGCTCTTTTTCTAACTGACTAGAACTCTGGCTTCTTTTCTTTCCCTTGGCTACATTAGATTTAGATATGGAGGCTTTGGCCTCTGCTTCTCCAGATGTCTCTATTTTTTTAAAGGCAAACGGAATGAATACTCTACGAATACATATCTCATTTTATATTGATATTCTAGATGTGCAGTACGCATACCTTCATTTGTAGCACCTCCAGGTGTTGAGGCAAATAGTTGCTTTTTAAATTCTTCAAAACATCCATGGTCTGGATGTTGCTGGAAATGTTTTTCCATTCGGCCAAGGCCAAGATACAATTTTTGACAAGTGGGACAGCTAAAGCGTGATATTTTCTTTTTCACTTTGCAAAACAATAAACAATGATAATCAGAAATTTTTAAAACTTGTTAAAACTACAAAATTAATTTAGATAATATAAGTAATACCTGGTAAAAGTTCAACTTCAACCTCCTTCTGGGGAGGTGTCTCAACTGGCTGTTCTGGGTTACTGTAGTCTGAGTAGCCACCATCAGAATCATTTCCATCTCGCTCTTTAAAATCTGTGTAGTGCAAGCGTTTGAAATCTTTCATCATGTGCTTAGGGGGGCGGATTACGCGACCAGATCTTGTTCTAGACCCGGAAGCTTTCTTCTTGTCAATCTAATTAAACAATAGTTTAGTAAAAAAGATGGCAAAGGAAGATGTATAGTGCACAAAAGCAAAGTAAATATACACACCTTAGGTGCCTCCTCTGCAGGTGTACTATCATCTTTTGATTCAACTTCCTTTCCATTGTCAGCTACTTGTAAGGTAGCAGGATCTTCAGATACGAAGCCTCTTTCTGCTTTCAGTGAGCTCCTATCAGTGCCTGGTTGCTTTGAACGCTTGCTCCTAACAGGTCGACCACGCCTACCCTTGACGCGACTAGAACTTTTAGCTGACATGCTACCAGGGCCTCCGGTAGGAGATGAGGGTTGCTGGAGATCAACATCCTCAGGGTATACTACCCTATAGCAACATGAAAAAAAGAAAAAGAAGAAAAAATTATTATTCTATTACAGATTACCTCAGGCAGAATGCAATTATTACAGTATTACAATAAGTGTACCTGTACACAATTCGAGTCTTTGTTTGTTCATCAAACAGGACATTTTTGGTCTCAGTGGAATTTGAACTAAGGTGCTTTTGCTGCAATACAGTGGCAATTTGACGAAGTTGGGCCTGACTCAGAGCTTGCATGCTGAAAGAATAAACATGGCAATTGAATGAATTGTGAACTATGACAGATTGGAACTGCATGTACACAGAAATGACAAATCTTTTACCTATGAAATGTCTGTCCTTGCTGAACTAGCTGGATAGGATTTTCACTTGATCCTAAAGGCTTTGTTGAATTAGAATTGGATGAAGGTGTTCTATTATTTAGTAAAAGAGACTTTGAACTGGATGCGGTCCCCAAGTTTGGTTGAGTTGTGATTGGTGCAACAGAAGCCATTGCTGGTGTGTGTACAGATGAAGTGGCTGTCACAGCTGGACTTATTACATTGGTAGATAAGTGTTGTTTTTTTAATGCTGTTATAGTCTTTACACCTGAGTTTGACATTCCTTTTGGTGCTGGTAAAAGAGTTGGCAACCTGAAACAGCAAAACAAATTTTTAATTTTATTTTTTTAAATTATTGAAACTGCCAGGTAAGTATGTAGCAGGAAAATGGGTGTAAACTTACTTATCTATTCTAGGTGCAATATTCCTGTTATTGCTTAAGAGTGCTACAGCTGCTGTGTTTTGAACATTCAAGAGTGCTGCAGAACTGGCGAGCTGTGAGTGCTGTTGGTTTACTGTAAGAGATTGTTGTGGTACAAGGGTGGTGAAGGGAGTTGAAGCACCTGAGGATATTACATTATTACGGTTGGTCACAATTTGATAAAACTTATTAGCAGTTGTAGAAGACAGATCACTTGATGATACAATGGGAGTTTGAGATTGCACTGAAGTTTCAGTTGGAATGGCAAGTGTGACTGAGATAGGTACAGATGAATTAGAAGCTGGAAGTATTATTTGCTTTGATAATGCTTCCAATGTGGAAATTGGTACTTGTATTGCATTTGAGTCATTGTTCAAAGTAACAGACGCAGTCAATCCAATGGACTCTGCAGGAATAGTTTGTGAGGACTGAAGAATATTCTGCTTCAAGTTGGCCTCTTTTAACTCTTCTTCAATGTCTAGGCCAGTCTTCGCGGAGCTATCTGGCTCCAAAATGTGATAATCCGTTCCCATGACTGTATCATTCTGATCTTTAAGTTTGACAGCGTAAGTCACTGTCCCATCAAGATCATACTGTTGCACAAGGGATAAAGAATGATTCAAACCATCGGATAGATATGAGGAAAGTGACGCTGGAAGAATCTGCAATGCTTCTGTGGTTTCGACAATATTGCCATCCGTGTCGATGATCCTCCCTTCAGACGTAACATTAGAACAAGCCACTCCTTGCAAAAGACCACCATTATTCAATGCAATCGAGCCATTGGTACCTCCTTGCTCTACGGCCAAGTGGTTTCCTTTGATGTCTTCGACCAACGTGCCATTGCTCAGCGACTCTGGGAAACTGTCGTTGGTGAATTGCAGGCCAAGTGATTGAGCCTCAGCGAGTGAAATCTTGATGGTGTGCGTCTGGCCGCCTTCTCCTTGGTAGATGGCCACAACTTCATTGTCATTGTTGACACCCGACACGGCCAGTGCATCCAGGCTAACCTCTTCGGCCGACTCGTCCTGGGTGGCGTCGTCGTCCTGGATGCCCGCCGCGCCCTGGAGGGCTTGCTGCAGCAGGTCCACCGGGATGTCGCCGGCATTCCCTTGGGGGTCGCCTTGCAGCAGAACCGGCAGCGACTGCGGGTCCACCAGAAGCACCCGAGTGGCTTCCGAGCACTCGTTGCTCGCGCTCGCTGCCATTCCGAATCCGGTTGCTTTTAAGTGAGCATGGCAGCACCGGACGGCCTGAGAAAACGCAAGACACTCGTCTCGGCAACCAGAATAGCTTTGGCTCTCTTGTAGCACATTCTAAGAGAATGCAGCAGACGCCAAAATGACACAAATCTCGAGCAAAGACAAACTTGATCACAAACCCAAAACAGAAAACAAAAGCAGCTGTCGATTGCCAACCAGCTATAAGCAGGAGATCTGCGAACAGACGACTAACTGTCAATAATGTCCTGCCAAATTTAAAGGGAAGGATTACATATCCTTTTTGGATAAGCACTGTGACAACAACATATAATTTTCAACTTTATAAAAAAAAATGTGGCGAAATATTAGTTTTAGCGTTGCAATTTTTCTAATGTGACAAAAACTACGTTCCTAAGGTACAGATTTATGTCGTTATGTTGGTAGTGGCAACGCGCGTAAATTTCATTCAGAACGCTGATGTTTCTTTGGGACAGTGAGAAGTTTAGAGAATATAGACAAACAGAGGCGTCTATCGAAGTAGACAATATGCAGGAATACTTTTTGGACGTTTAGATCCAGCGACGTTCAAGCTTTTGAAAATTCCTGTGCAGTAAAAACAGGAGAATGCTTCTGGGTCCCGGTGGTCCCGGCCAGCAGACAAGACTGACACTTTCAAGGCGGCGGTGTTGATTTGTTGGCCGCCATTTGCGGGTTGTTTACAACTTAATTTTTTTTCAAAATGGTTAAAAATCCAATCAAAGTATACGGGCGCATAAAACCAGTGCTAAACAAAAATCAGGCAGAGGTAAGTTAGTAATAATTCCAATCTAAATTTGCCTGCCAGAAATTTTTTTGAAAATTAATCAAGGGACAAACCTTTTATTGATTCTAGGAATATGAAATTAATGAAACAGCAGAAGATTTCGAAACGCTCACTTTCAATCTCAAGCCACATGGCATTTCCAGTACAAAACCAGAAACTGTTGTATATAGGTACTACTTGAAACTAATGAGGTAACATTGCTGAATTTCTGCAGACTTATATGATAATCCTCTATTTTCAGATTTCAAAAAGTATTTCATACATCGAGCCAGGAAGAAGTTTTCAACATAGTCGCTAAACCAGTGGTGGACAGGTGATTCGGTTGGTTCACTTCAAGGAACAAAACAATACATTGCACTGAAACATCAATTTGTCCTGTTACAGCGTGCTTGAAGGCTACAATGGTACCATCTTTGCGTACGGACAAGTAAGTACTCAGTAGGGCGAGTCCAGGCACACGCCACGCCAGGCGCGGATGCAGAATTTTGCTAAGGAGGGGGAAAGGATTGCTTTTTGCCGACGTTCAGGGGCAAAGCAGAGCGTTTTGCCTAGCTTTCAGGATAGTTACCCTCACTACCCCCGCCCTGGATCCGCACCTGTGGCACACGCGCGGTTGACCGTGCATTTCTGCAGACAGGTAGCGGCAAAACGTACAGCATGACGGGCGGCCTCTCCTGCTACGAAGATCGAGGCATCATTCCCCGAACGATCCAACACATCTTTCGGCATTTCCTGGACGTGAGGCACCGTCCTGGCTGACTGCCGTCCGCGCCCCTGCAGACTGACTCCGAGAGTCCCTTTCGTCGCTCCGTCTCTCTCGCATTCAAGGGGCGTCTCGAATAGGTGCGAGAGAGACGGAGCGACGAAAACGACTCTCGGAATCAGTCTGCAGCGCGACTGAACACTGACACGGCACGCCTTGCAGGTGGGCGTGACGCACAGCACCTACATCTCCTACCTGGAGATCTACAACGAGACTGGCTACGACCTCCTCAACACCAAGGTGTCCAAGCTGGACGAGCTGCCGTGAGTCGACTCGTTGCTCAAGCGCGTGGGGCGGGGGGAGCGAGTGAGCAGCCCATTTGGGAGCACCTCTCTCTCTCACACTCATGGGCTTGCATGGCCCTTCCCCTCCTCGGCGCACCAAGCTCTCGTAGGTTTGGGAGTAGCGAGTAACGCTCCGCGCGTCGACGGGATCCCCAGGAGGGTGCTGCTGATGGAGGACAACAGCGGCACCATGAACCTGCGCAACCTGAGCATGCACGCGGTGTCCAGCGAGGAGGAGGCCCTCAACTTCCTGTTCCTGGGCGACACCAATAGGTGAAGCATGTAAGCCAGCCGTCCTGCGCGGGCCGCAGGCCTGAGTCTCCAGACTCCGCGTCTCCCTGCGACCTGCGACCTGCGACGCAAGTCCAAGCGCCTGGCGCCTGCGGTGCTCGGGGTAGGCTGAGCCGCTCGGCTCGGCAGCGCGGCGCGTGGCCTACCCCGCGCACGGCAGGCGCTAGAGTGCCGGGCGTCCGGGCGCTGCCTGCCGCAGGATGATCTCGGAGACGCCGATGAACCCCTGCTCGTCGCGCTCGCACTGCGTGTTCACGGTGCACGTGGTGACGCGCAGCGCCAGCAGCTCCACCATCCGCCGCTCCAAGCTGCACCTCATCGACCTGGCGGGGTAGGCGAGACTGGGCGAGAGTGGGCCTCAAGACCGGTGGAGGCGGTCAAACTCCCGGACGGGTTTTGAGCTCCAGATCCACCAAATGGGACTCAAACCGAACGTGTGACCCCACCAATGGATTGCTCTTCGGACGAGGAATCCATTTGTGGGGGTTTACACGTTCGATTCAAGTCCTGTTCAGCGACTCTGGAGCTCCAAACGCGTTTACAGTTTTGGCCGCATCCACCGGTCTTCTGGTCTACTGTGCGCTGCAGACTCATTACGAGAGTGGTTTTCGTCGCTCTGCCTCGCTTGCACCCAGACAGAGCGTTCCGTATGGAAAGAGAGACAGAGCGACGAAAGCTACTCTCGGATCAGTCTGCGGCTGTGACTGCCGCTCTTCCATCACCCGCGACCCTCTGACCCCCGCGGCGCCCTGTGCCTCCTGGTCGGCAGGTCGGAGCGCGTGCACAAGACGGGCATCGACGGCAACCTGCTGACGGAGGCGCGCTACATCAACCTGTCGCTGCACTACCTGGAGCAGGTGATCGTGGCGCTGGCGGATAGCCGGCGCACCCACGTGCCGTACCGCAACTCGATGATGACCACCGTGCTGCGCGACTCGCTGGGCGGCAACTGCATGACGGCCATGCTCGCCACGCTGTCCTCGCACAAGAACAACATCGACGTGAGTCGGCGGTCGTCGCGCCCAAAATGGCGAGGCCGCGGGTTCGACTCCCCGCCCTGCAGACTGACTCCTCCGAACCCTGCCTTCGTCGCTGTCTCTCTCGCACTCCCGTAAGGATGTGGCAGAGACAGAGTGACGGCGCGGTGCGGTAGGAATCGGCCTTAGCTACACTCCTCGCGAACTACGTGTGGTTGCAGGAAACCCTGTCCACGTGCCGGTTCGCGCAGCGCGTGGCCCTGGTGCGCAACGAGGCGCTGCTCAACGAGGAGAAGGACCCGCAGCAAGAGATCTCCCTGCTGCGCGCCGACGTCCGCCGCCTCAAGCAACAGATAGCCCTGCTCACCGCGTCCGCCGGCGCACAGGTCAGGGCCGCACAGTGGGCCAGAAGATCGGCGCCGGCGGCTGAAACCTCGACACATTTTGAGCTTCAAAGTCGTTAAACAGGACTCGAATAGAACGGGTGAACCCACCAAAGGATTCCTCGTTCGGAGAGCAATCCATCGGTGGGGTCACACGTTCGGTTCGAGTTCCATTCAGCGACTTCTGTAGCTCAAACCGCGTCCGGGATTTTCACCGCCTCCACCGGTCTTCTGGCCCTCTGTGGTCCGCCTCCCTGTGACGACGTTGCGAATGGTGCTTGCGTGCGGTGTGACTAACGTGGAGGTGCACACGCAGCCCGACGACGAGCTGACGGAGGCCGAGGTGGCGGAGTGCCGCGCCTGGGTGCAGGAGTACCTGCGGCGCGACGCCGGGGTGGCCGAGGTGGCCGGTGCCGCCGCGGCGCTCGAGGACGGCGTCGTGGCGCAGCAGGCGGTGCCGTCCGACCCGCGTAAGGTGCGCCTCTGCTTCGCCATGCTCCGCGACGCCCTCTGCGGGCGCGACGGTGAGGCCCCGGCCACGCCCACGGAGCCCAAGAAGCAGGAGCTGCCGTCCAAAGTGGCGACGCAGGTGGAGCACTTCCGGGAGATCATCCGGCAGCGCGACAGCGAGATCTGTAACCTTTTGGCCGGCGAGGGGGAAGGCCCAGGGGAAGGCCGGCAGGGCGCCTCGCGGGGAGGGGACGGCGAGGTGGACGCGGGGAAGGGGGACGGCGGCAGGGCCGAGGCCACGTCGGCCGCCTCGCTGCGGGGGTTTTACGTGCAGCTGTAAGCCCGGCCGTGGGCCTGTTCCTGGCCGTGCTCATCGTTGCCTTCTACACCGCGTTCGTCGGCGTGCTGGCCGTCGTGTTCCTGCCCCGTTAGAGCAATACACCGCGACACGCCGCGATGTGCCACGCCCAGGCCACGCCCAGGCCACGCCCTGGCCACGCCCCTCTCGGCGACTCGGCACAGACACGCGCGTCGGGCCGTCGGGGTGCCCCCATGCCGCCCTCGCCCTCTTGAACCTTTGCCAGGCCAGAAGCTGGCGCAAGTTTGGATTGTAAAGTTGAGGCAATAAAATCATTCCTAGTCTGACGGCTGTTCTTCTTTTCAACTTGCGGGCCCCCGAGCCTGACGGCCCCCTCCCGACGCGCGTGTCCTCGGCCTGAGGCCCTGAGAGGGGCAGTAGCGGGAGTAGCCCAGCGCTGATTCCGCACAGCCTTCGTCGCTCCATCTCTCTCACACCCACACGGGATGCCCCGTTAGTGCGAGAGAGACAACGAAGAGAGCCCTGTTCGGTGTCGCTCTGCTACGGAGGCGTCCACACAATGCACCTCTAAGGCATGCTAGCAGTACACTGTCAGAAATTCTACAGTTATTTTACGTAGGCTCGATAATACGATGACGCCCACACATACTCCACTTTACAACAGCTCAGAGATCAGGTACACTTGCACATTTGCCGTGGCCCCTTAACGAACCTACCAGCCATTTTGATCAACTTGCTGAGAAAAGAGAAGCAGCGTGCGCACGCCACCCCAGGCAGCCCCACCCCCAGCCCCGCGGACCAGCAAGACGCCGAGGCCGACGACGTGCCTGCCGGCCAGGCGGTGCAGCAGCAATTCCCGGCGCTGCCCGTGCCCGCCACCGAGTACGAGCCCGTCATCCGCCGCCTCATCGGTATGCGCGTGAGAGCGACGCGTCAGGCCGGCAGACTGATTCCGAGTCGTTTTCGTCGCTCTGTCCCTCTCGCACTCATGGGGCGTCCCGTATAGGTGCGAGAGAGACAGAGCGACGAAAACGACTCTCGGAATCAGTCTCCAGGCCCCTGCCCAAAACACTGCGTCGCGACTTTTCGTAATGCCCCGCTGCGTGTTCAGGGCAGAACTTCACGCTGGCCGAGCGTGAGGCGTTCAAGATCTTCGCTGCGGACCGGAAGAACAGGATCGAGGTGGAGATGACCAAGACGGCGCTCAGGGCCAAGTTCGAGGAGGCGCGAGTGTCCGCCGAGAGGATCAAGTTGACGAGGAAGCGGATGGGTGTGTGGCCGGCGCTCGCCGTGGGCGTGGCCAAGGAGTGGCCAAGGCGTGGCGTGGCGAGCGCCCAGCAGACTCGTGGAAGTCCCTCGAGTACCAGTGTTGTCGCTCTTGTCTGCAGTTAGCCTGCACAACGAGATGAAGCTGTTGAGCGACTCGGAGCCGGCGCAGCGGGCCAAGAAGGCGGCCCTGCAGGAGGAGCTGGCCGGCGAACAGGCCAGCTACAGGAAAACTCTGATGGACCTGCAGGTCTGCCAAAGCGTGTGCGGACTCACTCCGAAGGGCGTTTCGTCAGTCTCTTTCGCGCCTATTTGGAGTGAGAGAGACAAGTGGAAAGCGCTCCTCGGAATCGCTCTGCTCGTTCCACGTCTGTTGCGAAGTTTGATCTGAAATAATCTACTCCCTCTCCCTTCGCGTAGCTTCTGAAGGTGGAGACGGGTCACCAGAAGCACGCCGTGGAACAGGCCAAGCTGCGACTGCTGCGGAAGTTCCAGGACTGGTGGGCCGCGCAGATGTCCTGCTGCAGTCCCGTTACCGTGACCGTACCCTCCCCCAACCCAGAGACCCCTTGCCCCACCCCGGCCCGCCCCCACTCCAGCCAGGGCCCACGCCCTGATCCACAGCAAGTCCAGGTTTGCATTCCCGCAGGCCCAGTCGGCTCCTGCCTGATAGGCAACCCAACTTGCACCCATGTGTCTGCGGTTCTCCTGGGACTTCCCTGCGGTGCTTGGCGTGAGGTAGGCAACCCGTCAGCCGCTCTGCCGCCGCCTAAAGGGCTGCTTGCCACTGCTTGCCTACAGGGCACTCAGGGACTGCAGTTGCGGCCGTGGTCGGCGGGCCAGGCCGGCACCAACGCGTGCCCGTGCATCACGGAGCCCACGGCTCCGCCGTCCCTCGCCGCTCTGGGCCTCGCCGAGGTCCAGGCCGAGCCGTGCTTCCCAGCCACGCTCACGCCCCCGGCCGTCCCCGTCACCACCCTCTGGACGCGGCCCCTGCCCGTGGCGCTGCCACTGCCGCCGCGGCCCGAGCCCACGTGTCTGCCCTGCCCCGCCGCCATCGTCTGCGACCAGGACCAGGCCGAAGACGACCAGCACCGCACCGAGGACGACGACGAGGCCATCGACGTCGGCAAGGACGCGTCCGTCGCCACTGCCACGGCCTCCCCCGTCACCAAGAACGAAGCGGAGCAAGCACCGGCCGCGGACCAGGCCAAGTCCAAGGACGACGAGGACTACATTCGGAACAGTATAGCCCTCACAGGGGAACCCGAAGTTGACCGGGAAATAATAGAATTCTACAAGGCTAGAAATCGGATTTGTCAGCCGTAGCTTGATCGTAGGAGTTGTAAGGGGAAATCAGCAGATAAAAGTTTAATTAACACCAATTTATTTTAAACAATATACATTTAAAACAGTGACTAGAGGAAACAGCATTAGAGACAGGATTTCATACGAACATTTTATATCCACATAAACAAATTGTTTAAATAAAATTTCCAATCAAGTTCCTTAGATCTATCAACATTTACAGGTACTTGATGTTGAACAAGTAATGAATATAAAATTTGAAAATTAAACCAAATTGCAGTTTAATGGGGTCTCATCTAGGGGGTCGCCTGCCATTTCAACCTCGAGAGATAATACTTGGAGATCTGACCGGAGGAGCAGGAAATGGCGCTGGTTAACGAGGCCTCGGGTGAACAAACGGACCGGAACCATTTCCTTTACCGAAACTGCCAACTTAGCTTCTGTCACATCGACAAAACCTTCAACACCTGCAAGCAAAAAAAAATTTTTTTTCATTAGAATGTTATTTTATGTCTGACGAAAAACCTTTGGTGTAGAACTTACCTTTGTACTGAACAACTCTTAAATGCCTTTCATTCTCAATAAAAGCCAGTAAAGTTTGACCATTGCGACCTGGAGCTGTCAGTTCCATGACACTAAGAGAGTGTGCATTTTCAACCTGAACCCTTGCCAGTGACTGACCAGTTGCTACATCTTCATACACCTGTAATAAATTTGTGTTGGTCATATTGAAAATGAACAGCTGGAAATATCAACCACATCAGAACTTACCACAAGCAAGTCAGAGCCCTCAGCAGACACTGCGACTAGCTTACGGCCATCAGCAATTTTCATGGCCACAACATTGCCCCTGCTCCATGCCGGCAAATTGCTATTAGCAGAACGAGAAACCTGTGTCGCATTGAATCCTGGGCCTTCTAACACTGTCACTGACTTGCCATCAGTAACTGACAAACCAAGACCAGCGGAGCGTGGTAAAAATTGAGAACGACCTGAAAAATGAAGAATTAATTGGTTGAGCCTAAAAAAATGGAGAGAAAGTACCTATCAATACTACAAGCCCAGCAGACTGAAGTATTGATGGTCACTTCTTTTCCCACTGAGAATATAAGAAGCCTCTTAATCTCAAAACTTACTACTTTCAGGAATGCTGCTGTTGCTGACTAACTTAACATCTCCATCTTCCAAAGACCAAGTATGTACTCCGGAGCGGCCAAGAAGGTGCAAGCGACCAGCTTCTTGGTCAACACTAACATCATGCCAGGGGTCCATAGTATAGACATTCTGAGAGGAAAAATCGATCATGGTACCTTATGCAATGCAAGGTTCATACACAAATGAAACATACTGACCCGCAGTTTAACTGATGGCTCAAACCGCCAAACATTGCCACCTTGGTAGGGGCAATTGTGTTCTTGTGCAGCTGACGTAATAAGGTAAGTGGCTTCTGGGTTTCGTAGAGTGGCCCATTTTTCAACACTACCTATATTCTGCACAGCTTCATCAAGGAGGTCCCAAGCAGTTCTCTGCCTATTCCAACGGTACATAGCCCCAGAACATAGGTCAGTATAGCTCACAGCCAGAAATTGTTCATTCAAAGCCTAAAAGGAAAAGAAAACAACCTTTTAGGAATGAGAATTCGAGAGGTACAGGAAGTCTAAATTTAAATCCTACCTCAAAGGCATGCATGCTGGCGATTTTCTTGCTTGACTGTATCGCTTGCACAACTTCTAACTGCTGGAACAAGAAAGGCTGCGCCCTAGCCTTGGCCAACAGAGCATCAGTATCTCGGCAAAGCTGTACCCATTCATCCTGCAAAGGGGAGACAACATTTAAAAAAACTAAAGCCCTTCTGCCTCACTTTAGTCAAATAAATAAGTATAATACCTTAATAGCAGCTTGTGTTTTCCTATTAAACTCCCTGGTTTCGCGAATAAATTCAGGGAAATTATTCACATTTTGTCCGCCCAATAAACCATGTCCTCCGACGCGTTCCATGAACCTCACTTGGCCCTGAAAATTCAGTTGGTTAAGTGATCGACTCCCTGTACCCAAAGCGATGGTGCAAAAAAGAAATACCTTCACATCCCATGATCCAGTTATCAACTGAGGTTGAGTAGATCTTGTAAGGAATGCACGTTCATTCCATTGAGTGACATCCAAGCCAGATATGAGGCTCGAAACCCTCATGTCACCACCAACAACAACATTTGTGAATTTCAATGGACCTACAAAAGCAAGCATGTGAAAAGTTTGCAATCCAATAATAATAAAAATAATAATAATAATAATAATAAAAATAATAAAAATAATAATAATAATAATAATAATACATGAGACAAACACTTACCATTTACAGCTTCATTATCCTCTAGAGTGACCACATTTGTAATATCCCTACCACTGATGTACCCTTTGATGAGAACATCATTCCTCACTGTCAAGCCACTGAGGAATGTCTTAGAACCCGAAACAATTTGATTTCCTGTAGACTGGAACACCAAAATAGTTGTCAAAGGCAAGCCAATTTAAGAATTTATGTTCAACAAGAAGACCCACATAACATACCATTAAAGTGTTGTCATACTCTGATTGAAGCAATCTTCCATTCACAAGTCCATCCACTTTCACATTATGACGCATTGCAGCAGTAAGTATGCGCACATTTGAAGGAATCTTCTGAGGATCCTTGAGGGTAATTACTTTTGAAAGGTCCAGTGCATTGATGACTGACAGAGATAAGTCTGAGTTAGAGCTCATGGATGCAAATGTCTTAAAACCTGTAATTCAAATAAAAAACGACATAAAAATTGGTAAATATTGGTGCAACACATATTGTTACTACTTAGAATAAAATTATGACTTGCCCAAGATGTCAGTTGGTTTGTTCAGGTAGATAGCATTGTCCACCCATTCTTTTATCAAACATCCATCTAGTTCCAGGGCAATCAAATTTTCTGTGAGTGACACACCAGCTGGTGCTGATAGGTCATTGGCAATTGTAATGCTCCCATTAATTACCACTGGTTTATCATCATTGATAAGAACCACATCCTGAACCATCTCTCTTAAAAGAAGATTGTTAACCAAACCAGTCACATCCACAACAGTGAAAGCCACCTGTAAGAAGGAAGTGTTGAAGAAATCTCAATAGTTAAGATGAAACCTGGAAACACTGATAGAGGCTAGTACCCTGTTCACAAATAACTTGATTCCTGGGATGCGAGAAGGTTCATCTTTCATCACAGTTGACTTGAAAAATTGTTCCAAATGCACTCCATTTACTGAGTTCATGACATACAAGTCATCCACAGCCACTCCTTCCAAAAAGTGAGCATTTCCTGAAAAAATTCAAAATCAAAACCATTTATTAATAATTTTAATCTGACGAACTTGAAAACTTACAAGTAAAAAATTTAAATTTACCTAAGAGTTCATGACGGTCTCCACCTAAATACTTATACCTATTGAGGAACGCTAACACTGGAATACCGTTCAGAAGTCCTGAGACATTAACGTTTCCAGCATACACACCACCTAGCACTCTTAGAGATCCTAGAAAATTAAAGGGCAAGTAAGATACGGAGTCACATTTATTGATATGACAAGCATAAAAGATAATCACCTAGAATAGAAGCCGACGAAGATTTAGTGATGATCTTTGACGGTTCAAAACCATTTAGATTATTGGTCACAATGCTTCCCTCTACGGTGAAGCCAGCATCAAATCTCTTAATACCTGAAAAAGAAGGAGGTATAAGCAAAACGCACAACTAAGCATTAGCCAGAGAATGTTTAATAGATTACCAGAAATAGTGACTGGCTGAAGATCATTCCTTAGCACTGCATCTTCAATCATATAAGCCAGATTGAAGCGATTCACAGGACCACGTACATCCAGAGAACCAACTGACAAGGAGTCCTGTTGAAAACAAAATTGGGACTTGTAAAATTGAGATCAAAGAAATGGATGAGGAGAATGAGAATGCTGACCTCAAAGAAGAGAGATCCTGAGAAAGTGTTGCCACCAGTAAGCTTCACAGCATTCTGAGCAATCTTGGCTAGATTAAGGAAGTTCACACCACTAGTAGTACGGATATTTCCTTCAATGAAAAGCTCTGAAAAAAGGGAGAGGACAAGGAATAAATCATTAAATACAACCAAAGGACAGAAACAATTAGGATAAGTAGAAGTGTCTTACCATCGACAGCAAAGCCACCAGAGAGTAACAACTTTTCTAGATCTTCATAGCTAGAGAAATTTGGCAGGACACGTTTCTTGAAATTCTGAAGAGGTACATTGTTTAGAGCTGAGATATTGACGTGACTTTTAACATTCATATTGCCAAAAGAAATGTTGCCAGAGATGGTTTGGGGACGAGATCGACTCACACGACGGGTCTCAAAATCAACAAGGTTCCAGTTGCAGACCTAGAGCGAATAGAGAAGTGAGCACTATTGACCAAATTGGCTTTAAATGATTGAGGAAGAGAACTCACCTTTCCATTAATCACAACATTTCCTGCAACTTTCATGAAATTGACATTGACAGGGCCCTGAATTACACAGTTATCTACAGAGCACACACCATCTGACAAAAGGCTTGACGCTGTGCTTGCAACGTGAGTATTCAGTTGCTCTGTTATAAGCAACCTAGATGCAAATAGTTTAGATGGGTCTATGAAGTTCAAATGAGTATTTGTGTCCTGAAACCAATCATGAAAGTGGATATCAAAATTTGTTGGCCCTGATCAGATGCAGAAAAATTGCAGAAATAATTTCTTACTTGAGTGCCTGTGAGGCGAACTGCCTCAGCATTTAAGTCCACAACATTAACATCATCCCATACACCAGTCAGCTGAATATTTCCAAAGACAGCATGTTGAATAGATTTTTCACCTGAAAACGTGTTCAACAGAATAAAATTTTTGTAAACTTTACCCAATTACTACCGAAGAAATATTACCATGAAATTCTTGAGATTGATCCAGCCGAGCTATATCAGATACTTTCTTTCCATTAACAAATCCTGAGGAAATAGTTATTCCCAAGCCATCTACCTTTAAACTGCCTGTGACAATTTTCTTCCCACTTATCAGAACAGTGTCGTTCGCAGAAGAAGGCAGTACAACAACATTTAAGATGTCATCTTTAAAGACACGTCCATCCAGGAGGCCTGTGATCTACAAAAGAGGTCCCTTCCAGTTAGGAGTCATCTTTGCCACCAATACAGGTACAAATTGTACGACGCGATCACTTGCCATACCTGAATGGGCCCAAGAACTTCAAGATTTTTAAAGAGAACATTTGAAGATACCACAGAACCTTCATTGATAAGGGGACTCTGTGAATTCATTTGATTCAGACGAATTCCATTAACAGCCCAATCAACCTGCAGAGAATAGGAACATGTTTAAATTCCCTGAAGCAAGCAGTACAATTTAAACTCTCCAAAAATCTTACCTTTACATCACCCTTTATATCAGCTTCTGAAAGGGTCAACTCTCCATCAAGGTGTTGATTAGTACGGAGAGTAACAAATGAATTAACAGGCACTCTATCAACAGTATTGGAGACATCCAAAGAGCCAACAAACAGTCCATTCTTCATGGTTTTCTTGGCAATGATGTGTTGACTTTCAGTCGTTTTCAGAACAAAGTCAGCAGGGAAGTCCAGACCATTTAATTGTCTGTTCTCAATTTGCTCTGACGTCAAGGTCTACAAAAAAAATAAAACAATTTCAATGACTTTGGAAACCATGACAGACAAAAACAAATCAGTTAAGCTTAACTATTTGAAAGTCTTACCCCTTGGATCTTGGTGTGGCCTTCAATAATAGTAGACTCATTCTTCCACACAAGCCTCTTGACTAAATCACTCCAAGAGAAGCCGTTAACTCTCTCAACTTGAACACTACCAGCAACACTAAGGCTATCCAAACGGGTCACATTTTGCAAATTGTTCTGTCCCGATACCATGGATTTCAGGTTGCGGGGACTCATTGCCACATTGTTGATGACATCAACAGTTAAATCTCCTTCAACTGTTACTTCATCAAAATGAACGACTCCTGAAACAAATAAAATAAAGTTAACAAAAGGGTAAAGTTGAAGACTCTTCAAAAAATCAAAAAGTTCCAATAATGACAAGACTGCTCACCTTGAAATGCCCTTCCTGGAATGAAAATTTCTTCAGACAAATCTATTCCACCAAAAGTCCCTGAAGATGGTAAATCGACGTTTTGCTCAACATTAAGGAATTGAGTTACTTCTAAATTTCCGTACAGCCTCACAGGTTTATTGGGTATGTTAAATACCAGATCATCCCTTTGAATATTATTTACAGTCACGAAATCTACATCAACTACTTTTACTTTGGACAATGTCTTGGTTCCACCAATTTTGTCCACTCTGTCAACTCTGAACAGATACAAAAGCTTATATAAAAACTGAAATTTCTAACGCAATTCAAGATAAGAAATTAACTGTAAACGTTACCTCACAATCTCTTTGAGCAGACTTGGGACTGGCTCCCCATTCAACACACTAACTGATAGAGAGTCAAACTCTGCATGGTTGGTGACCTCCACACCTCCAAGAAGAGCCTGGTAATCATCCAAATGCAATTCTCCATTCACAGGCACTGCTGCATCCTCCAATGAGCCTAATAAACTTTCTGTCGAATTACGCAAGAGGTTCAAAAGTTCCCTCAGTTCTTGTATTTTAACCAACTGATCTTCTGGTGTCCAATCTGAAAAATGTGTTTTGTTAGTACTTGCCTAAATTTAGAAAAAGATGACAAACTAAACAACAGTTGTTTAAGACATTTATATTAACAGAATAATAACTACCAGGTTCATTAATTGGAGGAAGTGTTCCAGTATTTTCAAGTTCAGGCGTCTCTACTTCCGATATGACCCAATCGGCTTTAATTATGTTAGGTTCATTCACGCTCAGTGTATCCAAAAGAAGTTTTTCAGTCCTATCCATTTCAAAAATCTGATTCATTAACTCATCCTGAAACAAAAAAAAACAAAACTTAGCTCTTTCCTCCAATTTCTTGATGCTGTAAAACATTGAATGTGGGACACAACTCACCTTTAATTTTGCTTGAGCGTCTTTCAAAATAAAGACCTCTGCCAGCAATGGATTCAGAACTGGTTGAAGTTGAGTGAAAATGCGGTACACCGAAGAAGCCTGCTTGCCCCTCGGTAGAAGTACTGACACCACCGATGAATCTCCTACTCGATATGCTACAGCTCCATACAATCGAGATTCGTCACCCCCAGCTATAAGGCAAGATGCTCCTATAATCATGAAAGATGAAAATTTTGAACCATTACAGTACTTTTAAGATACAAAAATCATTTCTGAAGCGTTCCATTAAATACTACCTTCCACAGGAAACTTAACTCCGCCAACAAAGCACGGAGGCTGGTTCTGCCATTTGAAAATACCGGAACTAGACCAAGTTAAAGTCACAACTTCCTTCATAACAGGAGCACTTTCAGAGTGCAGCACTTCAGCGAGTAAAATAACTTCATCTCGGAAGGTAGGAACAGGTAAAACTACCCAAGTTGAGACAAAACCAATACCTAAGAGTGAAACAAAACAGAAACACAGTTAACAATTTTGGAAAGTACAGAATTGGAATTTGGTACATAAACAACTCACCTTCAAGAGCCTTTGGAACAATCTCAATCCTTGTTGGACTCACAAAACGGTGCACTGTAGGACTCTCCCCACCAACAGCAAGATACATCTGAAGTGCCAGAACAGTGTTAAAGAAACAATGCAACAAGTTCATCAACAATAAATAGAAACGTACCTTATAGCTGACATGGAAGAAAACTGCATGTGCTACTCGAGGGCTATGCAAGTCCTTCCAAAATGGATCAAACCAACCATAAATGGAATGGTTGCCGATTCCACTTATTTCAGAGGGCAGGGGCCAAACGTAGCGATACAATTTAACAGCACTAGCTTGTGGCAGCGCTAATGCAAGATAAATTTCTTCACCCACAGCACCAACCTCTGCTGTTACAGCTTCCTCCTCAAGTGTTATAGACTGTGAGAGCCTTGTGCAAAACAGAAAGGTAAGACACTCTAATAATTCATTCAAAAACAGCCAGAAGAATTAAGAGACCTACTTGGGATCCAGATGAGCATCTAAACTGAAGTCATAAAGGTCAGCACTGGCCATGCAGGGTAAGATTTCTAGAGAAGACTCACAAGATGTTAAAATTAACAACTTCATCCTGTCTCTGACTTGGAACACCTTAAGATTTGATGCTTTCTTGTGAACAGGCCATGGTGGTCTTATATTGTCCTAAAATAACAGAAACAAAACACAATAATAACAATAATACAAAGAGAAACGTATGACTTGAATCAAAACTTCACTTACCAAGCCAGAAGCAGTGATACGATACCACATCAAGATTCCATCATCTGAATCGACTGAAAGAACAAGAATCGCATCAAGTGTCTTTGACACAGCATTCCAATGCTTAAAAAGACCAGCAGCCAAAGGTGTTCCGCTAAGAGCTGCAAAGATAAAATAGCTTATAGAAAATTGAGATAAAATCCCTGAAAAGGAAGAGATATGGCGACAACACTTAGCAACAAATTTTAAACAACACACTTACCAAATTTCTTTTGTACAAGTGAATAGGTGTGTCCAGACCCAACATCTGGGGAAACGAATGTGGCGGTGAGTAAAGTAAGTTCCTTTGACGAGCCAAGGCCCACCAAGTGTGTTGTACTGCCAACGACCAATGAATACCACTTGTTAACTCCAGCTCCATAGTTGAAAGCCTCATCCTTGATTAGAGCAGTAACTTGGAGCTCTGCAACAAAACACAAATGCATATAAACATCCAGCAAGAACACGTACAAAATGGAAACTCGAAAACGTCGGTCAGTAACCTGAGCAGCCCGTTTAGAGACAAGCAAAGCGCTTCAACAAAATTGACGATCACACCCAACCCTGACCTGAGAAAACGGTAACGATGCTGATCTTCCGTTGTTCACAAGGTATCACACAGACAGGCGACAATTCAAAACGTGCCGAAGGCTATGTATAACTTTCCTAGAGCCAACCACTCCGGCGAGGCGGAGAACGTTTGTTTACAAACTGTGCGGCACCGGTTGCTCGCGGGGATAGGGGAGGGGGAGACGAGCAGGGGGAGGGGGAAGGCGTCAAAAGGGGTCGGAAGACAGGCTTCCGAGAAAAGGCGGATGGGGATGCGGGTGGACAGGAATGCGAGAACTGGAGAACAGGGCGCGATCGGCAAGGCAAAAGCATGACAACCGTTCAGGTTTCACGCCGAGCGAAGCAGAAGATCGGTTTGTCGCTCTCGCTCTCTCTCTCTCTCTCTCTCTCTCTCTCTCTCTCTCTCTCTCTCTCACGCACCGCCCCATAAGCGCGACAGAGACGTGACTCTTCTGAAACGCTCGGCCTCGTGTTTGGCCTGCTCAAGGCACGGCGCGGCGGCACGCCACGACAAAATCGTCAGAATCAAACCAACAAAAACAAAAACTCACCGTCCCTAGCCGCCGAGTTGTCGTCGTCCCGCGTGGCGGGCGAGTACCAGGGCACCGCGGCGTCCGCAAGCACCGCGTCATTCGCGCCGACACCCACGCCTCGGGAAACGCGCCGGACGTCGGGGACGTCGGGGAGGTGCAGGATGTCGCTGCGCAAGGACTCGAGCAGCAACGGCAGCGGCACGGGCTGCACAGTCAAAACAAGTTGGACGACTTCGACGCCGTCGTGCGCTTGGACACCGCCAAAGGCCGCACCATTGACCGCATACTTACGTTGGATGCATCCTCGTGCGCGACCGCCAGACACGCGTACAGGACCACGAGGAACACGCCACACGCGCACGCCGACCGGCGCAGACCCATGTTGACGGAGCGGCTCCGGTCCATCTTCTGTCCCGCAGCTGCAGCGCCCGGACTCGCCTGGACTGGCGTTCGGGTCGCCCAGCTGGTTGACAGGTGGACCACCGGCGCTGCAGGTGGCGCCAAAGTCGCCAACGTCGCAGCCTCTGCTGGCCTCTGCAGACGACACAACAAAGCAGCAGACGGAATCTCCGACCCGATCGAACACGGCAGGCCTCAGCAGTTGAGAAGCTGAAGCGACATAGTTTCCGTACGCGGTGAAACGGTTTATTTTCATACGTCGGCGCGCTTCAAAAAGTATTTCCCATGCACCCACGATGGGGGTCCCCTCCCCGGCCTCCCCTTTCCCTTCAGGAATCTCAGGAGTGCCGCAGGCATTCCGTTGCGGTCCTGCGGGCGCTTTATGGAAACGGCGACGAACGTTAGGAGTTTGACAGGGGCAGTTTTAGGGGTGGTTTCTTTTTTCTTTTCTTTTTTTTTTTTTTTGGGGGGGGGGGGTTACATATGAGACGTCGGCTGGTTATAGGCAATACCCATTGCCTTTGCAGGCAATCGCAATCGCGCCCCGACTTTGTCTCATAAGGGATGAAGGCGGAAGGGGGCTTAAGAGAGCGTACTGCACCCCTCAAATAAAAACCCAACGCCTAGATCAATAGATCAATAGGGTATATAGAACCATGCTGTTGCAACAACATCTCGTCAAGCCGCAACTCTCTGTGCCATTGTCGAGGGGGTCACATGGACTTCCCTACCGTAGCTTTTTTTTTCGCTAACAATTATTTTGGCCGATCACCGTTTTAACAACGTGGGTACAAAAATAAAATCTTTTTGGAGCTTCTTAGTTCATACTCGTGAGATACGTCCCCAAAAGAGACATGTACATCTCTTCCACTTGGATGAGGTGGCTTCACGGATTCATTTATTCACGCCTCTGTCATACTTTTCTCAGCAGTCCGCAGCAGTCTCACTAATTTAAGTTACTTTAGACAATTTGATCGGTGTCGGCCGCGCTCGCTCGCCCCGTGCCCCTGAGTGACGTTCTCCGGGAGAGGGGGAGGGTGGGGAAAAGGGGCGGGGGGCGGGGCAAGGGGGCGGGGTCGGTTAGGAGGAGGGGGAGGGGAAACGCCCACACGCCCCCTCCGCTGTCAATGCACCTCTTGCACGGGTTGCACATATTTTTTTTGGTTCTACTGTTTCGAGAGTGTAAGAACACTTTCATTTGACTTATATTTTATTTTAGTTGTTCTGATATTCCGCTTATTTTGACTTTCATGATTTTATGATCAATGTGATATCAGTAGGCGAAGAGTCAGTCGCGATCAGCATGGTTATAATGGCCGTTTCCCTAAAATAAATGTATTGGCGGTTGAAAAAAAATTGTTTTTGTTTGGTCGCCATGGTGCTGTTGTTGACGTAGAGGCAAGGCATTGTTGTGCCCTGTAGGTCAACTATCGTGACCCCAAATTTAGGTGACAGGTTGTTTAGCTCCAAATCAGAACGCTTGTTGCCAGCCCTTTTATTCTTATTTGTCGAAATAAAGGGTTTTAGACGCGCAATTAAGAGGTTTGTGCGATATCAGGAAATCATTTGACACGATTCGCAAACATACGGAAGTCCTACTTTCTTCCGCGCTACCCATTCGCTGGACGGTTTAGGTCTTTTTTTAGAGCAATCCGCCGCGTTGGGGGACGGGGCAGTGGCAGTGCATCACATCACCACTACCGCCATGTTCAGGGAGCTCTTGTAGTAGCAGAAGGAGAAGGGCCCGTGATTCACCTGTGCGGACGGTGTCATATTTTGTTTCTGTAAATCGAAATCATTTCATGTTGTGGTTTTCCATGGTAAGCGTCAGGTGACTTCTGCTAATACTGTTGATGTGTTTTCCGTTAGACTGTAACCTCCCGATTGACTTTCCATCAGCAACAGCCACCTTACGATACCCTAGTGGCAGTGTAGGTAGTAGCTAGCTGGCCAATCGTCGACATCACCTTTTAGCCAAATGCTTCAACTAGTGTGTGTCGTGAACTCTTTCTCGTGTTCTCTACGGATATTTCGAAAGGTGTTTTAGCTTCCTCTAGGACACAATGGTGTCACATCATCCGTCTTCTCGAGTACTGTTGATCAGAAATACTTCTGATCATCAGAACTCGAGCAGTACTCGTACAGAACCAGATTAAAATTTTGAAATTAGGGTGTGATTGGCCTCATTATATCGAAATGCGAGCTGCCTTTGTTGTATTTTTATTCCTCCACTGTGTTTCTGTCATAGTTTGGAAGTTATTTGTTTGTTTTGTTCGGGCTCAAGTGCCCTGTTTTTGCTAGCTGGGATGGGCTCCTTTCGTGGTTATACGAGGAGGGGTCTCCCCTCTTTGAATTTAAGAGTGATGTTTGTACTTACCCTCCATACATCCTCATTTAAACCAATTTTCATATTTCTTGATTGGTTTATGTTGTACAGATTTCTGAGTGAGGTTATATCTCCTGTTTGTTTTTTGGATAATTTTTAGTTCCTGCTCTGTAAGGGTGTCATCTTTCAAAACTGTTTAAATTTCTGAAGTAATTTCTAACGTTACTAATCAAGCTTTGTTCTTCCAAGTAATAATTCTTCTTATGGAGACTTGGATCTTCATCCATCATGCACGGATCTTTAGAAATATTCTACGAGTTTCTGATCAGCTGTTCTTTTTGTTTGCAGTGTAGGCCTGCGCTGACCTGGGCAGTAGACTGAATGAACTGCTTACAGTACTTCCCAGATCCTTTAAAAACTCTCATCAACATGACTTCATTCTACAATGGAGTTCCTCACGTAAGTATTCCATGCATATTAGATTCCTATAAAGTGTCTCTAAGATTTTTTAAAATTTAAGTATTGAATGGCTTTCTCATGTTTTTGTGCAGTCCTCGAGCGTGAGTGAAATATCAAGTGCTCCACCTTCCCCACTGTCCTGTAATACCTCATCTCCAGGGAATGCACCAAGATATGGAGTAGTGGTTCCCAACCGAGTATTTGTTGGAGGCATAGCAGCAAATACAACCGAGACTGAACTACAGGAATTGTTTTCTCAGTATGGAAGTATAAAAGAAATTAAAATTATTAGTGACAGAGGAGGTGTTTGCAAAGGTTATGGCTTTGTAACTTTTGAAACGGAAGAGGAGGCCAAGAAGGTGCAGCATCAGGTAACATTCTGTTCTATATTATAAGAATGTCAAATTGTTTCATTACTCAACTGTTGCTATTTTAAAATATAATGGGTTGTTCTGTTTTAATTTTAGCCTGATACAATAGTGTTAAAGGAACGGAGGCTGAATATTGCTCCTGCTGTGATGAAGCAGGTAAGTTGTGTGGATCTTACCTATAGCCTTCCCAGGTTTGCACTGGGGCATTCACTTTCGAAAATACATGCCCATATGTGAAAAGGTTGTCTATATTATTGTGTTGAAGTAACACTTTTACTTTTACTCTAGCAACCGTTCGGCCGTCCCTATGATCCTGCCCCACCCACTGGGGCACTGGTGTATCATAACGGCACTACATACACGTATCAGAATGGAATGGCATTCTTCACTGCCACCAACTCCACTCAAGCACCATACTCCATTGGTGCTTCAAGGGAGACATCCATGTATGCAGGTAAAAAATCTGTGGTGAAAATGTGTAATACATGAGACTACAATCTGGCCAATCCTCATGATGCAATGACTTTTCTGTAGCGCCTTACGGCCCAAGCCAAACTTCTGCTCCTGCGGCTTATCCCCAAATCATGTATCCATACACACAACCGATGCCATATTTAACTCCAGGACAACAATACCAGTACCAGTTACCTGTAAGTATTGCTTTTTTACACCTAATGTATGTTTTTACTCTGTGTCTTTTGTTTGACAATTGTAAATTGTGGTCATCCCTATATATGGTTGCTAGGTAGTTTGATGTACTGTACGCTGCTGGTGAGGTGTGTGAGTAAACTTGCATTGTACATGTTCAGAATGGTAGTGAAGGCCATGTGCCTATTCATCAACCATCTCCACAAACACCTTCAGAGTACTCTCCTCCTCTATTGTCGCCTCATCAGTTTGTGCCTTATACACTGATGGATGGAGTAGCAGTGGCGGCACAATTCTGAGGTAGCTGTTACAGTTGTGGTGGCGGGCAGGACCTCCATCCTCAGCCGTCAGGTGGGCGCTCCCTACGCTCACGCTGCCAGCACGCTGCCAAGCATTCCTCAGTTTGACTCGGCTGTCGCTTTGCTCTGTTCTGGTAGCTTCACTTCTACTTAGCCTTTTAAACCTGAGTAATCTGCCTGTTTGAGCCATGTACTTTTAGCTATATTGTTTATGTTACAATTTTCTGTTGCTAAATTATTTTTGCCTAAGTTTTTTTTTTCTCGTAATTGGTATAATGTGAAGTATTGAAGGGTCTCTGTGGGTGAACATTCAGCCACCTTAGTCGACTTTTACTCATTAAGTTACGAGCCAGATTACTTCCAACATTCTATTCTGCATCTGTAAAAGAAATCTTAAATTTTAATCCTTTTTAGGGACTATACTTGAGCTTCTTCTCCATTTTCTCACATATTAGAATACTCCTGCTCATTTTGATCAACATTGTCATGTCCTCATCTAAAAGCTCATGACCAAGACAAGACAATGATAGACTTTATCACTATTCATTAGATCATTTATTCTTTTCATCTGAGATGCTTATTTCATAAATGTATCATTTCTCCAGCTCCTGCTGTAAATCATTCTCTGCATGTGATGTGGGCAGCTTATCATGACACTTCATTTATTCAGTGTGATTACTTAGCTGTTTGCACCTATTTGTTTTAATAATTTTATTTTAATAATAGTTGTTAATTTAAAAGCATGATTTTATTTTACAGCTTTTGGCTGTGTATGAATATGAAGATTGTGTTTATGCAAAGTGTCTGTTTTTTTATCTTCCTGTACTGTTGAAAGAAAGTTGGACTATCCCTGTTGCATTTGGAACAAATTTTAATTACATGTTCATGAGGTTATGCTCCGGCATGACCATGTTAGTTTTAGTTGCCCAACTTTGTACTCCCCTATCTAACTTTATTTTTGTCTCTTTCAGTTTGACTACTTCAAGGCAGTTGGACCAGCCACCACCCCATACATTTATGCCCAACCCAGTCCCCTTAATGGAGCAATAAACAGTGCCTTGAATGGTGGACTTGGCAACTCAAGCCAAAGTCCTTCACCAGGCTATGGCCAGTCTGGGATGGCGGGACCGACAGGTGGTGAAATTTATTATAATGGAGCCACCCACCCTGCACAAATGCCTCTGCAACCTCAACCAATGTACTCCATGGAGTCATCTCCAGCTCATTCAGAGGTAAGCATTTTTCAATAAATGTTTTAATTAGCGTTAATGGAAGATGTTGCTTCCCTGAAATTTTAACACGGATGCCCCCAGTGTAATTAAAATCCTAACCTAGGAGGAAGGTAGTTCTTTTTTTTTTTCTGTGCGGCAAGGTTTTGTATAGCATGTTTACATACAATCTATTCAGTAGAGCTCTTTTCTTTTAGTTCATACTTCAGGAACTGGCTTAGATCGTTCAGGTACCACAACTGATCTTGCCAACTTATTTGGTAGTGTTGGAAGGGAAAATGGTTTATGCACTGTCTCCCTATTAGTTGCATGAAGAGAACTGATTATTACTATTATTATTTGTAGACCTTTAAGGTTTTTTAGAATCAGGAAGTTATTTGCTAGAATTGTATTTTTTATGTGGCACACACACTATCACATGGTTCCAGGCATGCTAGAAATGGTCTTAATATTTTTCTGAGAATCAATCTTTCATCTGATTTCATCTACCATGAATCCTCCATTCATTTTGTGTTTTCTTTCACAACTTTGATCATCTTGCACTTCAATTTAAAAGTTTTGAAGTTTTAATTTGATAGGAGGTGGTGGGGTTTGTTCAAGTTTTGAATGTATCAGTTAATTCAACAGTGTGGGATTTTTGTATGTGGCTAGTGTGCATGTCATTTTGTGCTCTAAGTGATTAATTTAGTAGACTTGGAAAGTGAGAACTCGCAAGAAATTACAGTAACAAATTATGTTGATATCAGGACTGGAACCCTGAGCCACGCCAAGTTCACACTCCTGTGGTTTCCCTCCTGAAACTTCATGAAGAGGGCAGTCTGGAGGAACTGGAGATCACTCGCACACCCAGGAAGTCGTACCCGCCAAGCCCCGGTCCCGGCGGTGCCGGTCCAAATGGGACCCATTCCAGGCCTCGTTCGCGTCGCCCTGGCCGCCCGGCGCCATCGCCTCTGGGACGGAGTGGGCGCGGAAATGCAGGGCCAGGCGCAGGGCCAGGCGCAGGGCCAGGCGCAGGGCCAGGCGCAGGGCCAGGGGCATCTGTGACGGGCAATCTAGTTGGGCAGCGTTCTGCCTCATCTCCCCACCTCCCTTCCACTCCCAGCTCCTGTCTTCATCGCTCCACTTCTCTGTCCCCTTCCAACCAGGTGGCTCCAGTGTACAGCAGCAGTGGCCGCCCACTGCAGCAGCAGCAATACCAGCCGTATCACCAACAGTCTGCTGGGTACCCACGCCGAGGGGGTGGTGGCAACTCTATGCGTAATGCCGGTCCCAAGATTTACACTGTAAGATTTACTGTTGCCATGATCTTTCCATTAAATGGTGATTGAGTGAATTAACTGTAATCCAATTTTTCAGGGTAATTCCAAGAACCTTCATCACAACTCTTCTGGAAATTACAATGCAGTGTCCAATCAGTTTGTGGGGAATGCCCAGAACACAGGACAGCACCAGGCACCTGCAAATGTACCAAAGAACTCAGGAGAGTCTGTGAATGGAATGAAGACAGCTGCTGAGCCAGCCAATGGTAGCAGCAGCACTCAAATCCAGAAGCAGGAGATAACAACTGTGCATGATGGGGGAGCCGGAGATGCGTCTACAATCCGCCATACTTTGCCTATTTCCCCTCCTAATACACCTTTGCCACAAGAAAGTTCTGCTGCTGCTGCCGCTGTAACAGCAGCCGGAGATGGTGACATGTGCCAAAAAATGAAGACTCTTGCTTTGTGAGCCCGTGTGGCTTCTGTGTACTTCCAGCTTATGAGCTTTCACCATGGAAGAGAGAGCACATTTCATGTGTGCTTTTGTGTTCCGAGTACCTGCTCATGAGCTGGGAAGTAAGTTAACAAGAGTGGGGGAGCTTGGTTTGGCCAGTGCCATCCTCTTGTTCAAACTACAATCAAGCTTCATGTGGAAGCTAGTCCTTTCATCTTGAGTTCCATGGCTTGATCGCATACAAAGGATTTTTCTATATTTTTTTTTATATTGATGGTGGCGTGTGGCTAGTTATAACGAATTAATTGTAAGTATCCCAATAAATTTAACATTACCTTACATTGTGCCATGAAAAATAGTGATCAGGCAACAGATTATATGAGTGCTACAAACTCTGAATTTTAAATGTTCATTTATATATGAGTGCTGTCTATACAGAACTGTTAGAAAAATAGTAGCTAGTCGGAACTTTGCCAAAAGGCATTCTATATGTATGTGAACCTAGCACTTTTTCTAAGTTGTGCCTGAAGGTATGTGTGCAATATTTATTCTGTGAATGACCTCAACAGTTTGTGAACTAGTGAAGAGATACCATTGTTCATGTGTTCAGGGTGTTAGCTGTATGGAGATAGTGGGTGGGGTTCATGTCTGCTTCTCCAACACATCTCCTGCACCTGTGAGCATGAGAGTATGAATGGTTTGAGTGACTTACAGACAATGCATGTAGGCTGTTAAGTTATTTATTTTCACCACTTGAAACCTCACAAGGAAAAAGGACTGAAAGTAGAATTTTCACATGTGATGTGTATCACATCAGCCTTGTGTGACTGGTGAGTTTTGCTTGAAGTTCAAGCTGTCTTAAACTCTTGACAAAGCATGAAGAGGAAGGTATTGTCGGCTGTTATTGTTTCTAATTTATGGTCGATTCAATTTTCCCATATAATATGGCTTATTTATTCTAGCTTAAGTTAAATGTAAGGAAATATTTATTAAGTATGTCTGTTATTATTATTGTTAGTACATTTTTGATTGTCTTGTTTGAGGCATGTGATGTACTTACTGTTGTGGAGTATTGTGGTCCTTTAAGACAGGGTGGCCACATTGTTGACTTGTCATTGAACATTCTTGATAGCCTGTGATGTAAAGCTGTGCTCCTTTAGTATGGCTAACATAGGTTGTGATGCAATGCATCATGAAGGTAAAATTGCTCTTACCTTTCATTCCCACACGTTTTTCTAAAGACTTTAAAAGTGATTGGCAATAGGTCTGTGGCCCCCTTGTCTTGTTCCCAGACATGTTATTTCAAGGACTGGGAGGCAAATGCACATAGCTTGTGACAATGTAGTTAATTCAGGATTATGGCCACTGATCATTCTACTAAATGTAATCTGCCTGTTGTTAGTCAGACTTGTGACTTCCTTGCCTTTAAACATGTTTCATTTATCATTGTAAGCTTATCATTTCAACAAGTTCACAACTATTGTCACCAATTTCTTAGTCTCTTCTGGCCATATATTCTGTTTGACCTTTGTCGTGCTGTGTGTATTTATGCAATTGCTCAAATTGATTATTGCCAAATACTTAAAAAGCTGCAGAACAGACTAGTAGCTAGTCACAGTTAACTAGTGAAATTCACTAGTTTTGTTTTCTAGAATATGACTGGGCATTTGCTTTTTGTAAGAAACTTCTGTCAGTTTCATTTGAAGGTGCTGAGAAAGATGTGTGATATGTTACTAAAACTTAGACATGATGAAACTTAACATCTACACCTATTGGAGCATTGGTTTGGATCATGTATTTTTTTATTGATTCCTGTAAATTTTATATAAATAAGTGATTTAGATGTTCCCCTTAGGCTGTGACAGTAACATCAACAAAACTCAAAAAATATTTATGGAAATGATGTTAAAGTTAGTCAGTAACAGAAGAAGTTGTATATGACTGTTTCAAAGTGCCTTCTATCAAGATTTTAATTGTGATTATTACGTAATTTTAGACAAGAGTTATTTGTTGAGTATGTAAACATTTTATTACTGTATCAAGATTTAGTCCCTCCAGTAGCTTAGCAATGCTTGTAGTGTTTGGTAAACCCATAACTGTGTCAGTTTGGGTTCTTGTTTTCCATTTGCTCAAGCACTTTTATTTAGCATTGGGTTAGTAACAAACTGGAGGAAACTTTACTTCTTTGGCAATAAGTAACTGGGTTGTCTTTTTGTTGTGGATGAACATGTTACTTCATGTCTGGCAATGAACAAAAATAGGAAAGTTACGTCAGTTCCTTATCACAGTGGAACACTACTCCTAAAGAAAGCATTCATCTTTTAAATTATTAGTTTTCAGATTCAAAAACAGAAAAGATCTCAGCATAATACTTCACTGCCTTTACTGTTTAGATTTTGGAGTTACAATTTATCAATGTTAAACTGGCATCATGTTGGGGTGAAAATTTAGTACTTAAAGGCAGTTATTCATATACAGTATATTGTGGTCTCTTGTATGAGGATATCAGAGTTTGTTAGAGCTGGTTACTTTTCTCCTTCGTGAGGACCTGCATATTTTGAAGGAAGGATAAAATCATTGACACATACTTGAGTCCTGTACGTTCACATCCAGAAAGAAGTTTCTTGTGACAGCTCTGTACTTATTTTTTAGGGAAACTCTAAATTGAAACTCTAGAGGTTGCTAACTTTTTTTTGTAAATAACATAGATTATTAGGTTAACTAATGGTAACAAAGAAAACTTAGTCAGGTTTAAAGAAAGAATTATTTAGTAGAGATTGTGAAATACTTAATAAAAGTACTTATGTTAATTTACATGAAACGTGTTGGATTGTTCTTACAAGAGATTGGAAGTATTGTATGTGTAAGGAAATGTAAATACAACTGACATGGAATTATAAATCGGTCTCCTGATTTCGCCTAAGCCCCCCCATTCACAAGTATGATTCTGAAGACTAACTGAACTCTAAGCACTGGACTGCCAGCTTAAAACAAGCAAAGCCTCTATTATATAAAGTATGCAATGCTTTGGCAGTTGCCTTTGGGCTCGTCTTTGTGCCGAATGCAGTAAAATCAGTTCTGTCGGATTCGTTAAGAGACGGCTTCAGACAAGAAACCAATACCCGTTTCATACCGCCTTGGAAGCCCCGTTCCATCCTTGCGTCCTTAGTCATGCCTTAAGCAATGGTATTTCTGGGGTAAATGATGATGCTAATTTTAAAAACTTAAACAGCTGAAAGTCAGGTAGAAATTTTAGAAATTACATTTGTATTTGGCACAATAATTTTAAACTTTTAACACACAGAATATTACAAAGATCATATATTGCTCAAGATACATGGTACAAAAGTCAGCCTTTCAACATAAAAACGTGCATTCTGCAATAATGAATAAAATTTAAAAATTCCCCATTACTAACAGTCACAAATACTGCTTATCATTAGGTGATACAATCAGGCTCAGATGCAAAAAAGTACATCCCATGGTATAAAATAATTTTGAGAGACAGATAATTTGATGACACCTTCTGGACATATGTGTAAAAATAGAAACATATTCAAACAAAATTTCATTACAAAAGATAAAGGAAAGGCTTTCATGCTACTTTGCTAGGGTGATTTTTCTTCATCTTCACAAAAAAATATTATTAAAAAAAAGGTACATAAAACAAAACAACTTCTAATAACAATCAAATGAATTAACAAACTACCTTAGTCCATTAAATTTCACTATGAGAACTGGATTGAATCTGAATCGTCGCTAGAATGAAATAGAACTGTTGATTCGGATGCAGACAACTCAGTCCACTGGGATAATCCAAGAGTTTCCGGTACTTTATCAAAACCCTTCGGCGGGCTCGGGAGGGTTATGTTTATTGCTTCGGATGTTTGCTTCTTCATCAAATGAAACATATCTTGCAGACCAGCCTTTAGTTCCTAAAAGTGCAAAGAGAAAATATTAAATGTTGCCTTAGTTTAGCTTACCCGTTAATTGTGACCACCATGAAATTTCACTTACTTTAGCGCTGTTCTCTTTCTTGGTTGTACTGTCAGTTTCACTGGCCTTGGATGTTGTTTCTTGGTTGTAAACTGGAGTTGCAGTGTTAAACCCAGAGTCTTTCCCTTTCAGTGATACAGTTTCTATAGGAAAATTGACCATTCTTTCTCCAGATTTCACCTTTTCCTCAGGGTGATTATGGTCAGTTGTTATGTCACTCATCATCTGCCAGGAGCTGTATAAGGATGAGTTTACGCTAGACGTGGGAGAAGAGCAGATAGGACGACTCCTACTGCCCTCCCCATCACCAATGTGTTTCTTAAATGCCTCTTGTTCACACTGCTGCTTTAGTGCTCCATTTGCACCGTCAACTGTATCATACAGCCTGCTAACAGCTTGCATCATTTTACCAAGATCATCTGAAGAACCCTTCCTCCCAGTGAGATTCCGTATATTTGCTAACTGTTCTGTAACAAGAGTGTTGACATCTCTGAAACGAATAAAAGTGAAATTTATTAAAATGTGAAAAGCTTTTGATATTATATCACACAGTCATAAATCTAAATTAAACCATAAGCCAACATACACAATTTCCTTTTTAAGTTTGGCAACTTCCAAGTCTTTATTGGACATAAGTATGAGCATCTTGTCTCTTTCTAAACGGCACAATTGTAGCTCTGTGTTTGAGCGTTCGTTTTCTTGAAGTGTCTCCTCCAATCGCTGGTTCATACGAAAATTTGATTCTTTCATTTCATTGATCTGAGCAAGCAATTTTTGCTTTGTTTTAATATGTTCTTGCTGTGCCATTTCAGCTGCTTGCTGAACTCTCAGCATCTCTTGTCGGATGTCAGCTGCATAAATAGTCAGTTGCTGATTTTTGTTGATGACTGTTTCTAACTGCTGAGTCTTGTGATTCAAATCACTTAAGAATCACAAAGGCAAGGATTAGAATTCATATCAAGTAAGCAGTAAGATCACAGTAGCTACCACACTTACTCCATAAGCTGATTTTTTTGTTGTCTAAGTGTTTCACATGTTTCTTCCATTTGACGACAGGTCTCCTCTAGTTGCTTGCATCCACTTTCTAGTTGGGCTTGGAGGCTTTCAGCCGCCAAATTTTGAGTTGATGACTTTGGTTTTGGTTGTCTGCCTTTCTGTTCACAATTAATTTCTTCTGTTTTCTGCAAACATTCCATCATGCAATAGTTACAAGATTTAAATTGGTTTTTGACACAAACTCTACCTTCCTTGAAAATTTGATAATACAAAAAATGGAATTTGAGAGAGCAGATGGAATTAACATAATAGTACCTCTGGCATTCCTGCAATCTTGGTTATACGTGATACTGTGGATAAGAGTCTACCAACTAAATTGGGAGAATTTTCCTGAAGCACATTATCTTGTTCTGGATGAAGTATCTTGGTTCTATCTTTGCTCAAACTCTCACTGTGGTCACTAATATGATCCATACTATATCTAGGTTTTGATGAACTGCATCGAGCATTGGGCTGTAGTGCAGTCTGTTTAGATGATGTCTGGCCTGATGGTGTACTGTGACAGGCATCAAGTGGCAAACAGCACAAAGCTTTCTCCATATCGTCTATGATTCTGAGCATATTTTCATCATCTGCATAAAAATAAAGAAAGTAATAATAATAATAAAACAAAATTTACCCTATTTCCTTCAATTGCTTGCATTCAGACAGCACAAGGGAAAATGGCAAGTGATTATTACTTACAGTCTTTGTGGATTTTCCCTCGCAATTCTTTAACAAGAAAGTTTAGGGTACGGTGAGGATTGAAAATAGAGAAGTAGTTGTCGCTTCCATCAGCATCTGATGTCTTCACATTACCGTTGGCAAGATGAGGGGACTTGAGAACAGTCTTTGATCTTCCATGTGGAATGCTTTGAACCCATTTCTGAAGTTCGGCAGAGGAATGATCATCGTCATCTGAGCTGGGGTAGCGAAGAGCAGCAGACACTTTGCCTCGTTCTTTCCTGTGAGACGCACACATTAAATAATATAAGGCACAGAATAAAATATAAGTTTATTTTCTTCCATTTTACCATTTTTATCACATACCAATTAATGTTCCCCGTAGATGAGCTTTGCTGCTGAAAGATGTGACCCCAAGACGCATTTTTCCTCTCAGTACTTGGTTGGTTGAGGGCAAGACTTCGGTTTCTGCCAGCTTGTTCTCTTGTTGGAGTCTCATGATCAATTCTACTGGGTTGAACACTTCTAGACCGTTTTTTAGAAGATTTTGTACGAACAACTACCTCTACCCTTGTTGGTGAATTTCTACGCCCGATAACTTCTTTGCACAAAACGTTTCTTTCCTCATTGCTCCAGCCTTTGTTGGGAGAACGAGACTTCCTGGTTCGCTCGGTTTCAATGAATTGCTTAGTCCCACCCATGCAACTTCTGGAGAGATTGGGAGCGCTCGGTAGCCGGTTGCCTGACTTGATGTTTGGGTTCTTGGCAACGCTCTGCGAGCGACCTGCTCCCGACAGACCATCTTTCCCTTTGAGAGCTTTGAGTTGCAGTTCACAATTCCCTATGTCCTTGTTCAGATCCTTGAGGGAATTTTGAATTCTTGCGACTTTCATTATGATCTTTTGAAACTGTCAACATCAACAACGCAGAGGTTAAGAGATGAAAATTTAAGTTGTCCCCGCTCTAACCTCCCGAACGACAGAACTGTTGCCAACTTAAATATTCTACAGTTCTAAACGTACCTTCACAAAAAGGTACACATATGTAAAAAGTAAATTATGAGACGAAGTAAATATATGTTTCATAACTTAAATTTCACCATGGTTGCAGATCAATCAAAGAAATTCACATAGCTTGTGAAATTCTTGTCATTTTATAAGGTTGGGTGCCTTGTGAGTAGCGCGCTTTTTCGAAAGTCCGGCAGGGCAGTTTCTTGGGTCAATGTGACATTTGCCATGAAAAAAGGACATCATAGCATGAATAAAATAATAAGATTTTATTTTTAAATTTATAATAGAACAGTATTAGATCATAATTCTAGTGATTCTTGTTTACATATGATGGAATTGGTAGCTTAAATCCCTCCTTTGCTTCAAAAAATGTGTATGATAAGATAATTTCATCTTTGTTATAAAGTTTTGGATCATCGTCATATTCTGGATCAATGTAGAAAAATACTGGCATATCCACCTGAAATCAAGTACATATTAAACAAACAACATTTTACAAACGATTAATTCTGCCATCGGCTTTCTTTCGTCCAAGCTCACCTGTTCATGTGGATTTAACATTTGTTCTTCAAAGCAAAAGCATTGTATTTTATTGAAATATTGTCCAGCTTCGTATGGAATAACATTGTATGTGCTGACACCAATGATTGGTCTATCAGTGGGGTTGGTTGCTGTGTAAAATGCTAACGCTGTTTCACCAGGAATGACCTAAACATAATTTTAAAAGAACATGCAAAAATTTGTTCATGTCCTTTTTTTGTTCTTTCACTATAAGACCAAGTTTTCCCAATCATCTTGCAAAAACCCATTACCTTCAATTGAGCTTGTTGCGGTTTGAAGTCCCACATCATGCCCGATGAAGTGTCTGAAGTAAACCTTACTGTAAGTTGCCTGTCAGGTCTCTTCGTTAGATTAGCAACTTTTTCTGCATCATGACCTGTTTGCACTTCACCACCCAAACCTGTGGTCTGAAACAAACAAATTTTGGTCGCTAAACAGATATTTTCTCAATTATTAAATATATAATGAAGAAACTTCCGTTGCACTTACTTGACAGAAAATACGGTACATAGGTACTGCGGCATAACTGAGACCCCCAATCAAAACTCCTCCAGCCGTTAAATAGTACAAAATTGAGTGGGCTCCTTTATCGTAGGTGTTGGGTGCTTGTTTTTTAAGCCATACTGAGGTGTGGAACAAATTTATAGGTACAGCACGTGATTTTGCTTTAAATCTTGCCGCACTAGATCCGAGATTGCACAAGTTCTTAATGGAAAGCATGACGGTTTAACACTATATGACTGAATAGTCAACACTGAAGATAGGTTAGGACCGGTCACGTTGTGTAATATTGTTTCAGCGAAACTAGTATCACAGTCAGCACTCAGCAGAGCGTAAACACGGGTTGAAATATTAATTGCTTCCACATCCCATACTTGTCACCTCATTGTTTGGCCAAGACACCCAGAAAACCAATATGTTTTTCCTCAGACAAGAGGGTCAACTTCAAGCTCCAAGCAGACTGCCTGCCAGAACGTCGTCTGCTAGACAGGCGGGCGGACAGACGACTGTCGCCACAAGTAGCAAAAATCTTCGCAGCCAAGAACTTCCCTGGCAGGCAGCGCCAACACAAAGGCACATTAAATGTGTATTGGCGCTTTCAGAGCTGGCGGATGTAGGGGTGAGGGGGACTAGTTGGTCTCCGAGTAAATACTAATGTCTACGCCTTTATTCATACAAAAATGCACATTTAACATCACCATACATATCACATCCTTTGCGTCATACTAAAATAAAAATACAGCAACATCGTCCAGTGACGAAACAACTTTCGCTACACAAACGCCACGAGCTTTTCGGAACTAACAACAAGCATCAATAAAACTCGGGGGCAAGACAATTTAAATCCCGAGCCGTGGGTCTTTTTGGAGCAACATTCACCACTCCACAACAGTCTTTGGCTGCGACATGCACGCCCCCCCGGCGATGACGTCATGTCTGTTCATCTCGAGATCTCGAGGCCCCAGTGAGAGGAGTGCAAGTCAGGGGGTCAAAACGACGCCAATTCATCGAACAGCATTCGGAAATATGGGACAAAATTCATCAAATTCATATCATCGACGTCGTTATGGCCATTCTGATTTTGACCTCGTCTGGCTGGGGCGGCCACGAAGCTCCCCTCCGGGCGCCACGTGCACTGTGTCACGCCGGGGAGGCTCCCTGACTCCCTGACGGCCAGCGGATAGGCAACCCCGCCCACGGCCGCGCGAGGCGCGTTGCCTACAACGCCGATGGCGCAGCGCTGCGCAGGGGTCCCCGAGGCCCTCGTCAGCAACCAAGAGGCACCCGGCAGCCACCTGGCGCCAAGCTGGTTGCCCGGTCGGTCGGTCGGCGAGGTCGGCGAGGTCGACGTGGTCACGAGGCGGCCGTTGCGTCTAGTCCACGGCCAGCTTCCGGAAGGACCCCTCGACGCCGAAGTCGTCCTGGCGGGGCTTGCCGCCCACGCGCTTGCTCTCGTCCGCCGCCAGCTTGGCCTGCCGCGCCAGGATCCAGGGCATGTTGGTGTGGATGATGAGGTGCCAGTCGTCTGTAAAAAGATGAAGCGGCATTAGTGCTCGCATCACGCCCGTCACTCTGTCTCTCTCGCACCCATACGGCACACCCCATGAGTGCGAGAGAGAAAGAACGACAAAACCGCTGTTCGGAACCAACCCGCTGTAGAAAATGGAAAGCAACTAGGAAATATCGCACCGCATACTTACCGCACATTTGCTGCAGAGTCTTGCCCTGGCCGCCGTAGTCCGAAGGCAAGCACGCCTTGTCGACGCACTTGTGGAAGCTCTCCACGGTGTCGTGGACGATGATCTAAGAACACGAAAGTTGGGTTTGGACGGTTAACCTTGGCCTTGGGCGCCTTGGGGCGGGGAGCAGTTTTGTTCGGCGCGCTCGGCACTCACCCGCTCGCCCAGCTTGTCCTTGAGGAAGGGCCTGACCATGGCGATGACGGTCTTGATGATGCCGGGCGCGTTGACGAGGTGCACCGCCTTGTAGTGGAGCGGCACCGAGCCCTGCGCCGTGTCCACGAACTGCCTGAACAGGCTGAGGTTTGCGACGAACGAGTTGTTGAGCGCCACGGTGAAGTGCTCCAGGTCCATGCAGATCTCCGCGTCGACGGGGTGGCCCTCCGACCCCAGGAACACGTCGGCCATGTGGACCGTGAGCTTGAAGTAGATCCCCCAGTCCATCTTGGACGGGTCCTCGCCCACCTCCTTGGTGAACTTGGTGATGACCATGCGCGTGCCCTGCGGCGTCGTCACGGGCAGCACGCCGGACTTACTGGAAGGAAGCGGGTTTGAATCTCACAGTTCCGCAAACAGGACAGTTTGAGTAAAATGGCGGGTTTGTCCATACATCAGGGCGAACAGGTTCTCGACGCCGGGGGATGGCCCCTGGGTGTAGAGCTCGGCGCGCTGCGCGCGGGATGTGCAGTATTTTTCCAGGTACTCCTTGGCGCGCTGGAGGGAGTTCTTCGACCCAATCAGAAACCGGATCAGCCAGGGGTCGAAGTCCTCTGAAAGAAAATACGGTAAATGCAGTCCAACAAAATCATAAAAAGGGGTCCGCTCTGCCGGCTGCGCCGCCCTGTGCGTCAACTGGTCCAGCGAGTGTTCATGTTGTATCCAAATCCGTCCCAGGGGCAGGGACCCGGGGAGCATGCCAAAATGAACGGCGGGTCGCTTTGGCTTACGGCTTAACGACGGACGTCGAGGCAAGGGGCAGGCAGTGGCTGGGCGTGCGCAGCGTGCGTCGACTCGATGAATAACACGACGACATGCCGTGAATTTACCGTGAGTCACACACACGCATACGGTTCACAGACACACGCGCGCGCGCCTCGCATTCATACACAATACACACACACACACACTCACGCACGCATTCATACACTACACACAGACAAACGCACGCAAACTCGCACTCACGAACTTACCTCCGAGCTGCGGCAGGTGGGGCTGCTGCGCCAACCACTCCCGGAGGATCTTGACGTCACGCTTGAGGGACTCTGGCGTGGCGTCCACCTTCTTGAGCAGCGCGGCGTGCTGCTCCTCGGGCAGGGGCTTGATGTCGTGCAGGAAGGGGGTGCACGCCGCGCCCGCGTCCACTGCAACACGAAGGCATGCGCCGATTCGTGAAAAGTGACAAGACTCTTTCTCGCAGTGTCCCGCGCTCGGGCCCGCATGGGTCTGGTCGGCCGGCTCCGCGGTGCCGGTGGAGGCCAGACTAGACACTACGCAAGGCCGCGGAGCCGCGGCCGGCCACCCCAGACCCCAGACAGGGGACTGGCCGACCGGCGCAGCGCAGCGCAGCAACGACGGAACGCCATCTTTCGCGGGAAAAAACGGTGCGCTCGCGTCTGGCCGGTCACGGCGGGGCGCCCCTTTGCCCCCACGGCCTACGGCAGGGTTGTTAACGTTACTTTTTAAAGGTAACGCGTTACCGTTACCGTTACTTCGGGTTTGAGTAACGGTAACGTCGTTACTTTACCGACTTCTGAAAAAGTAACGCGTTACCGTTACAGGTAACGCAGTAAAGCCGTTATCGTTACTTCAAATCCTAAAATTCCTTAAAAGCCACAATTTTACCGGTTAAAATTGCTGGGGTGAACTACGATTATTTTAAAATTAAAGTAAAGACAGTAAAATTTTAATGTTTAACACGTTCTAATGTAAACTTCTGCACCTACTTCTCCCAATATTGCCACTTATTTTAAAGTCAAAGTTAAGACAGTAAAATTTAAATGATTAACATTATTTAATGTAAACTTCTGCACCTACTTCTACCAATATTGCCAATTCATGGCCGATGGGACCTCTTTTTCAAGTGATGCATCGCTCAATCTGTTTCTGAGAGCAACAAATAAGCGTCTACACTCAGAAAAGTGCAAGTGTTGAAAGTTTTTTTGGAGTGTAGACGCTTATTTGTTGCTCTCAGAAACAGATTGAGCGCCTTGGCAAATGAGCTGATCACAGCAGGGAGAGAAAGGGAGAAAAATATAGGTTTGTAGCTCTTTTTGATGCCTCGCGGTAACGGTAACGCCGTTACCGCGTTACTCCTCTTTGGTAACGGTAACGTCGTTACTTTACTCATTTCTCAAAAAGTAACGCGTTACCGTTATCGTTACAGTAAAGGTAACGGTAACGCTGGTAAAGTCTTTACTCTATAAAGTAACGTTAACAACGCTGGCCTACGGCACTGTGAGCACCCCACGCCACCCACGCCCACCGATGCAGTGCGCCATGCCCAGCCATGCCGCCGAAAAGACGGGGAAGTAGTCTCTCCGAGGGAATGCCCCCGCGCGCATCCTTTTGTTTCCAGTAGTTCTCGCGGCCAAGGTCGGGGAGCTCAAGGCCAGGGTGAGGGAGGGCGGGCCGAGCCGCGAGGCGAGACAAGGCGAGAGAGGTGAAAATGAGCCAGTTAGCGCAGCCATCGGCCGGGGGCAGATTGCCGGGGTCATAAGAAGCGCATCCGAAGCGATTAGCTCTGTCTCTCCTGCCCATTCAGCTCTCGTCGGCCTGAAAGAGACGGAGATACGCGATTTGGAAGCACCCAGTGTGACGTAGGTTAGCCGAGGTTGGAGGATTTGAAATGCCGACAGCGCAGGGGCTCGGCATGCAGACGACGCTCGTCCGCCACACTGTGCGAAAAAACCACAGTGAATCCCGTTAATTTTTTTGCCGGGATTTACTGTAGTTAAGAACACAGGATCTACTGTGCCTGGCGACAGTATTTACTGTACCTGGTACAGGATATTCCGTACTCCACTCCTGTGGTACAGTAAATCCCGTACAAAGTACAGTAGATCCTGTCAAAAAAGTACAGTAAATCCTGTACTCTGAACTACAGTGACAGCTGTACTTATCACTACAGGATTTACTGTGATTTTTTCCCAGAGTGCACACGGCGGGGCTCCCTCGGACAAAGGCGCTTTGGACAAAACGACAAAACTTGCGTGACCTAGTCGGCCCAGACACCGTCAGGGCAACACGCCGCCGAGCCGCAGTGTGGCCGTAACGGCCTCGCGCCTCGCGCAACAACGAAAGCGACGAAAGCCCCTCGGCCCGCAAAACGGGCCCAGGCACGATGACGTTCGTTTTTGCGTCGACGGCGCCGAAAAGAAGATCATCGGGCCGCGCAACGCGACGCAACGCGACGCAACGCGACGCAACGCAACGATGCCGAGGCGCCGCGTCGCTCTGTCTCTCTCGCACTCAGGCGGCGCCCCGTACGGGTGCGAGAGAGACAGAAGCGCAGCTGACCGATGAAAGCGGCCCTTTCGGCCGCCAGGCTGCGCCTAAAGAGCCTCGGCCGCCAAGGCGACGACGGCGAGGGCGGCGCGGCGCGGCGTGGAGGCGGGCGGCGCCAATAATGCCGCATCCAAAGGCAGCCAGGCAAAGGTTGCGGCAGCAAAAGGCAAAGGCAAAGGCAAAGGTGAGAGGTGAGGGCTGCATAGACGCCGCGTCGCCCCGCCCGGCCCGGCCATGGTGCGCCCGGCCCGGCAAACCGGAGGCATCGCTCCACCTACTCATCTCGTTTCCGCGCCGCCGCCGCGCCAAGGCTGCCGTCGGCTGCCGCTTCCCCGCGCTGCGCTTCGCCAGCTCCGCCAGCTCCGCGCTCCGCGCTCCGCGGTTCGCTTGCGGTCGCCGCGATGAGAATGTCGTCGGCGACCGCAAACGCACACAAAGCCGCGGCCGGCGCGCTGCCTTTCGCGATTGGCTGTCGTTTTCAACAACACACGCACTGCAGGCTCGTTCCGAACTGTTGGCGTCTTCCTCTCACTCGTATGGCGCTCCGAAGGGTCACGAGAGAGACAGGGCGACGGCTCGCTGTTCGGGATCGGTCTGCTGGCGGCGGTGGAGGGCCCACCGCAGGCCGGCGGGCCGCCTCCCCGCGGGGCAAGGGGCCGGAGGGACTCAATGACGTCCGTGTCGCGCCGCGCGGTGCTGGCGGTCACATCGACTCAGACGAGGCGACGCATCCGGTTCGGGGATTCCCTTCTCGTCAAGGGAGAAGGAATAAACTCCCGCGTAGAACCAACGCCCAGGACCCGTGGGAATTCCCTTGCATGTGGGAGTCGCCCAGAGCGGAGAAAGGCTGCGCCGGGCCGTGCGGTGGGCGTCGACCTTGAGACCCATTCATATTCTCGACATTTCACCACATTTTTTTTTGAGACCGGCTGCGTGACCAGCGCCTTGTCTTGGCTGCGTGGCCCGCGCCACGGCGATGACGACGATGCTGCAGCAAGGCAGCAACCAGTCGGACGGCTCGGACGGCTCAGTCCCCACTCCGCCTTTCTTCTGGCCGAGGTTCTTGGCGGCGAGCCGCGCATGCAGGTCAAGAGCGACACAGCCCACTCCCGCTAGGCCGGCAGGCCGCGAGGCGCGAGGCGGCGTAGAGCACGCCGCGCGCCCAGAGCAGCGCTGGCCTATCCAGACCTATCCCTTCCAGCGGGTTCGCGAACTTGGCCTTGAACGCCTGCTCGGCGGTGCTGCGGCTAGACTTTTGACTCCAGCAGCAGGCAGGCCTCGGATGCCTCTCTGTTTCGAGTGTTGCGGTCCGCTGCTGCAGGCTGATTCCTGTCTTTTCCAACAACACGGGTCCTGCAGCAGGCTGATGATTCCCCACTGTTGGTTCTTCTCTAGCACTCATGTGGCTTTCCGTCAGTAGCGTGCGCAGAAATTTAAAAAAAAGGGGGGTGGGGTGTCAGGCCATGCTTTTTGCCTACTGACGGGGGGAATGTGAAGCAATTTGCCTACCTTCCAGGAGGCTATCAAGTGCCCAAAAGAGATTCATGACGCCCCCCCCCCCTTTTTCCTTGCGCACGCCACTGCTTTCCATAGTGGCGAGAGAGGCAGACAGCTATCCTAGGGCAACGGCTCGCTGCTGGGGACCGGCCAGCTCAGCTGGCTCCGAGGCTGGCTCCGCCGAGAGCGACGAAAGTAGTGCTCGGAATCAGCTGCTGTGGCCGCCTCACATCCTTCATCCTTTCGCCCCTTTCCTTTCGTTGTGGTGCCGAGCGATTCGCAAGGATCGTCTCGTCGCTCTGTCTCTCTCGCACTCCTCCGGACCACCTCACGAGTGCAACAGAGACGTGTCGAGACTGTTCAGTTCGATGGCGGCCGCGAGGATGCGCCGCCGCGCCGCGCTCATCAGACTGATTCCGAGAGTCGCTTTGGACGCTCTGTCTCTCTCGCACATGGACGGCACGGCGCGTGAGCGCGAGGGAGACAGAGCGACGATCACGACTCTCGGAATCAGTCTGCCGGTCAAGCGGTGTGAAGCTGTGAACGTGTTGGCGGCCGCGCGGTACATGGCCAGCCTGCGGCCGCGGGGAGTACACCGTCAAACTCTACTGAGATTCCCAGCGCCAAACGGCGACAGGCGACACCCGCTGGACCGGGCGACATCGAACGGCACAGCGCAAAATCGTGTTTCCAGTGCCGGGGGGTTGGCCTAGCCTAGCCAGGCGACTGATTCCGAGGGCCGCCTTCGTCGCTCTGTCTCTCTCGCACTCGTGGGCCGCCCCTATAGGTGCGAGAGAGACAGAGCGACGAAAGGCGGCCCTCGGAATCAGTCGACAGGCCGGGTAGCGGCCAGCGCACCGGTCTCCGCAGTCTTTTTGCAGTCCGCCTCGCCTTGGCACACTTTGTTCTGAGACGAGCAGTGCGGCGAGGCACCGGGGATTCTGGGGAACGAACCGAACGAACGGACGGCCGGGCCTCCGGACTCCGGATCGAGTGCCTCGGCATGGAGTGCCGCGGAGGCGTGGCCGGGATTAGCGCGACGCCGCGAATGGAGGATGGCGCAACCATCGGGCCGAACTTGACCACGCACCGCGGGGCCACCGCACCGGCCGCCGCACCGGCCGCAGCGAGTACAGTCCGCCGTCTGCCGGACAGTGCATCGTCGCTCTGCCTCTGTCGCACTCATGGGGCGTGCCGTAGGGGTGCGAGAGAGGCAGAGCAACGACACCATCGTTTGGCAGGCGGCTGATCCCCGACAAGGTGCATCGTCCACCACTCTGTATCTCTCGCTCTCTGGCAGAGCGCCCCAAGTGCGAGAGAGACAAAGCCACTGTTCGGAATGACGCTCAGTCTGCTGCTGGGCAAGACCATCCGCGCCGTGAGTCACATCACTGCCAGTGACTTGCACGGCGCGTCTTGCTTCTTACCGCCGCCAAAAAGCAAGTCGCGGTGAAAGTGCACGGCGCAGCGCGGCGCTCGCGAGACCGTGGTCCTGCTGCGGCACTGCGAAAAAACCAAAGACCCAGCAGCAGCAGCAGACCGATTCCGAAAAGTCATCTCTGTCTCTCTCGCACTCCAGCGACAGGCTCCGTGAGTGCGAGAGAGACAGAGCGACGGAACGGCGGTGCGGAATGGCTCGGCTGCAGCACCGGCGGCGCGGAGGGACGACCAGGACGACGACGGAGGGCTTTAATGGAACCAATTACTGCTGGCGCCTGGAGCGGAGCCTGGCGTCGTCGGCGACGTAAGGCACCTCGGGCACGGCGGCACGGCACGGCAACGCGGCCATTTCGGCCGGAAGGCGAAGACTCATTTCAACCAAGGCGGGAAGAAAGTCCGCGCGTCGTCGCCGTCGTCGTCTGTCCTGTCGTCCGGGACGTCATCCGCGACGTCGTCCGGGACGGGACGCGATGCGCGAGGCTGCCGCCATGAGACAAGGGTGCCGACGACGCCGTGCTGCGGCGACCCTTGGGCGGGACCACGGCGTCCACGACGAACCTCACCACGCCGCAGAGCTGGCGGTCATCATCGTCATCATCGTCGCTGTGGGCCTCCACAGACCTTTAGCGGTGGCGCCGCGAAGGAAAATGTTGGCGGGCGGCCTAGAGTGGCCTAGAGGCGCCGCTTCCTTCCGACATTCCCGGCATCGCGATGCCGGCCAAAGCGAGAGCGCAGGTGCGGCGCGCCAGGGAAGTCCAAGGGGAAGTCCCGGCCGCGCTTCCCGCGTCCCCCAGGACGCCCTCGACGAGCGAGAGCGCCGCAGTGCACGCGTCATGGATGCGTCCAGCAGCGACAAAACTCGAAAAAGTGCCATCTTGACCAAAGGGATGCTCTTTTCTGGGTGAAGTGGTTGACTCAGACGTGCACGTGCTCGAAAATTGGAATGACTCTCTTGGGCGCTCATGGGTCAAGCAAGCACTCTTGGAGCAGCAGTCCGTTACGTGCGTTTAAATCTCTCGATTGCCGCTACTACACTCTAGGTGTGCACTGTACACACACGATCGGCCAGCCGTTCGGCGATCCTCGCCTTCGAATAGTGACACTGGCTCTGTACGTCGAGTGCACGGCCACGGCACGCGCCCACTGCGCCGCGACGCAAGCTGCACAGTGACCCGGTGGCGCATCTGGGCGAGGCCGAGGCGCGAAGGCCCGCTTCCATACCTTGAACCAGTTCCGGCATCTTGGTGCAGGCGGTGCAGGCCGTGCAGGTAATCCAGTCAGGCCCGCGCGGCGACGTGCGCGTGTGTGCGGTGTGTGCGAGCGTGGAGGTGCGTGGCGTGGCCGATCTCGGAGCCAGCCGTCGTGAGACTGGCCGCTGGGGGGCCGCGGGACCGGGGACTCCGCGGGGGCCGTGCGCCGCGCCGTGCCGCACTCTGAAGGGAGGGCGAGGGGGCCGCCCCTCTCACTGCAGCCCCGCCCCCCTCTCCCTTCAGCCGACCGGAGCCCGGAGCCCCGCCGTTACGTTGCGTTACGTCTGCGACTCCGAGGGCTTGCCGCCTTTCAGACGAGTCGTCTCGTCGCTCTGTCTCTGTCGCACTCATGGGATGCATCGTAAGGGTGCGAGAGAGACAGAGCGGACGATCTTCTGAATCACTCGACTGCCGAACGCCCGCGGGCCACGGACGCGGCGAGGGCTTTGGACGGCCGAGCCCTGCTGACTGATTCCGAGCACTGCTTTTGTCGCGGTCTCTCTCGCACCCTTTCCGGACGCCCCATGAGTGCGAGAGAGACAGTCCGACGAGAGCAGTCTGCTGGGCAGCCCATGATGCTGGCGGTGTTGCGAAACGCGCAACGCGCGCGTTGTCGCTGTGAGTTGATGGCCCCACGGAAACGGCCAGCCACGAGTGTTGTGCGGTGTGGTGACAGGCCGAGAAGGTGACTTCGCCGGTGACTTCGCCCGGACGCGAACCGCGAACGGGTGTCGTTGTCCCATCTTAATGGCCGGCGACGCGACGCGACGCGGCGCACACCGTGGGGCGTAAGTGACAGGCAAGGCGATTGCCTCCCCCTCCTCGAAGGTGCGCGGCCGGCTGTGTCGGGTGGGTGGCCTACCCGCAGAGAGCGTGATGCTGTCGCTTTGTGGGTGGCCAGCTGTCCAGGCGCTCCACGCGGGCTCCCCGCACACAGTGGGCCAGAAGACCGGTGCAGGCGACCAAAACTCTCGACGCGTTTTGAGCTCCAGAGTCGCTAAATGCGACTCGAACCGAACGTGTGACCCCACCTATGGATTGCTCTCCGAACGAAGAATCTATTGGTGGGGTCACAAGCTCGTAACGCGTCTAGAATTTTGGCCGCCTCCACCGGTTTCTGGCCCACTGCGCGGCAGCTCGCCGTCGCAGGGAAGTGCCAGAGCACGATGGGCTGCCTACCTGCAAGGCGCTCGAGAGCACAACGTCTGTTCAGACTCGTGGAAGACACAGAATGTTCATGAAAAGGCTCGACGTGACTGAAGTCTTCGTGGTATTTCACGAATAAAGGATAAGCGAGCCGTCATAAAGGCGGTTTTGATTTAATGAAACTGGAAATACAAAATGCTGTGTTCAATTGACATTTATTCTGCTGGCTGTGAATACAATGGGCATTGATAAACCATAAACCAAAACGAAAAAAAATACACCGAAATAGGATAAAGAGTCGCGGAAAATGGATCAAATACAAAATCGAAAAGTGCGCCGAAAAAGTGACACAGACGAAAATGACAATGAGGGCTACTATGGGAGGGCGCCACGAGGAGGGAATCACTGTGCGCTAAGTACACGAGTAGAGGTGAGTACACCTTCAATGATCGTAAATTCCATATTTCTGAACGTTTTAGACATCCTTTAACGTTTAAGAAGGCAAACAACGTTGAACATTGCCAAAAAATGAGTGAGTTTTGCTGTTCCAAAAGTGTGAGTGAGCACAGGTCAATGTGTCAACATGTGTATACACTGGTGATTCATCCCTCGGGTCAACACCGTCCGGGCCGTGACGTTAGAGGCCGCTGATATTCGAATTGAGGATAACGCCTAGACCAGCGAGCGTTGCGCCGCACAGCGTTCGTCGCAAGGGTGTTAGTAGCGACCGATGCTCCACAACAAAACGTACCGCCTCACACAGACTTGGGCTCGCAATTCACTCGCAAGCCTTTTTAAATTCAAAGCTCATCCCCGCTGAGGAATTTCAAAACTTGCATTATTTTTTTTTTTTGCACACAATTGAGCATACGCGTGGAATGCACAAATTTGTGCGCCATATCGCAAAAGTTGCCGCATGAAAATGGACAACTCCATGCTTAGCTGCGCACGAATTCATGCATTTTAAAATGAAAGCTCAATCCCGTGCGAAGCTATGCACCGAAAAATACATAGTTATTTAGTGTGTGAGTAGCTCTCATGCTCACGATCTAGGAATTGGAATCCCTACAGAGGGAACACGCCCATTACAAAGGCAGGCGGGTGAGGAGCTACCCTACGCTTAATGGACAATTATAGTTGGATAGACACGATACACTTAACATCATACAATAAAAATCGTTTAGGAGAGGTAAATAGGCAAGTTAATTCATGTTGCTGCTGCTCAGGTTTCGTAAATCAAACATTTTGTCATTGTGGAGCGTTGATCATACATTCATTGGTGTTGAGATACGTTTATCATACATTCGATGGAGTTTGCTGCAAGAAATGGGTGATCGAAAAGGCGTCGATTCGGCGTCGACATGACGCATAATCGACGTCTTTCCGATGCACTCATTTCTGGCAAAAGTATTGATATGCGTTTATGAATTATGCATTGGGCGTTGAGATTGCTTTAGTCAAACAAGTCGCTAGTGTTGAGGTTGAGATGCTATATACGTTAAAGTACGCTGGTGTTAAGATGCGTTCAGTACGTTTCATAATCACTTTGTTGTTTATCATTTCGCTGTTTTTCATTGATACGCGCATGGTTTACGGACTTGTCCCCTACCCTCACACAGGGACCAGACTTCACGGGAGATAAGGAACCCCTCCGAGTAGCGGTAACCAAAATGGCCAAATAGGGGGTGGGTGAGCCCAGCAAGAAGTTGAATTTTGAGTCTGTGTCGGTTGTGGGGCTTCTTGGTCTGGCCCTTCATGCGGAACCAATCGAGTCTCCAGACAGGCGCAGCTTCCGCAATCACCAGGGCAATCGCAATCCCTCTCACGCACGAAAACGTCATGCCCCACCTAGAGAGGGGAACTATTCTATTCAACCGATCCATTCTACTACCATAGTAATTGGTCTTGGCGGTTGAGATGGCGGGGATGTGCCGTCGCATTGCCGGCACCGCGAGGACTCTTCTTCATGACGAGCAATAAACGCTGCGTCGAGGGCCGATAACCGCCGAAAAGGCAGGCCAGAAATGCCAGAACTGGTACTGCCTGAAAAAGAGAGCGAAAGGGGCAAAACGTTAGACAGCACTTCCATTGCGTTGGGCCCGTTGGGCCCGTTGGGCCTGGTCCGATGTTCCCATCACCGAAATCCAGAACAATGCCTCCGCGTCCCAGAATGTGTCGCGTTTAAACGCACACGATGGCATTCCAAACTCTGAAATTAAAAGAGCACCAAGTTTTGATGCCCCCCCCCCGAACCTTGAATCCTCCCACCGAAGTTGCCAAAATGTTGCCTTATTTTGGCACTTTGGTCGGGTGGAGAGCCAAAGTTTGGCATGACGATGTGGACTTTCAAGCAGGAAATGCCACTGGATTATTGCAGCTGAGGCGTTTCTTTTTGGGTGAGTTCCGCGTTCAAATACCCGCCAGCCGATGCACAGTCGTTGCGCCTTGCGGCGTGACGCAGTGTATTCGCAGCAAGCGGAGCGCAGTTCGAGTGCGATAACTGGCGAGTACTGGGTGCGGCCGTGCGGCGCGATAAGGGGCCTTCCACAAATCACGTATATAATAATGCCACGAGCATGAATCCTGACGAAGCCCCTTTGCCCCCACCCCTCACCCCCTCGGTTCCCGTTTACGTCCCCTCTTTGAGGAGCCAATCCAGAGCCAACCTTTGGGGCAAAGTAGCACTTTTTGCCTACCTACAGGGGAAAAGCATAGCTGTGTGCCTACTTACAGAGGCAGCGTGTGGCTTTTTCCCGACCTTTCAAAGGTGCCATCGGAGGGGCCAAAGGCTGTCGCCCCCCTTTGGATCCGCACTTGCTCTCTTAAGTAATAGTACGAACGAGTGCAATCGTACTTGCCAGCGTCCCTTTACTTTGAACCGAGTGGAAAGGTTCAAACAAAACGGCAGCAACGCAGAGGAACACTTACCTCGACACTTCCAGTCAGGCGCAGGGCGGGATGGGGCGGCTGCTGCAGGGCACTGCAGGGCTCGCCGCACCGCGGCCCCAAGGCCCCTCGGGCGAGGCCGTGGCCTGCCGTGGCAGAGGCCCGTGACAGGGTCGGAGCGGTGGCCGCCATCCGCTTGGAGTCCATAGCAGACTGATTCCGAGAGTCGTCTTCGTCGCTCTGTCTCTCTCCGTCTCATGAGGCGTGAGAGAGACAGATGAAAACGACTCTCGGAATCAATCAACAGGGGCCGTTCGACTAGCTTCGACGTCTGGATCTTAGGCCAGGCCAGACGGAGGATTCGGTCGCACAGTGCAGCCCCCGCTGCCAGGAGTGGCTGCAAAACTAATCGACACGACGGGGCTGCCTTGCTGCCCTGGGCGTGTGCTCCTGAGATACGCATTATCTCGGCCCCTGCAAACTTATCCCGAGAGTCGTTTACGTCGCTCCATCTCTCTCGCACTCATGGGGTGTCCCGTAAGGGTGCGAGGGGGACAGAGCGACGAAAATGACTCTTGGAATCAATCAGTCTGCTGCTGGCTTGCAAGCAAGCCGCAAGTACATCGGAACGACCGTTGCTATCCTGCACCGCCTCGCCTCAACGCGGGGAAGTACAGGTGTCGCATGGGCTGCCTATCTGCAGGGCGCTTCAAGCCAGCGCGCGGTGGGCCAGAAGATCGGTGGAGGCGGTCAACACCCCGGACGCGTTTCGAGCTCCTGAGTCGCCAAATGGGACTCAAACCGAATGCGTGGCCCCACCTTCCGAACGAGGAATCCATTAGTGGGGTCACACGCTCGGTTCGAGTTCTGTTTAGCGACTCTGGAGCTCAAGGCGCGTGTAGAGTTTGGACCAGGCTTTGACCGCCTCCACCTTCCCCGCGCCGGTCTTCTAGCCCATTGTGTACACTCTTTCCAGTGCTAGTTTTGAAAGGCAAGAGAGCAATCTCTCATTTAATCAATTAATGTTGGTACTTTGTAAGATGGCTTTGTTCAAATGCATCGAAAGAACATGAAAGTGAAGTGGATGCAATTATGCAGTCTCAATCCCGTTATGTCAGTGAAATACAAACTGTGTGGCATATATGACGAATTTCAGATGTCAAATGAAAACTTTAAGCAAATGTACATAACTGATATTTATTCTGCTGGGTGATAAATACAAATAAACATGGGCTGAAAAACAATCAAGAAGAATTTACCATCAATAGGATGAAAAAAAAATAATAAAGATACAATAATTTAGAGCAAATCGAAAAGTATGCCGAAAAAGTGACACAGAAAGAGTGACAATGCGGACTACGGGGGCAGCACCGTCCCGGCCGTGACGTAAAGGCCGCTGGCCTCGGAGGTGGGGACAGTGTCCTGCCTAGCGGGCGTTGCGCCGCACAGCGTCGTCGCAGGGTGTTTGTAGCGATCGAGTCAGCTCCGTGACAAAACGCTTCGCATCACACAGACTACCAGGAGATCCACTCACAAAGCAACTTAATTCGAAGCATGTCCCCACTGTGAAATTTCAAAACTGATCACTAAACGAGAAAGATCGACGAGTTGAAAAAACGACAGAGGAGACAAAGCCCATTACGATTGCAGAACAAGTGAGCCCCCTGGCCAAAAATCCAAAAAAAACTCACACGAGAACATCACAAGTTGAGAGTTTTGGCTTTTTTGAGAGAGGCAGGTTGTATGTTTTTCGAGGGTTTTCTGGTTTTGGCTGTAGATGAGAATTATTTTGCTAGAGACATTGGACTAGCCCCCACCCCCTCTTCCGGGAGCCAGACTTCACGAGGACATGGGCCTTCCGAGTAGTGCTTATTATCACACACTCATCCAGCTTATCCAAAACAACAACCAGAATTAATTTACATGAATGGTAACCAAAATGCAGTGAGCCCAGCAAGAAGGTGAATTTTGAATCTGTGTCGGTTGTGGGGCTTCTTGGTCTGGCCCTTCATGCGGAACCAATCGAGTCTCCAGACAGGCACAGCTTCCGCAATCATTAGGACAGAGGCGGCAGTGGCCGCCCCATCGCAATCCCTCTCACGCACGAAAACGTCATGCCCCACCTAGAGAGGGGAACCATCGGGATGACCGTTGTGGCTCTTCTAAAAGGAGTGTTGAAAAGGAATCACTCCGAAGGCAGCGGCTCCAATACTTCCTGAAACAGAGGAGGGCAAAATACTTATAAGAACACGACAAATAATAGGAATTAATAAAAATATTTGTTTAGGGTATTTCCAACATCAATAGTACCTTAGAATATATATCAGATAGGGAAATTTGAAAACTCCTTGATGGACGAAAACATTTCATTTGGAATGAGTTGTCCGAGATCCATTCCACAGCTACATTGCCGTTGTTAGCAGCACCTGAAATAAAAATTAGAGTTTTTAAACAATAACAGTCACAAGAAAGCTAGAGTCTTCTAAAATGAAAAACAACAACAAAAATAGCGCAGAATAGCTGGCCCACAAAAATGGGAGAAGAGGAGTAGTACTTGGGAATTCTTCACTTCAATATCCCCAAAGGAGAAATTTGGTTTTGCCTTAAAGCTTTGGAAACTTCCCAGCATTCTGAGATTTTTGGCCAACCCTACTACATAGGCAAAAAGCACCACTTTGCCCTTGTGAGTAGAAAACCACTCTACATTGCGCCCTCTCCCTTAGGCATAAGAACCTCTGCAGAGGTCTCCGCCGCGTAGAAAAACTTCGACAGGCCAGCAGGCTGATTCCGGGTCGTTTTGATCCATCTCTCTCTCTCGCACATGTACGGGACGGCCCATGAGTGCCGACTTTCGGAACCAGTCTGCTGAGGTCAACGAAGGTCATCCCCCTCCCCCTATTAAGGAGACGACGGGGTATGCAACCCGCATTGCAAACAGCCCCATGTTCAGGGGCGGATCCAGAGCCTGAGGGCGGTGGGGAGGAATACACAGTGACTTTTCACAGAGACAACAAGTTGCTTTTGAACAAGTGGCTCTCTAGGGCCCAGGAGGAAGCTACACCCTGAAAAGGGTGATCTTGCCCGTAGAGATACTCTGGACGGCAGCAAGAGTATTTCATTGCCACAATGGATATTCGCTTAGCTCAAGAGTATTTGGTGCTAGTGATAAGAGTGACTCTTACGACAAGAACCCACTTTTCAGGGTGTAGAGACATGCAGCTCCTTAAAATGCGCAAATGGACAAAAACGACTCCGAAACCGACGACTTGACACGCCTGTTTCCAGTCAAACTGAAGAAATTTAGGCTGACGAGCCCCCGCTCGGCAACACATGGCACTCGAGTCGTACTTACGTCTGAAAGGCTGAACGAGTCACGGTGGTCCTTCAGGGTGACGCGGCGGCGTCATGGTGACGCGGCGCCAGCATGCGCCAGCAGCACATGGAGTCCCTCTGCCGTCTTCTGGTCCCTCAGGCCTCGGTTCGCTGGTGTGGGGTGGGCTGGGCTGCCGCCGACGCCGCAGACTGGGCTGGGCAACCGCGAGCAGGCATGGGCTGCTGCACGTCACTCACGTCACTGCTGAAGCAAAACACATCATTTAAAATTAAAACAGCAAAAAGAAAGCGGCCACCGCCTCCAAACAAAAATGGCCAGCACCACCGCCCGGAGTAGGCGGTCTTGGTTCGGAAGCAGTGGGCGTCCAAGGTCACAGTCAGCCATTTCAGGACCATTGTGAAATTTGAGGATTTGTGCAAACTGGAGTCGCGCCCGACCTTTCGTGACAAAGCGTCACGAAACAGCCGCTGGTCGAGCCAGGGCCGGCCTCTGGGGAGACTCTGGTTTTGGGTTGGCCAGGACTCTCGTCTCTGCAGGGCGTCTGGGCTGCATACTGATTCCGAGCACTGTTTGGCTCTGTCCCTCTCTCGGGTACTTGCGGGACGCCTCGTGAGTGCGAGAGAAACAGCGACGAAAGCAAGAGCTCGCAATCTGTATGCAGACAGGTCTCGGCACTGTACTTACGGCTGCAGGCCTGCACGTTGGACTCGCGGTTTGTCCTTCCGCGTCCTTTGGCGTCATCCAGGCATCATGGTGGTGCTGCTAGCGGCCAGCTCGCGGCGTCCCTCGGCGCCTCGGTCCGCTGGCTTGCAAGCTGGTCACCGCCGCCGCCGACACCGCGGAGCTAGTCGCGGACACCAAGGGTGCTCGCCAGGCAACGGCAACGGCCGCGGCCTGGCCGCGGCCATGGGCCACGTCGTTCCACACTCACTCCTTCTCCTGGACTGACTGACTCGACTCGAGTCGGTCAGACTCTCTGGACTCTCTGTCGTATCCTGGCCGTGTCGTTCGTGCCGTGCCCTGCCGGTTGTTGCTGGCCACCCCGCCCCGCGCCCCTCTGCCCCACGGCCCGCCACGCCGCCACCACCGCCCGCCCGCCGGGCTGAGGGCGGTCTGCCCTCCACCCCACCCCCACCCCGTCTCCTCGCGCTGCCAGCGGGCCCAACGAGCACGTCGCGGCGCGGCCGGCGCGGTTCGCCGTCGCCGCACCTTTGTCACACATTCAGCAAATCAAATTTAGCAGCCACCAAACGTGGTGAATTCCGTGGCCAAATTGCTTTCTGTCGATATGATCGCATCTGTTTCAGCGAATGTGACGTCACGTTCGATAGAATGTGAATCGTGTCACGTTCAAACGAACGTGGCGTTCTCATTTTCGACAAACAGTGTAGGAGGGAATGTGTTGCGGGCTGCCTGCCAACCGACGCCGGTGGCCGGTAGAGTCACAACCAGTGCCATAAGCCACAAATCGAGCCACAAAAGTTAATCTAATTTCATCAATGAAATCCATGCTGTGTGCAAAAATGGTGACAATAAATATTTTCAAAACGTATAGGTATAGGAACTGATTTATTTTGCTGGGTAGTACTGCAAATGGACATTAAGACCATGAAAAATAAGAAGTTTCCAAAAAGAATCAAAAGTCACGGTAAAAGTATAGTACAAATCGAAAAGACACAGACGGAATGACAATGTCGACTGCGGGGGCGGTACCGTCCCCCGTGAAGCATAAGCCGCAGGCCTCAGGGAACAGAGGCGGATCCAGAGGCGGCCCTTCGGGGCAAAGTAGCACCTTTTGTCCATTTTCAAGGCCAAATGGCTTTTTGCCTACATTTCAGGCGTTTATCTGGGGAGAGGGGGCAAAAACCCCTTTGCTCCCCCTCCTGCATCCACCCCTGCATTGGCGAAGACGGCGCCCAGTCCCACGAGGCGTTGCGCCGCACAGCGATGGTCGGGGTTTCCGCTCTGTGACGAAACGCCTCGCATACACAGACTATCAGAGAGCTCCTCACAATGCAACTTTATTAGAAGAATATTCAAAACTGATCACTTAGAGATAAAGATCGACGAGTTGAATAAGCCCATTACGATTGCAGAACGAGTAGCCCCCAGAAAGATCCGTACATTTTACATTTTTTACATTTTGAGCAGAGACGTAAGACTTAGTCCCACCCCCCTTCTTCCCAGAGCCAGACTTCACGAAGGTTACGGGCCTTCCGTGTCACACAATCCATAGCTTATCCAAAAGAAAACAACCTGAATAAATTTAAATGGTAGGTTTCAACCAAAACGGTAGGTGAGCCCAGCAAGATGTTGAATTTTAGAGTCTGTGTCGGTTGTGGGGCTTCTTGGTCTGGCCCTTCATGCGGAACCAATCGAGTCTCCAGACAGGCACAGCTTCCGCAATCACCAGGGCAATCGCAATCCCTCTCACGCACGAAAACGTCATGCCCCACCTAGAGAGGGGAACCATCGGGATGGCCGTTGTGGTTCTTCTACAAGACATCCAATGGCAGTGGCACCGGAACACTTTCTGAAACGGAGGCGTTTCAACATTTTATTAGAAAAGAGTCGACTTAAAATGTATAGCCGTGTTTCCTTCCTTTCTTTCTCGACAACCTTAAAATATTTTACAGGAGAGGCTCGTTATTTTTTTCTTGTATCGAGCCACGAGTCGATCCAACAACTCCATTATTCCACAGCTAAACGCCCTTACCAGCACCTAAAAACAAAAACAAAAAACATAACACTTTCAAAGCATAGATCAGGCAAAGTTCCCATTTCCCATATGGCATCCAAGGCGAAATCTTTGAGGCAGGAATTTAGTTTGGCAGCAGCAGCCGCCCAAGTCCAGCATGGCGACGGGCGGCTCCGGGAGGGGGAGGAGGGGGCATGCTCCACTGCCCGGTCGGGTTTCGTACCGCTATGAAGGTAGGCAACGAGACAATCCGCCTGAATATAGGAAAAAGGAGACATCCCCCCGCCTTTCCGAAAAACAAGAGTCGCCCCTGTGTTGGCCTTGTATTGGCGCCGTCACTGTACTTACGGCTAATGGACTGCTCCGGGAACTGTTCACGGTTTCCTGCAGCTGCACCGGACCGGGGTGCTTGACTCTCCGCAGTCCGCAGCCCGCAGCCCTCCGGCCTCCTCAGGCCTTGGGGGCTGAAGGATCAGGCCACCGCCGCGCGCCCGCCGCGTCCGCGGACATAGCACTGCAGCGCACTGCAGCGCACTGCACCGCACGTGCAGGCACTTGAGGACCTCGCCCTGGCCTCGCCAGGCTGCCTGACTGACTCTGACCACTCTGACTGACTGACTGCGCTGCCGCAAGTTGCGGGCTGGCGGCTGCTTATCGTAAAACCCACTTCACTTATTTTGCCCGAGCGATCTCAACGACCCCCGCCCCCGCCCCCTCCATCTCCCCCGCAAACCAATCGCCACCATTCGCGTCATGAAGCAGGCCCGTGTTCATGTTCACCCGCAGCAAGCCGAGCAAAGGCCATCGCAGGGCGTGCGTGCAAGGGCCAAAGTGTAAAACGTTCAAATTAAATCAAAAATAGGCGCAAATAAATGTTAAAAGTGCAGGCAGTCAAATGTCAAGAACAGTGGCGTGGGGGGGGTCATGATCCCCCCTTTTGGCCATTTTGGCTACTAGACAGCCTGGAAGGTAGGCAAATTGCGTCATTTTCCTCCTGTAAGTAGGCAAAAAGCATGGCCTGACCCCCCCCTTTTTTTTTTCAAAATTTCTGCGCACGCCACTGGTCAAGAAAGCTGCGGATGACGTCACTCCAGTGGTACGCGCCGGCCCGATACTGCCGTGCTGGCGGACGTGCCGTCTGGCCCGTCTGGCCTGCAGCTCAGCTCGGCCGGAGGAAGTGTGAGCTCGTGTTCGTGCCGATAGGGTGCGCATAACACGCCTAGCAGGCGGCGGGGTCCCTGCCATAAAATATGCTAAAAATCGTACGACGAGTTCCAAGCTTGGGTCGGAATGGTGACGGGTGCGGGTCCAGGACAATGGACCCCACCATGGCGCCTAGATTTTCCTGAAAGGTAGGCAAAACGCCAGACTTTGCCCCTCCTTCCCCGCAAGTAGGCAAAAAGTTGTACTGTGCCCCTTCCTCAGGCTGGCTCTGGACCCGCCATCGAATAGCGTGGAATGGTGTGCGTCGTCGAGTGGGCAGGCCGGCCAGGCTCGGTGGTGGCGAGACGTGGGAGTCCCAAGTTGACCTTCCACGGGACGGGGCCTAAAGTGTGGTCCACGACGGCTCGCGACAGTTTGCCGCCGGTGACTCAGCGGCTAAGTTCGGCATGCGGGTGGCTCGCAAAAAAAAAGAGTCCACGTAAGGGAAAAATGAGTTTTATTCTTTCAGTTATCTTACATACGTACATACATACATTCATACACACATATACGTACATAACTTACATACATACATATTTACACATGGTACACATATGTACACGAAAAGTGAAGACGTTTAAAATGCACACAGAGGAAAACATGTCTCAATAATTAGGCCTTTGCAAAAGAAAGACAGCAAAAGAAAACTATGCTGCTTGGGGTCTACAGCTCTTCCTACAAGATCTTTTAGAAATGAGATTACTTTGCTATTTCAATCTAGATAAAATACTGCTTGGGAAACTTAACATGCACAATGCACATCCAACATAAAGATTTTGGCTGAAGCATGGGCAGCTTCAGATATCACAAAGATTACTCAAAATGTTCTGTGGCAGTGCTGAGAAATACAGGAAGTTGAGGAGGAGGGAAGACAAAATGGCGTCATAGAAAGGCGAGAGTAAGAATTTTCAGCACCTCAAAACTGAAGTAATTCCCGAAATAGAACAACAAAAATATTGTAGTATTGGCACGAACTACAAGCCAAAAAAAATGTTTATATTCTGGAACAAAAAAGAAATATTTTTTAAAACAGATACCTTCCTGTTCTGGAGGGAAGTGATGATGAAGGACATGATTCTTGGTCTAACATAGGCCGAAAGGGCATATCAAGGATATTTCTACTCAAACGTGAAGTAATGAAAAGACTGCATTGGCAGTGAGAGGAATGAGTTGAATTTTGCGTCATTTATGGCACTTGGTACAAACAAAGTGCATTTTTTTCATTTATGCATGATGGTTCTGCTTTGAAATAAAGCCGGATAAAATATGTTTCAAATCACAGAGACACTATTTTCATAGAGTTGCCATCACTTTCAAATGGTCCACTGATCAGATAGGCAAAACATAGTTTTAAATTATCTTCTTTTGGAGAAGTGAAAGAATTGTAAAGTGAAAAATGTTAACAATCTTCCTAATAAACTATCTACTGAGCAATAGTAAGTGGACCACAAGATATAAAAGGATTTTTTTCGCTATAAATGCTACTGGTTCATCAATAATCACTGGTCGGCGTACCCTTCGTGCCCAGATCAACCAAAGCTAAAGATGCCACGCATCTCATTATCTCATTCTGAAGGAGGGTCTTCTTTAGATCGCAGCCGCCCTGAGGCCCAATAGAAGCTGGCCAGGCACAGTGCGGTTACTTATCGGAAGTACTTGAGCCCGACCACCATGAGGAACTTCTCGAGGAACTTCTCCGAGTCCAGGACGGCGATGTGGGCCGCGCGGCCGATGAGGGCGTCGGCGGTGTGGGCGCTGAACGAGTGGTGCACGTCGTACCGCACGAACGTCACGTCGGGGTTGTTGATGATGGGGTGCAGGATGTTCTGCAGCATCTCCCGGTAAGCGGTGCCTGCAACACGAGTAGGCGACTGTCAAACCTGCCTCCAGCACCCAGCCGAGTGGTTCTGCAGAGTCTTTTCGTCGCCTTGTCTCTCTCGCACCCCCGGGACGCCCCACGAGTGCGACAGAGACAGAGCGACGCAACGACTCCCAGGCAGACGCGATACTCACCCTGCGCAGAGGTGTCCTTGACGGCGGCCTTGCACAGCTCGATGCGCGCCGAGTGCAGCGGCACGTAGCGGTCCTGCGAGGAGCCGCACAGCAGCACGTTCTTGAAGAGGTGCAGGTTGGACACCTGGCTCAGCTTGTACATGAAGGTCTGGCGCAGGTCCGGCGCGTCGCGGCACGACAGCTGCACGATGGAGTCGGAGCCCTTGAGGCGCGACAGCAGCCACACGCCCATGTTGACGAGGCCGCTGCTGTTGTACAGCGTGCCCAGGTGCGGCCCCACCAGCGACAGGAAGGTGTGCAGGCGGCCCAGCAGCGGCTTCATGCGCGGCTTGGCCAGCGCGGCGCGGATGATGACGTTGCCCAGCGAGTGGCCCACGAAGCTGATGCGCGCCGGGTTCAGCCCCACCGTCTCCACGTAGTACAGGATCTCGGTCACCAGCCGGTCGCCCATCGTGTCGAAGTCCGTCTGGGTGTCGCACTGCGGACAGAGAACTGCCAAGTTACAAAGGCCGTCATGCAGGTAGACCGATTCTGGACAGAACCTCGTTGCTCTCTCTCCCTCTCGCACCTATGCGGCACGCCGTATGAGTGCGAGAGAGAAAGTGCCGGAGCTGAGCGGAATCGTGCTGCGGGCAGGCTGGAGTGAGGGTACTCACCGAGTTGCGCTCCGACATGATGAACTCGAGGTTGGAGCCGGGCAGGCCCAGCTCCAGGAAGGCCTTGACGAGGCGCAGGTCGTACGAGTTGCCGCTCAGCCCGTGCACGCACACCACCAGGTGCAGGCCGGACGGCGAGTACATGCGGCAGGCGTCGCTCACGTAGAAGTAGGGCAGCGTGGAGGCCAGCGTGGCGAAGTCGCTGTAGATCATGCCGGAGAAGTTGATCTGGCGCTTGAACTCCTCCTTGGCCTTGGCGAAGCTCACGATGGCCTCGTAGTCCGAGCCGGCCAGGATGAGCTGCTGGTTGTCGTCCTGCATGTCCTCCGCCTCGGCCTGCGCCTGCACCGCGGCCGACTCCACGGCCAGCATGGTGACCTCCGTCTTCCTGCTGGCGCCGCTGCTACTGCTGCTGCTACTGTTGCTGGCGCTGCTGCTCGTGCTCTGGCTGGACAGCTTGTGGAACTTGTAGTTGTTGGACTCGACCTCGCGCTTCACCCTGGAAATGAGAAAACGAAAAGAACAGGCGTTAATTCAGTGCCGTCAGTGCCTAAAACGCGGCGTCGCGGGGCACTCACTTGGCCTTGTGCCTGGTGGCGGGGGTGTGCTGGTGGTGGTGGTTGTTGTTGTTGGCCGAGGTGGGCGACGGCGGGTCCAGCCCGCTGGTGATGGGGACGGGCCGCCGCCACGGCCTCTTGTCGATGCACGTGCCGGTCTTGTCCCTCGCCGCGGTGGGCAGCGTGTGGTAGCCGTCGCCCAAGCCGCCTAGGGTGTCCGCGCTGCCGTCCAGGCACAGCGGGGGTGGGAACTTGTGGCGCTTGGCGGGCACGGGCCGCGCCCCGGGCGGCGCCGCCTTGGCGGTCTGCCTGACCGCGGGCCTCGGCGACAGCCTCCGCAGCAGCAGCGAGCTGGACGCGCTGGACGCCGGCGAGGAGCCGTGGTCCACCGACAGCGAGCCCGACGCGGAGGCCGTGAGCTTGGCGCGGACGCCCATGGACGGCGACACGCGCTGCGAGTGGCTCCTCGGCGGCGTGCCGCTGGTCGCGGCGCTGTGCACGGCCATGCCGTTGTGGACGGGCGAGGTGACCTCGACGGCAAGCGCGGGCGACGATCGGGACGGCGACATCTTGGCCAGCACTGCCGGCAGCGACGGCCGCTTGGCCAACATGGCGGCCGAGGGGGGCGGCGACGGCGGGGGGAAGTCCACCAGGTTGGGGATGGGCGACGAGGACGTCGGAGGGTCGTCGCGGAACAGCTCCGGCGGTGGAGGGTCGTCGCAGAACATGGACGGTGGCGGCAGCTGCACCTCCTCGAAGGCGGGCTCGGCGGTGGCGATGGGGGCCGAGCAGGGCGCGGGCGAGGGCGGCGACACGCTGCCGGGCGCCGGGGTGGGCGGGTCCTCGGACGAGGGGTTGGCGAACCACACGGGAGGCAGTAGCGGACTGCTGCTGGACACGAGGTCCGGGAAGGGGAACTGGAACTGGTCGGGGACGTTCTTGGCGACGAGGTCGGGGACGGCGCGACCCGCTCGCTCGGGCGCCACGTCGGGGAGCGGCAGGAGCGGCAACGGTCCCTGCACGGGGCCTGGCGCCACGCGCGCCACCTGCACCTGCACCAGCTCCTTGAGGCGCGCGCGGAGCAGCTCGCCGCTCACCTCGCCGGCCCCTGCACCCGCGTCCCCGCGCCGCGCCGCGTCCACGCCGCGAGCCGCAGCCCCTACAGTGGCCGCCACCCCCACGCGACCGGCGCCGCGCCCCACGCGCACGATGGTGTTGACCTGCTCGCGGTCCGTGTCCGGGCTGAGCTGGCCGCTGGACGCGTCACGCGATGACCGCCGCGAGGAGTGTGACACCCAGCCACTCTGCTCCGACGTGACGTCGCCGTCACCGCCGCCTGGCACCTCCCCGTTGACGGACAGCGACACGGACGAGGATGTCGGCGGCGACCTGTCAACCACGGGGCTGAAAGACAAGCGGACACGTCAGTGGGATGCCCGCATCGCGTAAACCGACTTCGGCTCGGCAGCACGAGTACTCACATGGCGGCGACGAGCGCCGGCGAGGTGGGCGAGGTCGGCTCGCTGGGTGGCAGCAGCATGGCCGCCGACGCGCCCAGCCCTAGCTCGGTCAGGTTGGGCATGGACTCGCAGCTAGCGGCGCGACGGGGCGGCCGAGGCCGGCCGTCGTCGACGGGGAAGCCCAAGGCCGCGGCCACCTCGTCCAGGCCGAGGGCCAGGTCCACGCCCAGCACGCTGGGCAGGGACACGGTGCTGCGCGAGGAGCCCAGCCCCAGCGCGTCCAAGTCCGGCAGCGGCGGCACCACCACGCCGTCCACCACCACGCCGTTCTGGCCGCTCAGGTCGTACGGCACGCTGGCGCTCGTCTCCAGGCGGCGGTACGTGGTGTGGCCGTGCCCGTGCCGCGCCGCCAGGGCCGCGGCGTGCGGCGGGGAGTCGCTGTTGGACTCGGTGGAGGAGGCGGCGCCGTCCTGGTCCGGGGCGCCGGGTTGCGCGCGGAAGCGGCGGGGTGGCGGCGGCATCGCGCTGTCCAGGGTGATGCCCATGCCCAGCACGGCCATGCACTCGCTGCTCCGGGACAGCAGCTCGGCGTCGGACGGGCCGCCCGACGACACCCAGCCGTCGGTCCGCGGCACCGGCTGCCCGTTAGCGGCGACCCCGTTGGCGGCCTTGTGGCCGGCGCCGGGCGGGGCCTGCAGCGAGCGCAGCTGGTCCAGGGACTTGCTGTGCCTGGCGCTGCGCGCGTTGGCCGAGGCCCCGCGCACCGGCAGCGTGGCCGTGTGGTCCGAAGGGCCCTGGGCGTCGTGCTTGCCCTTGCGGTGGCGGTGGCGCTGCGGCTGCAGCGTGAGCGTGGCCTTGATGACGTCGCCCGCCTGCAGCTCCTGCTCGCCGACGCCCGTCAGGTCTGCAAACAGCGACACATGAACCGCCAGTTCACGCCGCGCTGAGTTCCAGCAACGCGCCGCGGCGCCTACCTGTGGACAGCGTGCTGTTGCTGGTCAAGGTGCAGGTGGTGGAGGCCGACGCGGGCCGCAGCAGCAGCTGCTGCTGCTGCTGCAGCTTGGCGCGCGACTCCAGGATGGCGGAGATGCCGCAGCTGCAGTCCTCGTGGTTGCCCACGTTGCCCAGGGCCGCGATGGGGAGCGAGGCGCGCGACGCCTGCTTGCTGTCGTCTGCAAGGTCATCGTCAAGGTCAGCGCGCGTGATAAGCGACGCAGCCCGCCACGCCACCGGAAGTAACCCGACACTGCATTCCGAGGGTCGTTTTCCTTGTCTCTGGCGCATGTGCGGAACACGAGTGCGAGAGAGACGGGCGACGAAAGCGACACTCGGAATGAGTCGGCAGCATGCACATTGCCCACTCACCTCGGCCGCCCAGCCCGAGCCCTGCGGCACTGCGGCGGCGCGCGAACTCGTCCACCTCCTGGTACTGGTCCTCGAAGATGATGGGCAGCGTGGCGATGTCGCCGTCCGTCTCCACGCACTGGATGGGCAGCGGCGGCAGCGTGGCGAGGTAGCGCGACCGGCGCGCCATCTCGCTCACCGTCAGGTAGTTCTGGTAGTTGGCGTCGTAGCAGCCGGCCGCCGAGTGCCGGGGGTTGTCCAGCACGAAGAAGGCCTCGGCGAAGCGCCGCACCTGCGAGCACACGAGGGGTGACCAACTGTAAAATTTTGTGTACAATGGTTGTGTGAATGATTGCTCGCGTTTTTGCCACACATGTTGCCTACTTACAGGCGTTTCTGCCTCTTGAATGTGGAATGTAGTCAAGTTTTGTACAATGAATGTAGGAAGCTGTCCTCCCTCACAGCCTTGCCACTTTCAAGCTTCCTCTTTTCTAATTTTATCTATCACAACGACCTGGCGGTTGTTTTCTCACCCGAAGCTGGTGGTGCACTTTGGACAGGTGCTGGTGAATCGGTTCTTTGAGCGTGAACGCGTCGAGGAACTTCTGCCATAGTAGGATGTTCTCGGCGCACAGCTGGGCGATGTCCTTGTTCGCGAGTGCGGCGAACTCCTCCTCGACGTCAACGCCCTGCGAGGCAAGGAAGCACTCGTCTACATTGGACTTCTAAACAGAAACCTGCGAGGCTTTTTGCGACTGTTAAGGTAGCAACTGACTTCTGCGGAAGTTCACAAAAGTACGATCTGTTCAAATGCACCCGAAGCCATTACGTTTAGGAGGACTGCGGCCCTCAACGATAAAGTAAGCTAATCAAAACTGAAGAGAGACATGCTAAAAGGCCGACGTGTGCATTAAAATCAAATATTACAGCAGAGTGAGAAAGAAAGAGATAGAGAGAAAGAGAGAGAGAGAGAGAGAGAGAGAGAGAGAGAGAGAGAGAGAGAGAGAGAGAGAGAGAGAGAGAGAGAGAGAGACAACAACTAATGCCACGCCTACGCTACGAGACGAGCGGCGAGCGGCCGCCGGGGAGTCTCACGCATCGGCTTACAGAGTTCGCAGTGGAGTCACAGGAGAAGGGCGCCCTTCTCCCGTGTCAAGATAAAGCTCTCAAGTCGACTAATTAAAAAAAGGAAACCTCAAAAGCAGTGTGAAAAGTTAAAGAAGAAAATTATTGGTATCTTGCTTTTGATCTGGAACTCGAGCCACGCCAAACTTTTCTTTTCAGAGAGAAAACAAATCAAGAGTTTAATTTTCAGGTCAAGCGCATCAAGGCTTGAGCTATTATTTTACAATTATTCCTTCGCTCGACAGTCTCGAAAGTTTTAGGTTCAAATCGCGCAGACAACAACGTAGTTCAAAAGGTTTTTTTTTTTTTTGCAATGCTCCTTTTAAGTGTCCACACTGATGGTAAGTGTTTTTTGCTGTTTACCCGGTGCTCGCGGTACTCTTTGTACGGCGTGGCCCCGTGGCCGTGGCCGAGGCCGCCCTGGTGCTCCGCGCCTTCCTTGAGGGTGGAGGCCAGCTGGCGGTGACACCCCTTGCCAAACACACCACAAAGGTGCCGTGAATCGTACCGAGGATGAGGTGACGTCAATCATTTGTCAATGTAGATGGTGCACAGTGTTACGGGTCTGTCTCTGTCTGCCTGTCCATGCACGTTCCTTCTCCAACGGAGTTGTTTTTAAAATAATAAGAGTGCTTGCAGACTACGAGTGAAAATCACTGAATAACGGAAGACGACAAGTCCGAGAGAAAACCAAGTAAGGAAACACACCAGTGCAGGATTCAGAAAGATTGGTGCGAAAATGGAAATCTGACTGCCTTTTGGTGGCAAAACATTAGTGCATGCAAAAACAAGTGTCCTTATAGAGTCTAGAAACCAGGTCCCCGCAAGGAATGGCAACGGAACGCAACGAAGGCCATTGCTGCCGGGACTGTGGTTTGTAGACCTCTGGGTCTCATCGATGAGTTAGTCCGTAAAGGGTGCACACTAACATGACAGTAACGGTGCGACAAATAGACATACATGTATGACAAGAAGAAACAATGAGTCAACATTCAAAGCGGGAAGGCCCAGGACAGCGCCTGCCGAACGCAGGGTAGGCAGTGCCGCCACACACGCGTGCTCGACGGTCCTGCCTACCCCACCGTTCGCAGGCGTTGACGGCCACCCCATTCCATCGCAGCCAGCCAGTGCACTGCGAGCTTACCTTGGCGAAGTCGCTGAGCGTGTTGAAGCGCTGCAGGCAGTCCTTGCTCTGCACGGGGGACTGCTGCCACTTGGGGAGCAGCTTCATGTACTTGTTGAGCCGGGTCTGCAGGGCCTCGTACGCGGCCAGCAGCAGCGAGCACACCTCCTGGTGCACGTGGCGCGCGTGGGCGAGGCGGCTGCTGTTGCTGCCCCCGCTGGCGCACTTGGTGGCGCCGCCGCTGCTGCTCTGTAATGGCGGAAAGGACGCGGGTTCAAATCCTGACGCCAAGCGCCTTTTTTCGGCCATCGCGCCACTCGGGGACTCACCAGGTTGCCGAAGAAGGCGGGCTCGTTCTTGCTGTTGTGGCGCAGGCTGAGCCGCTGCGAAGCACCGAGCCAGGGCTTGGTGCTGCGAGGGTTGCTGCAACACGAAGCATGCGTCACCGGGGCAGACGGGAGACTAGCATCAAAAGCGGACTGATTCCGAGAGTCGCTTTCGTCGCTCTGTCTCCTTGTTCGGGACGCCCCATGGGTGCGAGAGTGACAGATCGACGAAAGCAGTCTTCGGAATGAGCCTTAAGGGACGTGGCTACAGCGTTGAGTACTCACCAGCTCTGCACGTAGTGCAAAATGCTCCTCCTTGTGCGTGGCAGCATGGGCAAAACCAGGTCCAGTTAGCAAACAAGCGAACACACGCGTCACGCGTCACACGCACGCACGGCAAGGGCGGGATGGGGTCAGAAGCGAGCTGCACAAAAACTCATCTGAAGGGACGCCTTCCTGACAGTCGGCGTGAATGCGTAGCCACCAAGCCACCCTCGAAAAGAAAGGCTAATTTCGCGGAGCCTGCGGGACTTGGGAGGGACTCACTTGACGTGCGGCTGGTGCAGGGCGACGAGGGCGGCGTGCACGGTGATGGTGACGGCCGCCAGGTGGCTGTAGTCGAACAGGAGGGGCACGTGGTCGTGCAGGCCGCGCGTGGGCGGGAAGTGCAGGCGCAGCGTCCGCGCGCACACGCTCTCGATGCAGCGCTGCTGGTCCGGCCCGAACGGCTCGTCTGTGAACCACAGCTCCACGACCAGCGTGAAGTCGGCCCGCTCCAGGGTCTCCTCGATCTGCAACACCACAGAACGTCAGGCGTTGATAGCGATCAGCAACTTCTATCGGACATTCCCACAGCGCCTGCGGAACGCAGGATAGGCAGTGCGCCGCACAAGTGTGCTCGATGGGGCCTGCCTACCTGCCTCAGCGCCTGCCACACACAGGGAAGGCAGTGCGCCGCACACGTGTGCTCGACGGGCCTGCCTACCTGCCTCAGCGCCTGCCACACACAGGGAAGGCAGTGCGCCGCACACGTGTGCTCGACGGGCCTGCCTACCTGCCTCAGCGCCTGCCACACACAGGGTAGGCAGTGCGCCGCACACGTGTGCTCGACGGGCCTGCCTACCTGCCTCAGCGATTGCGATTAATGCCTGGACCACAAGTGATCGTCTGGCTTTCGGGCCCGCCCGGTCATGTCGGTGATACACCAGCACGTGACGGGGCGTCCCTACTGAGAGGAGTGGTTTTCTCGGTAGACCGGGTACATACGCCCACGCATCTGGCGCCTGCCACACACAGGGTAGGCAGTGCGCCGCACACGTGTGCTCGACGGGCCTGCCTACCTGCCTCAGCGCCTGCCACACACAGGGTAGGCAGTGCGCCGCACACGTGTGCTCGACCGGCCTGTCGTCGGCAGGCGTTTCCCTGTGGCACCCTGACGCCCTGACCCTTCCGCTATCCCACAGAACTCTGGCAAATGCCGCACCTTGTGGCTGTCGACCAGGATGAAGGCTCTGAACAGCATGACGTCGTCCAGCACCACCTCGTCGTTGCGGTACAGGATGTGGAAGGTCTTGGACACGGCGGTGCCGTCCACGGTGCAGGCCGGGAAGATGATCTCCACCCCTGCGGGCCAACAAGCGAGTGCTGTCACCGCGTCGTGCAAGGCGTTTCGTCGCTCTGTCGCGCCTACGCGCAACGCAGCACGAGTGCGAGAGAGACAGTGACGAAAGCGGTGTTCAGAATAGCTCTGCTGAACCGTGCCGTCGCGCAGACTCCTTCGCTGGTGGCTGGCGCTCTGCTGGCGCTATACTCACGTTCGCGGGGCGAGCGGGGCTCCCGGCCGCTCTTCCTCGGAGGCAGCGACACGTCCACCCTGACGGGCAGCTTGGGGGAGGTGCGGAGGGTGCACCGCACCTGGTAGTAGCTGGCGGCCAGTGGTACACCGTTAGACAACGCGCTCACACCTTTCTCGAGGCCCGGATTCACGCCAAAAATGACAAGCTAACTTACCCGCGCTGGAAGAGGTCCACATTGTAGAATTTGTATAGCTCCACAGAAAACTCAACCAAAGCTTGCAGTTCGGTCATCGCTACTCGGAGCGGTCCATATCCTTTAAAATGACGGGAAAATAAGGCTGTAGTTGTTGCAGGCGAGTGCTCGCTGTAAGGACTTCCCTTTTAAAACGAAGTAACATGTCACTCATCGTTAAATTTTTCATACTTTTGACACAGTTAAACGAGTGCAATTTGATGGTGGTGGTTGAATTAAGAAGAGGACAGCAACTTGAACATAAAGCGGACTACTCAATGTAACTTAGTGACATATTGAACTCATTTTCACTGTCTAGGATGCGTATGACTTTTGTCCACTCACACAACAACAGATCCTAAGGTTATAAGCATGTAATATAAACGCACGTCCATAAATAGGAAAACATGGAATGACAAAGGGACCAGGTGCCCAAGCTAAGACACGAGATTGGAAAGCCAGTATCAAAGCGGTAGCCAAGTAGGGTACAGTACGCACAACAGTTGGCCAAACACCTTGTGTCAAGGAACACAACTGAAGTTCCAATTTCGTCTGCTATGCAGAAGACCTACAGGCACATTCCTTACTTATCGTCAATGAAAACGCCACGACACTTACATTTCACGAAATCGTTTGTGTCCATGTGGATGACTTGCGCCCTCGTTGCAAGCTCAACTATTTGCAGACTAATGTTATTTATAAAATCTGAGAGATTTAGTGCAAAACTCTGATACCATAAGCAGACTACAAGCACTGCTTCGTGAAAAAACCGCCAGAGCGCGCTGCATGTACGCTCGACCCGGCCATCGAGATCTTTTCATGACCACGGCCACTCAGACAACTATGCCCAGATGTGGTCAATTTTAGCTCATGGCATGACGCGCGAATTTTCAAAGCAGGTCTCATGGTCTAATTCGCGATTTTTGGCGCTGTCTGATATCTTTTGAGCAGTTTCTTACGTTGTTGTTTCACCCTACACAGGTAGGGCAGGGTCATTGCAAAAAAATTGCAATTACACAAGAAGTGTTATCAAAGTAGGGATAAAAGCAGCATTAAACTCAATAAATTTCCTTAGTTTTATTTGATTGTATTAGTTTATTTTACAATAGTTCATGTTGCCAGGGTTTGGATTGTTCCAAATGATAAGAATGTAATACTAGCTAAAACTTAAACTTTTCTAGACAGCCATAATAATAGCTTTACACAAAGCTACCACCTAATTATGCATAGATCTTCTCTTCTCTCCTCTTCTTGGCAACCATGGCAGTTCCAGGTTTATGTTGGGCATCAGGATGATTCATCAATTCAGGTGGACAAGTAGATACAGGTGAAGACATTATGAGCTGCTTGAGATCATAGAACAGTGAGGAATCGTCCTTGGTACAGAATGACACAGCCACACCATTTTTGCCAGCACGGCCAGTACGACCAATACGATGAGTGTAGTCTATAAGAGAAAGAAATTGTAACAATTAGAAATGAAGCATACTTTGGATACAAAAGTAATAATAATAATTATTACTATTATTATTACTGTACCTTCAATTGTTTTAGCCATATCGTAATTGATGACCAATGATACATCTTTGATATCAATACCACGACCAGCCACATCAGTAGCAACCAGGATATCCTTAGTACCAGTCTTAAGACTGGCCAAAGCAAACTCTCTCTGCTCCTGTCCTTTACCTCCGTGAAGTGTGCAAGCATTGAACTGTAATAGGTCAAGAAAGGAAATGGGTTATTTTCTAATAGATAACTGCTGGTGTAATAGTAGATCAATAATAATAATACCAACCCCAAGCTTCTCCAAACCACGAGCAAGTACATCTGCTCCCTTCTTTTGGTTGACAAATATAATGACAGGTGGTTCAACACCACGGCTAAGAAGTTCCATAAGTTTACGCCGCTTGTCTTGTTCATTAAGAATGTAAACAATCTGTTCTGTACGTTCAACAGGTTTACCAATAGAACCAATGTATACTACTGCTGGTCTCCTGAGATAGGTTCTTGCCAATCTTTCAACAGCAGGAGGCATAGTGGCTGTAAACATCACAGTCTGGAAAACAAAAAAACCATAAATGTTACATTTGTGCCACTAAAAATAGATTTCATGAAATATGAAAAGGTCTGTGCATTTACCTGACGGTATTTTTTCTTTGAGTTGTAGTTAGCCAGGAGCTTAACCTCATCCTCAGCATCTTCGTTATCAGGCTTCAAATTAGTCACAGGCATATATTCAAGAATTTTTTGAACATCAGGCTCAAAACCCATGTCAATCATACGATCAGCTTCATCAAGGACTATGTATGTACATTGGCTCAACACTAAATATCTGTTTTCCAAAACATCAATTAAACGACCAGGGGTAGCAATGACAATCTGTGAAAAAGAAAAATACAAAATTCAACCATGGACTTCAACAAAATAATTTTAAAAATGAGTTTTACTGGCTTATACTCATACTGCATACCTCACAACCAAGACGGAGACGGAATCCCTGCTCCTCCCTGGACAGACCACCAACAACAACGACAGTTCGAATGCCAAGTGGACCACCAATCTTAATAGTTTCTTCTTCAATTTGCTGGGCCAATTCACGGGTGGGTGCCAAAATAATAGCATAAGGACCCTAAAACAATTAAGATGTAAGAATATATTAATGTAGTACAGAGTTCAAGCATTACTTTTGTTATATATCATTATATCTGTAAAATAGAAAGAAGCAACACATACCTGATCAGCATCTTCCATCCTCTCAATTTTAGGGAGAGACTGGATCCACATAAGCAAAGGGATGAGGAAGGCCAAAGTCTTACCAGAACCTGTCTCAGCAACACCAATAATATCCCTGTTCTGCAAACCAATTGTAATAGCTTGACGCTGGATAGGTGTTGGATCTTTGTAACCCACTTTGTCTATGATTTCTAGAATTTCTGCTGGAATGGAGGATTCTTTCCAGCTGCGAATAGGGTCTGGAATACGGCCTCCCTTGATTGTTATGTTATAATCTTCTCTGAATATACGCCAATCTCTTTCAGTCATTTCATCACATGCTTTATCAGACCAGTGGCGATCATCCCAGCGCTGTTTATCTTCCCTCTTTTTGACCTTTTTCAGGCGAACCTTTTCTTGTTCTTTTTCAGCCTCTGTTCTTCTCTTTTCAAGAAGCTCACCATAAAACTTGGACTGATCTCTTTTCTGGGCTTTGATGTCGATGCCAGCAACATTTCCTCTTCCAAAGAATTGAACCTACAAAATTTAAAGCAAAAAATGAATTAAATAGAAAACAGTTTTTTGTTTCACACTCTAAAATTAAAACCATAAAATATAGAAATTAGAAAATGTATATTACCTGATGGCGTTCTTTGTAAATATTGTTGTAATCAACTGAGGTATCCTCTGAGGCATCCCAATCAAAAACAAATTTACGATCATTCAAACGTCTGACTCTCCTCTTCTTTTTCATCAAGCCGAGGTATCTTTCTTTGATGGCCTCCTGCTCTTTTTCTCGGTCTTTGGGCGTTGCTCCTTCTTCACCATCTCTATCCCTGCGGCCATCTCTGTCTCTGTTGTCTCGGTCTCTATTCCTGTCTCTATCTCCAAACCGATCTCTATCTCTGTCTCCAAACCGGTCTCTTCCTCCAAATCTTGGTCGGTCATTAAACCTGTCTCTGTCTCCGTCTCGTCGCCTGAAGTCACTGGGTAGAAAATCACGAGTAAATTCATGGTAATGGATTCCTTCCAGCTTAGAGAAAAATCATCAAACTTAAGATACCTACTTGTCCTGGTCCCCATCATACCGGCCCCTGTGGGGTCCAGAGGAACTAGCTGCAGCAGTTTGAGAACCACCTTCTTCAAGAAGACGGCTGAACTCCAATCGTTTTTTGCGCTCCTCCTCCTGCTTGCGGCGAATCTCTTCTGCTTCTTCCTGCCGCTTGCGGAGAGCTTCAGCAGCCCTTTCTTCTTTAGTCAAAAATTTGGGCTAAGGGAGGAAAACACAATCTATTGAATAAATTCCTTGTCATAAGATACCAGAGTAATATTGAACAGTTTACTTACACGATTGCGAGCTTCTTCCTCTGCTTTTTTCTTAGCAAGAAGTTCTTCTAGAGAGAGTGGTTCTTTGCGGACAGGTTTCACTTCTTCTTCCTCGGGTTCTTTCTTGAGATCCTTCTCAGTTTCCTCTTTCTTGACTTCATTTTTAGCATCCTTAGCCCTTTAACAGAGGGAAAAGATTATCAAAAACTATGCTAATGATTAACAACACAACAACACAATACATATGATGTTCGACACTTACGGAGATGGTTTGGGATCTCGTGGTCTATTTTTGTCCCTTTCTTTGTCTCTATCCCGGTCCCTTTCCCTTCCGTCCCTAATGTCCCGAGGTCGGTCTTTGTCTCTGCTGCGGCTGCGAGAGCGTTTGCGAGCTCCATCCTTGTCTCGAGCTCGGTCTCTCGACCTGCTCCTACTTCTACGAGGCTTGTCCCTTTCTCTTTCTCTGATGTCTCTGTCCTTCCTCTCCCTCTCCTTCTCCTTCTCACGGTCTCGGTCCTTTCCTCTGTCTACTTTGTCTGTCCGCTCACGACTCCTACTGCGTCGCTGTTCTTTTCGATCACCTGCCATTGTTTTCACTCTGTTAAATAAAAACATGGGGATGAATAAAGAGAAGATCACTGTTGAATGAAACAAAAATTAGAGAGGCACGTGAAGAATGGTGTAAAGCTAGCTTAAACAAAAGTGGAGTCTGAACAAAAGCTTTAACATGAGTAAGAGAAAGTTTAAGAAGTTTTAACAGAGGTAAACATAACCCTGCTTCCAAGAAAACAGATAGACAAGATGCCAAAAGGGACTAGCGACATACTTACTAACCTCTATTAAAACATTCAGAGGTTTGGGACTCAGGCAACATTCATTTCCTTGCAATTAGGTAAAACCACAAAGTCAATAGGTCAATCGTCTTCCAAACGTCGAAAACAGAATTTCAGAGGATTTGGTTTACACCGGGCACATATATGGAGGGTATCTTCCAAAAATAGCCCCAACCTGCATTCACTGAACTGGAACGTACCCTTTCCACCTTCGAATGTCACCTGTTTACGTTTGTGATGGCGGCTGTACAGTTATGTAGTGTCCCTGAATCTTTTTAATTTATATCTATGTGTTTACTGTGACGTCTGCAAATCTGTGGGAGACGAAGAGACACTCTCTTTTGAGGGATCTCCCCTGACTGCACATCCTGAACCTCAAGGAGAAACTCTACGACAGAACGTCTTGACAGATGAGATGAGATGTCCAACCTGGCAGAAATGGCTGAGCCGACCACAATATTTACGTTTGTAAGACCAGCGAGAACAACATTTGCGAGCACCGGTGATGCATCTCTCTGAACTCTCCCAGTTTCGGGTGCCGCACGGCAACATGGACGGAATCGGGGATACGTACGAGGAGGGTAAACCTTCCTTCTGGAAAAAGAGTAGCAAGGCTGTCCCGGGACGCCCCAGCCCCAAACGCGACCTTAGAAGCAATTCTTTCAAGAGCTCCTCAACATCCACGTCGTTTCAAGACTTTCAAGAGAGTGTGAATGATGCCTGGGATCTGGCTGATGATGACATTTGTGGCTCAACTGGTGTCACCATCTCCAGTCGAGTCTCACAATCAGCTGCTTTGAGTGTCATCAACAACCATCGCAACACTGCTGGCAGTGAAGAGGAACGTTCATCACAGCAACCCATTTTATCTGAGCAGAAAAAGACTGAAGCTATCCAGCGCTTAGCCCTTCTGCAAAATTCGCAAGCTACCCCTACTGTTAATGCACAACATACTCCTCATCATGCGCGTCAGTTCCCTGGACGACCCCAGCCTCTTCGTGGACTTCCAAGCTCCGGATCTAGAGAAGGAGAGGAGTCGAGCAAATTAGAGCGCTTCCAACCATTACTCGAGAGCACTCTGCTTAATTTAGAAGATCTTCGCCAGTTGAGTTGGTCTGGAATCCCTGTTAAAGTACGAGCCATAACGTGGCGTCTTTTATCTGGCTATGTCCCAGCAAACTTAGAAAGACGTCAGCAAGTTTTGGAACAAAAGCGCCAAGACTACTGGAATCTTGTAAAGCAGTATTTCAACACTGACAGAGATGAAGCATATGAAGATACCTATCGCCAGATCCATATTGATATTCCAAGAATGAGCCCTCTCATCGCATTATTTCAACAGCAAACTGTGCAAGAAATGTTTGAACGTATTTTGTACATTTGGGCTATTCGCCACCCTGCTTCAGGGTATGTTCAAGGAATGAATGATCTTGTGACTCCATTTTACATTGTGTTCCTGCAAGAGGCTATTCCTGCTGACAGTGACCTGGATACTTTTAATGTATCACAGCTTACAAAAGAGCAAAGAGATATTATTGAAGCAGATTCATTTTGGTGTTTGTCCAAATTTCTTGATGGTATTCAAGATAATTACATATTTGCTCAGCTAGGCATTCAAAGGAAAGTAAATCAGCTGAAAGAACTTATTCAGAGAATAGACTCAGCTCTTCATCGTCATTTGCAACAGCATGGAGTGGACTATCTCCAGTTTTCTTTCAGGTGGATGAACAATTTACTGACAAGGGAGCTGCCTCTTTACTGTACTATTCGTTTGTGGGACACTTATTTGGCAGAGTCTGACGGATTTGCTTCTTTCCAACTCTATGTCTGTGCCGCTTTTCTCATGCACTGGCGTCAGGAATTGCTTCAGGAAAAAGACTTTCAAGGTCTCATGTTAATGCTGCAGAATCTCCCAACTCAGCGGTGGACTGATTCTGAAATTAGTATAGTTGTTGCAGAGGCTTATCGTCTTAAGTTTACTTTTGCAGATGCTCCAAACCATCTGCAAAGTGGTGATAGGTAATGCTAATGAACTGATCTTCCATGCCTCTGTTTTAGACTTTCAATGATGTGATTGGCACTGTTATTTTCTGCTCTAAAGAATATTTATAGGGCCAGTCTTGAATCAACCGTGATGTGTCATGGATTGAGCCTAATGTTACAATTGGCAGGTCTTCTGCATTTAAAAGAAATATTTACAGATAAACTGTAAATTTTGTTTTTTGGTTTGATTAGAATGTATTTGTAGCTATAAATATATTATATATATGTTCACATGGTTACAGTGAAGTCACAAGCATAATATTTGGCTGTGGGTTGATTTCAGATTGTTTGCAGTGATTTCATTGAAACAGGAAGCTGTAAACTACAAATATTTAAAGGTTGTGCTTTTCTTCTTTAAAATTAAAACAGCAAAAACAAAAAAAAAAATCATTATTAATGTTATGCCAGGATTATGTCCTGCAACCTTGTGATCTGATGTCACAAAACGTCTTCTTTATTTCTATTGTTGTACTTCGTCCACCAATGGAAGTTTGATATTGTTCTGTTTGTGAGAGCCAATGTCATGTGTTATCTGTGATAAGTTCAAACCAGCATTGCGCATCACAGTTAATATATTTCAGAATTTTTTAGTGTGATTCATTTATTGTTGATTAAAAACCACCATGTCAGTGCCAGTTCATATATCTCTGCAGACATACAATGTCAAAGTGATACTTAAAGTACTACACAAATGAGCTACTTGGAGAGCTGTCTTTTTTTGTGTTGCTCTCATATGTCTACTTACACTACCATTGCCAATGTCTCATTTATATTTTAATATGTTTCTAATGCAAGTGTGAAAATATGTTTCATTTTCAACATATTTGTTATTGTTATCATTTGTATGTGCCACACATGATGGTTGTGTGATTACAGCTGTGCCCTGAATATCACATAATACCTCTTGGTTGCTTCTCCTTGTATCATATGAGTGTGGCTTGTGCATATTTGTGTTCAACTACACTAATTTCATCGCCATCTGCTTAAGAACTGAGACATTTATTTGAATATTGTTTTATTTGTTGTTGGGTATTGTTAGAGTTGGACCAACATGTAAAGGTACCAATGTATAAAGAAATTCATATCGTCCTAGTGTAATGATTGTACATAAAGACGAGCATCGTTATTACATAAATAAATGAAGTTGCAGGAATGAGGTTTTCAATGTGTATTTCTGCTTGGCCAAATTTGGATATTTCATTCGTTGGAATATACTACTCTGCCGTCAATTGGAAATTCTATTACTTTCATTCCTTATATGTCACAACTGAGCAGCCAAAAAATCTTTCTATGCCTATTTCACATTGTCAGAGCAAAAGATGTCAAAACACCACAGAAAATAATAATCTGGTACACTTGTGCCTTTCAAGGTATGCAATACAGTATAGTATGTGTGTTTAAAGTATTAAACTGGTGATATTTTAATACAGATTAATTATTGGAAAGATCAGATGTGTTGTCATTATTATTACCTGCTTGCTAAAAGACTCATCGAATAGACGACTTGAGCTAGGGGAAAGAAGAGGAAGAAAACACCTTCCCGAACATGGCGGCCGGCCCCTCATTGGTCCTAGCAGCCGACGGCGGCCGTCCGCCATGTTCGGGAAGGTATTTTCTTCCTCTTCTTTCGCCTAGCTCAAGTCGTCTATACAACTTTGAAATATGCCGCTATCAGATACATACACAGCTACCAACCTTCCCGCTCTAACACCATACCATTAGAAAACTTGGATTTTTAAGGTAATATAAATCCTTTTCAGACCTCAAAAAGATCTCGAAACAGCCGCATTACGATTATCAATTCGGATGCATCGCAAATTGAAGGCATTTCGATCTAATTACTTACCAATGCAATGTTAACTTGCACCCCCTGTCGAATCAACAAGCGAAAATTTGCGCCAAAATTAGACCAGGACTTCAACGGGAGGTTCGAAGCGGTATCGTGCACTTTCATTTTGGACATCTTTGGTTGATTTTCGTACGTATTTTGAACCATTTTCAGCATTCGTTGACATTGCAATGAGCTTCCCTCGTCGTGTCATTGGACGTCATCATTTCCCCTCTCATAGTCTCTGGTTGTGGTCCCGATTTACAACTCTAACCTCTCTTTCCACTTCATTTCTTTTTTTAGTGCTTTTGTTTTGACAATACTGGAGTGCCTCACTTAACTTGTTGTTTTGCTATTTCAACAAGAGCTTAAATTCTTTAAATTTTAGTGTGAGTCAATGCACATTTTGTTTCATGCTTTAAATGAAATTTTACTTCTCCGATGCCTTATTAGTGCTTATAATTTTACTTTTTCTACGATGCACCTCTCTTTTATGTGTCAAGCAAATTGATTGTCTTGAACCTAACGAGTCTCTACAATGCGCCCTTGTCAAATTTCAAGTGGACTACTTGACATTTCTAAATACAATTCCACTTCTATGTAGAAATTTATTATGTAGATGTATTTGTTTTTGAGTCCTGTGTCAAATTTCACCAGTACTTATTTTCTGATGGTTCCCTGCCCCCATGCCACACCATGTTATTCCTTTCAAGTCTATTAGAGGACCATTAGCAACAAGTTCCTCATTGTTATGAGACTCACCACTGCCTTTTTCCAGACTGCCACCGCTGCCATGAAGCTGCGCACCCGGGGGCCACCGCGCCGCCTTGACAGGGACGCGGACGCCGACGAGGACGTGGAGGTGCCGCCGTCGTCGCGTCGCCGGCCCGCGAGGATGTCCGTGGCTCCCCGCGCGGCCGCCGCCCCTGCCGCCCCCACACCCACGCCCATGCGGTCCCGCCCCCGGGCCGCCCCCGCGGCGGCGTGCAGAAGCGCAAGTCCGTGCGGCCCGCCGCCCGCCCCCGCGCCGCCGCCGCCCCCACGCCCAGCCGGTCCAGTCGGCGCTCCACCAGGCCCAAAGCGGCGCTGGAGAGCCAGCCGGCCCTGGCCGCCGGCAAGGACATCGAGGAGGACGAGGCCGACGGTTTGGCGGAGGAGGCCGACGCCAAGGTCCAGGACGTGGAGCAGGAGAAGCGCGTGGTCAAGGCGGCAGGCCCCACCACCATCGACGACCTCCCGGAGGAGGTGATGCTGGGCATCTTCTCGTACTTCAGGCCGCCGCAGCTGTGCTGGAAGATCGGGCGCGTGTGCCGGCGCTGGGCGTCGTGGAGCGTGGCGCCCTTCCTGTGGCGGGGCCGCGAGTACACGCTGAGCCCCGACCCCAACCTGGGCTCCAGGCGCAAGGGGAAGGCCTAGCCTGGCCGGCCTAGCCTGGCCTTGACCCGCCCGCCACCCGCGTCCTCTCCCCGCTTCGCCTCCCGCAGTCGAATTTCACCAGCCCTTGGCAGGGCCAAGGCAGCGCCCGCACTTTGCCGGTGTCTTTCTTAGTCACTTGAAGGCGCCTAGCGGTACATAGTGGCAATGCGATCACGGGCCGGCCGGTTCTTTGTGTGCGTGTGTCTCCTGTTGTCTCCCCGAGTATGTACCTGTGCCCTTTTAAAACGTACGCTAGGATACGCTGTTATTGCACGGGGCGGTTCGTTTCAAAGGGCATTCCCTTCCAGTAATAGCCTTAGTGTACTAGCTCTTGCAATATGAAAGAGATCTCTTGTTTGTGATATTTATCGTGTGTTTTGGCACTTATTTATTGTACTAGGTTTTAAGGCGTTTTATTGGTTTGACGTTTGGCAATGTCGGAGCAACTCACGTTGCTGAGTTCTCTCACGCGGCCCTTAGAGTCAGTAGAATGCATTGTTGTATGAAGTATTTATTGTGACTGACCTGTGGGATTTTGATTGACAATAAAATTGTGTGTTATTTTAATTTTGGACTCTGGTTGTTTTCATTTTCCATTGCCTGCATACTGGGACACTGGCACACGGCCACGACTTCCGAACGTGAGAGCGGCGTCGGCTGTAACGAGCATGCATGCAAATTGCAAAGTGCAAGAATACATTACGTTGTGTTGTCCCGCGGTGCAGCGCAGCGCGGTGACGGAAAGGCCGCCGTCGAGGTCTCGAACACGGACCGACAAAAACAAAACTCAGGCCGGTTCGATTTTCATTCCATTTCAGTTTAAGTTCACATCAGTTCGGTGGGCTCCACCTCAACATTTTTCTAGCTGACTGATTCCGAGAGTCGTTTTTGTCGCCCTGTCTCGCACCCGCGGACGTTCAATGAGTGCGAGAGGCGGAGCGATGAAAGCGCCTCTCGGAATCAGTCTGCAGTCGTACATTGTCACTTCCCTCTCTCGCGGGTCCCGCAATCGTTTAGCACCGCGCCGCCAGCGGAGTACTTCAAGTGCCGCTGCCGCGCGTTTTGACTGCGACAATGTAAAGTGTCGCCGAAGCGCTGCCGCGTTGAATGAACATGCAACGCCATTCCCTCGGCTAGAGCGCACGCGGTGGCGTGATGGGTACCGCCGCACAGTGGGCCAGAAGACCGGTGGAGGCGGCCAAAACTCGAGACACTTTTTGAGCCCCAGAGTCGCTAATTGGGACTCGAACCACAAGGGCGTCCCCTCCCATGAATGAATCTCCGAACGATGAATCTATTGGTCGGGTCACATGCTCTGTTCAGGTCCCATGTGGCGGCTCTGGAGCCCAAAACGCGTCCAGAGTTGTGGCCGCCGGCGCCGGCCCTCTGGCCCACTGTGCGAAGCCGGCTTCAGCAGACGTGTGTTGCGCATTCCCCAGGCGGGGCTTTTTTGCCGATTTACAGGGGGAAAGCGACGCTTTTTGCCGACTCACAGGGGCAAAGCGGCGCTTTTTGCCTGCCTTCCAGGCGGCGCACCTAAGGGAGCTGTAATTACCCCCACTACCCCTCCCCTGGATCCGCGCCTGGCGTTGGCGTTGTCTGCACCCAGGGCAGAGGTCGTTCAGGCAGAATAATGTTATTGGGCCATTTGTTCCTGTCGCTTTTGAATATGGGGTTTCGGCTGCAAAATGGATCGGGGGGAGGTGGCAGGTCCTGTGCGGGGGCGCGGCGGGCGGCAGGGCCCATGTGGCCGTCGGCACACCGGCCGGTGCTCTACTGTACGCGCTCGCCCCGCGCCCACCGCGGGGTACCGCGAGGCGCATGCGCCCCAGCGTCCCCGCGCCCCGCCCATCCGAGCCGAGAGCGGGACCATACGCAGGCGCGACGTCGCAGGGCGGGCAGGGGCGGGCAGGGGCGGGAGTGCAGGGAGGGGAGGGCATCGCCCCGCGAGGCTCTATGCCGCGAGGTGCTGGCCGCGCTGCCGCGCTCCGCGCTGGCGGGCCGAGTGGGACGGGCGGGCCGACGTGGTGGGACCGGGTAGGACTCACTGGACTCAGTGTTGTTGGCGCGGCCGAGCCGGCTGGCTGCACAGTAGAAGCGGGGACTCGCGGGGGGCGCAAGTGAGCCGCGGTGCCGGCGGACGTCGCGAGGGCCGCGACAGCGGGGCGTGGCGGCGCGTGGCGGAGGCACCAGGACCAGCACCGCGACGTCGAGCCCGTCGAGCCCATGCAGTGAGGCGCCGGGACTCTAGGCAGGGCCGCACAGGTGAGTGTTGCCGGCCCGGCAGGCCACTGGCAGGCCAGAGCCGGGCGACCGCCGCGGGTCGGGTTACCTGGAGGGCCCACCCGGCGCGGCCGTAGTGTCGCCGCTGCCGCGTTCGCCGGAAAAAAATTCTTGCAAAGAGTTGCCGTTTGTGAGAACGGACCGCGGCAGGACAGCACCGGAATTCATCAGGGCAAAGGCCGCGCACGATCGTACCGGCAAAAGCCAAAACAAAGAAGGGGGTGCTGCGTTCATGGCGCTTTTTAGAAGATCCTCGTGGGAATGCGTCGGCCAATTGGTGTGATGGCGTGCACCGGGCCGTCGCCGTCACTGGGTCAGAGTCGGTCACAGTGCGTCGGCGTGCCGCCAGCACCGAGTGCAGTCATGTAGGGTGACGTCCGGGAGGCGGGGCCGGGCGGGGCGGGTCACGCTCTCGAGGCGGACTCGCCGAACCGAACGCAGTCCTCCATGTTTATTGCACTCGATTGCATCGACAATTATCCGAGTCGCGGTTCGCCAGACGGACTTCCCCCTGACCCGCCCCGCCCGCCCCGCCACGCCCGCCACAGGCCGCGCGACAGTAGCGCACCCTGGACCCTGGAGGGCCGGCGCGCCGGGGCTCTCAGCCAGTACAATAGAAAATAAAGGGCTTTGTGGCGAGGCGGGCGCCGTAATGTGGGGTCCGGGCACTCCAGGCACTCCAGGCGCTCCAGCAGTGGTGGTGTGACGTCAAGGTGCCGATTTGGAGAGTGCTAGAGCGGGGTGGCAGCCCACTGGCAGGGCAGGGACCCCTTTATGGGTCTCTTTGGACACGTCGTCTCGCTCAACGCGCTCAACGCGCTCAACGCCGCGCCGCCGCTGTCAGTTTAGTTGGACGCGTGGGGCTGTCGTGGCTGTCGCGCCGCGGGGGTGGGGCTGCCCGGGGGCGAATATCGACACCCCCGGGCAGTTTGGTGAACTGAGTGACGCGGCGACTCGCAGGCTGACGGGCGGCATGGATGGCAGTGTGCCGGTGACGGCGGTGGCGGCCACCAGCGCGCCTCAGAAGGGACCGACGAGGCGCCGACACGCAGGACACTGGTTGTAGAGGCTGGGTCGGCTACCGCACAGTGAGCCAGAAGGCCGGCGGAGGCGATCAGAAATCCCGGACGCGTTTTTGAGCTCCAGAGTCGATAAATTGGACTAGAACCGATCGTGTGACCCCACCAATGGATTGCTCTTTGAACAAGGAATCCATTGGTGGGGTCACACGTTTAGTTCGAGTCCTGTTTAGCTACTGTGGAGCTCAAATGCGTCTAGAGCTTAGGCCGGCCGCGCCGGTCTTCTGGCCCACAGTGTGCCGTTGCCACTGTGCCGCCCCGCTGGGCAGAGCCGGCAGAGCGGTCCTGTCCACCAAATAATCGAGTAGGCTGTGAAGCGCGGTCGGCCGGCAGCCGGCTCGGCAGCGGGATGGCCAGTGTCAGTGTCAAGGCCGCGGCGCGGGGCCGAAAGGCCTTTGGGCCGGCCGAGGCGTGGCTGCGAAACCACAGTGTAGTCGGCGTGCGTGCGGAGCGTGGCGTGGCGTGGCGGCGCGTGGCGGCCACTAGGCTCCGTTTTGCCAGCCGTCGTAACCAATTAAGAATGACGTGGTGCTGGCGGCGTGGTCGGCGCGGCGCGGGACTCACGTGGTTCCCCGCCAGGACCAGGAACCGCATCGCCGCGAGCTGTCGGCCAAGGTCGAAGGGCGCCGCCGCGCCGCCGAACGTCGAACGTCCCCGTCGTCGCGGACCCTCCCCGTCGAAGGGGATCCCAGGACGTTCCCGCGGCCTTCCCTGTCACGTGGGAAGGCTGCGAGCCAGCCGCACGCCGCACGAAGGCTCGGCCGACGCACGGACGCGCGCCTCGAAGTCACGAAGTCACGAGGCGGCGACACGAAGACTCGAAGACACGAAGCCACTCGTGGTTCGGTTCGGTCATCGCGGGCATTCCGGACACGCAGACCACTTGGAGGATTGGCGGTGCGGTGCGGTGCGGTGCGGGCCGCGTAACGTCTTTCCGCTTATAGCCGCCGCCATCATCCCAAAGTCCCAAGGACTCCTTGAAGCGCCGCGTCTGCCGCGAGGACTGCCAGAAAGACGGGCAGGCGGGCCGAGCGAGCGATGGCCATCTGAATGGATGGAGTATTGGCGCCGTCGGCCGTGGCGGGGGAAGACGAAGACGTGGCGGTCGAATGCCGAATCCAGCTTTGGATGGAAGCGAGTCAGGCGGTGGCTGCCTCCGTCTTGCTGCCTCGGCCCGCCTTGCTGTAGGCCGAGCTGCAGGGCCTCCCTCCTCCCTGACATGACGGCTGGCCAGGGACGCCCCGAGCCCTGTGCCCTGCACAGTGTCCTGCACAGAGCCCCGCACACAGTCTGCGGGCTGTCAGTCTCTCACGCCCATCTACGGGACGCCCCATGAGTGAGAAAGAGAGAGAGAGAGCAGAGAGAGAGAGAGAGAGAGAGAGAGAGAGACCTGGCGCTCGGAATGAGCCTGAAGGGACGCGCCATCATTGGCACGCCCACGTGGACGTCAACAAAAGGTCCCATGGATTTCCACCGCCTTAATTGACTCTCTCTCTCTGTGTGTGTGTGTGTGTGTGTATAGGTGTGTGTGTGTGTGTGTGTGTGTGTGTAGGGGTGTGTGTGTGTGTGTGTGTGTGTGTGTGTGTGTGTGTGTGTGTGTGTGTGTATGCATGTGAGCGTGTGTATGTGTGTCTGTGGGTCTCGAAACGCACGCCAACGTGAATTCGGCACATCAAACGACGAATGCGGCGCGATGTCGATAGTGAGAGAGCGTGAGCGAGATAGAGAGAGGAGCAGAGAGAGTGGGAGAGGGGGAGAGAGTGAGAGAGAGAGAGAGAGACGGAGTCCTACGCAAAGAGAGTGGCATGAATAAACGGCGGCGCGGCGGTGAGCGCTGGATTCGGCGCCACCCAGAGGGACCCGCACGGACCCAGGGGCATTGTTGTCAGGATGTCAGTGGCCCCGCCCGACCCAGGCCTGCCTAGCGCAGCCCAGCCCAGCCCAGCCTGGCCGCGCCGCCGCGCGGTGCGCTGGTCTCGCGGTCGCTGCAGGAAGAGACAAATGAGAGCACCGCCCCACCCCGTCTCTTCCTCCTGCCCCTTATCCAAGGAGATGAGAGAGAAGAAAAAAAAGTTTGCAAAAATAAAGTGGAACGAGGCCCGACATCCCCGGATTTATAGCACGTCTTCAAATCGGATTCGCTCCTCCGCCGTATCCACTTTGGAACCCCGCTCTCTCCCTCCCCTGCCCGCCTCCGGCTTCCCGGTTCATTTCCTGCACCCCTCCCCTCCCCCCCCCCCGCTCCCCCTCCCGTGTCGCACCCCCGTGTTGTTATCTCTAGATTCCAGCAGCCCCCGGCGGTGCACGGGGAGCTCGCTGGCTGGAGTGGCGTGCGCTCTGGAGTGCCTTGCTCTCCGTCAGGGACCTCTTTCTCCCGTGCACGGTGCACTCTTTCACCGCGAAGCGTGAAGCGGCGGCGACCTTGCGGAAAATGGCGTCACTTTTTCAATGCGGAACGGGACGCGCGGCCGGAGCAACGCAAATTGGTGTGCACACTACACTGTGCACACCTGGCGCCGTGTCGGAGCATAAGCAGCGTGAGCAGCCGGGGCGTGCCGCGCGCTGGGCCGGTGGAGCGAGCAGCCGTCTGATTCCGAACACTGCTTCGTCACTCTGTCTCTCTCGCACCCCTACGGACCACCCCATGAGTGCGAGAGAGACAGAGCGAGGAAAGCAGTGCTCGGAATCAGACGGCAGAGAGAGGTAGGGTCTCACGGCCGCGGGGACGCCTGCCGAGTAGGCCGTCCCGCCGCGCAGCCCTGCACCGCAGCGCGTCGCGCTGCCTGCCTGCCATTACCATTACCATTAAGGGCTAGACCACACATGATCGTATGCCATTTCGGGCCCGACACATGCTCGCCTGCACTGCAAAACGAGACATGGCCGTCCTTACTAAGGTGACACTTTATCCCGGCGGAGAAGAACCACCAACGGCTACGACTCCCACTCGCAGTATGGCCAGTCAGGGTGAAGGAGTACATCCCCCCCGAGGGGGTTATGCAGGCCTCCACCCCGGAACAGCCCCTGCAAGCACAACCGGTTCCGGTGCCCCCCTGCTTCGTCCCCTTATCTCGGGGATCAACGGCGTCCTCTTGGTCCAAATCTTGATGCATTGAGAAAGGTGGGCGCTCCGCCCTCCAGCCCGCCAACCGGGTGGTTCCGGAGGGTCGTTCCATCGCCCTGTCTCTGTTGCACTCGTGATACGTTGTACTACAGATAAGATGCGGCACTCAAACTTTGTCGCTCACGAAAAATAAAAAATGGGGCACCGCATCTACTTTTACAGAGTAACCGAAGGCCACCTGAAACTTCGGTGCGCACGGCGAAACAATTGTTTCCGAGCAGCGACCGACCCCAGGGAAAGGATTCTCATCTGGAAGTGGGCTGGGATTGGGGGAAAGGGGGAGGGGGAGCCAGCGATGGGGAGGGCAGTGCAGGCGAGACAAGGATGGTTTTTGCTCTCCATCGCAGCGACCCACTGAAATTAGATACCGTAGCGCCAAAACTGGAGGCTTGCCGGCCGTCAGGTTTGAATCGCTCCTAGCGAGTTCCGTTGTTGGCCTCGCCTCGCGGTGCTGGGAGTCGAACGCCGGTCCCCAGGATTGGTGGATCGACGTCGCTACGCGCTCGGCCACTGGGCCGCGTGACCCACGGCCTGCAGGTGCGCCCCGCGGCAGGCCACCCAGGCCGTCGACACCGCGCTGCCCGGTTACCTTATCTGGCCGATAACGACCGCGGCTCCTTTCTGCCGTGCTGTTCGCCGCCGTGCCGTTTGCAGCGCGGCACAAAGGGGCACAAGAGCACGGAGCAGACGGAGCACGCGCCGTCTGCCGTCTGACTCCGAAGGACCATTTCGTCGCTCTGTCTCTCTCGCACTCACGGCGCGCCCCCATGAGTGCGAGAGAGACAGAGCGACGAAACTACCCTTCGGAATCAGGCGGCTGGGACGCGGTCTGGGAGGCGGTCTGGGAGGCGGCCGGAGCGGCAGCACGCCGTCGCGGCGCGCAAAAAAGGGGGCTGGATTTATGTCTCTCGTCCCGGGTACGATTACGACGTCCCCCGGGAGGGTCGGCCAGTCGGAAGGCCGCGGCGCTTTTTGCGGCCCGCCGCCCTTACGGTGTGCTGGCAGGGGCGGGCCGCGGAATGCACCGGCAGGGCGGGGCACGGCAGCACGGCACGGCAGTACGGCACGGCGTCAGACCTGTTGAACCTGCTGAAGCGCGACGGGCCGCCTGATAGACGTGTCCAGGACGTGGCGTGACGCATCCTGCCTGCATCCTGCACCTCGCTAAGCGCACCGATGCGCGCCGCTGTCGCCGCTGTCGCCGCTGTCGCCGCTGTCGCCGCTGTCCCAGCAGACTGATTCCGAGAGTTGTTTTCGTCGCTCTGTCTCTCTCGCACCTAGGGTCAGGGCGGGGAAAAACTGGACAGGGGAAGAACTGGACACCCCACATTTTACTTCAAATGCCGTATGTCCTGGCCTGACAACTGTCGTGTAATGAACCGCTGATGCCACGGAACCACTTTTGATAGTTGCTATTCCTGTCCCTTCGGTATTTGAAGTAAAATATGGGGCGTCCAGTTCTTCCCCTGTCCAGTTCTTCCCCGCCCTGACCCTATGCGGGACGCCCCGTGAGTGCGAGAGAGACAGAGCGACGAAAGCGACTCTCGGAATCAGTCTGCAGAGGAAGTCATGGACGCGGCCTTGTTGCACTCAGCCAGCGACTCCCGACGGGCCGAAGGGCCGAAAGGACGAAGGCTTTGCGTCCTTCTGGGACAGTGCACTGCAGGGCGTCCTCCGCGCTTCCGCCTCGAAACAAGTTCGTCGACTCGGAACTGTCCACGCCACGCCGTTCCGTGCAGTCACCCCCAGCCGCCTGTGTCTGGGGCGCGTCTCTCTCGCACTCACGGGTCGCCCCGTTGGAGTGCGAGCGAGACAGAGCGACGAGACGGCCCTTCAGAACCAGGCGGCGGCCGGGCTTCTTTTCTTCCGCGATACGCGATACGCGCGGCAGCGCGGCAGGCTGTCTCCGCGAGGCGCGCCGCCTCCCCCGCCTCCCCCGCCTCCCCCGCCCCCCCGCCTCCCCCGCCTCCCCCGCTCGCTCCCCCGCCTCCCCCGCCTCCCCCGCCTCCCCCGCCTCCCCCGCCTCCCCCGCCTCCCCCGCCTCCCCCGCCTCCCCCGCCTCCCCCGCCTCCCCCGCCTCCCCCGCCTCCCCCGCCTCCCCGCCTCCCCCGCCTCCCCCGCCTCCCCCGCCTCCCCCGCCTCCCCCGCCTCCCCCGCCTCCCCCGCCTCCCCCGCCTCCCCCGCCTCCCGCCTCCCCCGCCTCCCCTCCCCGCCTCCCCCGCCTCCCCCGCCTCCCCCGCCTCCCCCGCCTCCCCCGCCTCCCCCGCCTCCCCCGCCGGCACGGCCGGCACCCCGTTTGCATTATTCAGCCGGTCGGTGGAAAAAGTGGACTGGGCGGGGAGGGTCACGGACCCCGCGGGAAAGAAACCGCCAAACTCAATTCGCGCGTTTGTGTTGTTCTCCACAGGATGGCCAGCACGACCATGGCCGCCGTGCCCCTGGGCTCGGGCCCCGGCCCTGGCTCGGGGCCGGCGCCGGCCACCACCGCCGTGGGGGCGGCCACACTGCTGTCCGGCACGCTGTCCGGGTCGCTGACGGCGTCCTCCACGGCCATGGAGACCGAGGTGCTGACGCAGCTGTTCCACGCCAACGCCGACCACTACCAGCTCTCCTTCGCCGCCATCAACCGCATGAGGCAGCACGCGCAGCTGTGCGACGTGACGCTCAAGATCGGCTCCGACTCCATCAACGCGCACCGCCTGGTGCTGGCCTCGGTCAGCCCCTACTTCCACGCCATGTTCAACGGTGAGGGTAAACCTTGGGGTAAACAGCGAGGCGAGCGGCAAAGCCAAACAGCCCGCGGCCATGCCGGCGCACAGTGGGCCAGAAGACCGGTGGAGGCGGCCCATGTTCTAGACGCGTTTTCGGCTCCAGTGTCGCTAAATGGGACTCGAACCGAACGTGTGACCCCACCTAACGAGGAATTCATTGGTGGGGTCGCACGTTCGGTTCGAGTCCCATTTAGCGACTCTGGGGCTCAAAACGCGTCTAGAGTTTTGGCCGCTTTCGCCGGTCTTCTGGCCCACTGTGCGGGCGTCCTGGCGGCCCGAAAGCGGAAAAGCGGGAAAGCGGCAAGGGGGGTTCGCGGTGGATTAGTCGCAGTTCGGCCGTTGGGCGCAGCGCCCTCGACGCCAACCTCCTGTTTATGTTTGCGGGTATGCGCGGGTTCGCGGCCCAGCGGACGGATAGGCTAGACGGATGGACGGACGGACGGCCAATGTTTCCAAACACGCACTGGTCGTTGGTCTTCCCCTCCCCCTTCCCCATTTTGCCACCGCCGACCGCAGAGCCCTTACGATAGCATCTGAGGGGAGGGCCGGGACATGAACATAAGGCTCGCCGACACTTAGACTTAGCTACTTTCAAAGAATAAGTCGGCCGGGTGGCGCGGGTAAAAAAAAAGGAATAGGGGAGGGGGAGGAGATCGGCGTAATCTTTTTCACAAGATTTCTAACTTGGCAAAAAGTACTGGAGGAGTTGGGTTCACTACCCCCTACTTGGTGGAAGGGCGACGGCCTGGCTACACGCATGGGACCCGATATCCGATACGTAATAAATCTCATCTGGTACAAATAAAACATTGAAAAAAAACTGATGCGCAGACGACATGGTGGAGAAGTTGCGGCCCGAGGTGACGCTGCACGACATCGACGGCCTGGCGCTCAAGCAGCTCATCGAGTACTCCTACACGGGGGAGATCCTCATCACGGAGGACAACGTGCAGGTGAGTCGACCCGTTTTCCGTTTCTAGCGTAGAGTGGTTTTCGTCGCTCTGTCTCTCTCGCACTCGTGGGGCGTTGCGCCCGGGTGCGAGAGAGACAGAGCGACGACACGAGCCTTTGTGTGTCCGCAGGTGCTGCTGCCCGCGTCCAGCCTGCTGCAGATGGGGCCGGTGCGCGACGCGTGCTGCAAGTTCCTGCTGCGCCAGCTGCACCCCTCCAACTGCCTCGGCATCCGGAGCTTCGCCGGTGAGGAGGCGACAGAGACACTAACGAAGCACCGGGGGCGTCTCCATTGTGGAGCTACTTGAGCCACCCTCTCATATTCATGTCCCTCTCAATCTCGCCGTATTAGACGGGACCCTCCCCTCCCCTCCGCCAACACCACCCCCTCCCCCTCCCCCACCCCCTTCCCGGTTCGTCGACCCGGCGTGTCATGAGGGGGTTCGCAGCGCGCACGCCACGAGGTGCTTGCCCCCCACAACCCCCACCCCCGGGCCCGGCCGCCGCCAGCCCCGAGGCCGTAGTGACCTTATGCGGGTTGAATGCCGTCCTGCCGGCCAGGTAGGCTGCACCCCGCAGGGGAGTGTGCGTGTGTGCGTGTGTGTGTGCGCGCGCGCGTGGGTGTACGGTGTATGTGTGTGGGGTGTGTGGGGGAGGGGGAGGAGGTGCATGCGTGTATGTGTAAGCATTGTGTGTGTGTTTTTTTTTCTCGGGGCGATGTGATGCAAACGTAATTGTCCGGCGGCGTCGAGGGCGGGGGTGCAGACTGATTCCGAGAGTCGCTTTCGTCGCTCTGTCTCTCTCGCACTCAGCAAAAGGCGTCCAGTATAGGAGCGAGGGAGACAGAGCGACGAAAAGCGACTCTCGAAATCAGTCTGCGGGGTTGCCCTAGGTTGCTGGCAATGGGGCGGGCGCGGTGGGGGAGGTGTCCGCCAGTCGTCCGCCCCGTCATAGACCGCGCCGCCCTGCCGATGACAAGCCGTTCGAGGTGACGGTGACAAATCGGCGCGGTCGGTGCGGCGCGGAAGGCAAGGCGATGACCGCTGGCGTGGCGGCCAATGGTGGCGTGGCTTTAGCCGCTGTGGCCTCTGGGCTGCCGCGGCCGTGCCACGGGTCATGCAAAGGGCAACGTAGCCAGCGCGTCCAATTTTGCTTTCTGTCTTTTTTTGGAACACAATGCCCTTGCTTTGCGCTCTGCACCGACTCTGCACACTCAAAGAAGAGGGTTCATTGCCCGTAGAAAAACCATTTCCAATAGTCTCGACCCCAGTGGATGTTTTCATTATGAAAGCGTGACAAGAGCCCTCTCTAGAGACAGGATCGCCCTATTTTCGAGTGTGTGACTCGAGTCTGTACTAACCACACTGCAACTTTTGTGGTTGGCTGTCGCGTGGGGCGGGGCCGTGTTCCGGGTTGCCTACGCCGCCGCCCTGCGTTCCCTGCGTCACGGCAGCCGGCAGTCACGCGCCTCTCGCCACGAAGGGCACTGCTTCTTGCACGCACGCCTGCAGACTGATTCCGAGAGTCGTTTTCGTCGCTCTGTCTCTCTCGCACCTATAAGGGACGCCCCATGAGTGCGAGGGAGACGGAGCGACGAAAACGACTCTCGGAATGAGCCCGCTGGCCGCGGCGCGGCGGCCACGCCTCGTGGAGGCGTCGAGTCGAGGCGTCGAGGCGTCGAGGCCTGGGTCGAGGCCGAGGCCGTGGCCTGGATTCGGCGGGCCTCGTCACATCCTCGCCGCGATCCTCCCAATAACGCGACGCCTTGATGCCTCGGCAGATGGCCTCTTCCCACGCGGACGCTTCCCTCTAGGCCTCCTCCAGGCCTCCGCCCCGCGGCCGCAACCTCGCCCGGCCTTGCCCGGCCTTGCCGCGCGGCCTCCACGCCTGGCTCCTCGCCCCGCTTCCTTTCGGCTCGGCCTCTACCGCACAGTGGGCCAGAAGACCGGTGGAGGCGGCCAAAACTCTAGAAGCGTTTTGAGCTCCAGAGTCGCTAAATAGGGGTCGAACCGAACGTGTGACCCCACCAATGGATTGCTCTCCGAACGAGGAATCCATTGGTGGTGTTACACGTTCGGTTTAAGTCCTGTTTAGCGACTCTGGAGCTCAAAACGCGTCTAGAGTTTTGGCCGCCTCCACCGGTCTTCTGGCCCACTGTGCACCGCCTCCACTCTGGCGGAACTCGAAAAGGGCGTCTCTGCTGGGCCTTTGCCACGGCGGCATGTTTCTGCAAGTTGCCTCCCTTGTTGTCGTGGGGCCGGGCGGCCGGGCAGGCCGGCCGGGGCTGCCGTTTCAACCTCCGACTCGCTGGCCATCCTCTTCCCCTCCCCCCTCCCCTCTCCCCCTCCCCTCCCCGGTCCCGGCGCACCCCCGGCGCCCAGCGCGGCATTATAGGTACTCCCGCGACTCCCCCCTAACTCCTGGTTCGTCATTTACGAAAGGAGCCAAGTTTGTCCCCGGCGGCGACAACAGAGAGTGACTCACCGACGTGGGCGCGGGGCGAGGCGGGCCGTTTGTAACTTTGTCGGACTACAAGATACTAGCCATAAAGGATTGATTGCAGGACGAGGGGCGGGACAGTGGGTGGGTGGAAGGGGGCGGGGGGAATCGATCAGTGTGCAGGCCGGGCTGGCCGCGCCCGGAGTGACCGCCACGCGGTGGAGTGACCGGCGAGCCGGCGGTCTTGGCGGCGGCGGCGGTCCGGAAGGGCTGCGAACCCTGCGAACCTCCCAAACCTGCAAACCCTGGAACAGGAAGAAAGCGATTCTCGCCCAGCGGCCCGCGGCTCTCCCTTTTTCCTGTAGGTTCCTTCCCCCATTATTCTTCTATCACGGCGTCGGCCCGCTGACGGGCACGTACAAAGACCTGGCGGTGGAGTGGCGCCCCGCGTCGCTGCGGCCGACGGCCTGCCGACGGCGCGCTAAAACGGCGAGGCTGTTTGGCCAGGCGGCGCCGTGGCCGCCGTGGCCGCGAGGCACTAGGCCGCCATCGTGGAGCCACCCAGGCGGCGGCCGCGCCAGGCGGGCTGTTTGCCCAGATGAACGTTTGCCTTGATGGCTGTTTGATCACCCCCGGCCCTGGCCGAGGCCCTGGCGGCCCTGGCGGCCCTGGCGGCCCTGGCCTGGCTCGGCTCGGCCTGCTCGCGTTACGGGCACAGGCAGGGCCGCCGCCAAACCCCGGCCCTTTACGAGGCCAGCAGGCTGCGTCGCTCTGTCTCTCTCGCACCCCGACGGTACGCCCCATGAGTGCGAGAGAGACAACAGCGCCGTTTCCGAACCAACTAGCGGCACGCCGAGGGCGGCCGAGGGCCTGATTGGCCTGGCGGGCCGGCGGGCTGCTTTCATCCCCGCGCCGCCTTGGAGTGCCGCCACACTGCCACACGTCACAACGACTCGGTGAGGCGGCCGAGACGCGCGGCGAGACGCGCGGCGTTGACGAGGCGAAATTGATTTTGCGGTTCACAGCAGAAGCCATGGCTACTCGCTCCGTTGTAGGGACGGCCCAGGCATGGCCCGGGGGAGGGGGGAGTAATCTCATTTTCCTGAGAGGATCGGCCACATCGGCCTTGGGCTGCTTGGTGGGGGCGACGGCCCGTCCAGATGACCAGGCCACGTCGGGCCATGCCCCACCCTTTCTTCTCGTTCTTCCAAACTCGGCAGCGCACTGATTCCGAGAGTCGTTTCCGTCGCTCTGTCTCTCTCGCACCCATGGGGCGTCCCGGATAGGTGTGAGTGAGACAGAGCGACGAAAACGACTCTCTCGGAGCCGGTCTGCTGCTCCCGATGAATCAGTCCGCAGCGCGAAGTCGGAGGGACGCCAATTATGGCTACAAGGGTAGACACTGTGGACCAGGCTGACGCTGGCTGGCGCCGGCAGGGCCGCAGGCTGGCAGGGCTAAGCTGCGCGGAGCCCAGCACGAGCCGGCCCTGGAGGAGCGTTGATTGGAGGCCCTGTGTACACAGCGAGACCCGGCCTTGGGAGGGCCTTGGGCCTCGGCCGCACCCTGCCCTCCCCCGCCCCACCCGGGGGTGCACCCCCCGGCCACCCCAGAGCGCCCTGAATGCAGAATCGGGGTGCGGCGGGGCGACGGCAGAGACGGACGACAGCCATTTGTTTGATGGCGTCTTCGCCATTACGACTTCAGCTGGGACGGCGCGGCGGCGTGTGTTCCAGAAAGCCCAGAGAGCATAAAGATGCTCCACGATGCGCGCACGCACGCGGCCGTCTGCTCGCCACTCGACGAGATCGCTCACTATCGGTGCAGAAGAGTCTGTCTCTCTCGCACCCCGACGGCACGCTACATGAGTGCGACAGAGGCAGAGCGACGAAAACGACCCTTTCGCAGATGGTTGCGGGAGCGACGCAGAGCAGATGCCGCTGTGAAGGAGGCCGGCCACGCAGACGCAGACAGGAAGCAGGGAGAGCGCGTTGAAAGTTGGGGGGAAATCGGCTGGGATGTCTGAAGCTCGATGTTCGAGCGATGAGCAGCCTTGCCGGCCGGCCTTGGTGTCCTCCCCCTCTCGGCCGCGATGGCGCGACGGAAGGAAAGGGCAAGACGAGCCCAGGGAAACGAAAACAGAAATACCGACGTTTGTTCCTGAAATAACAGTATTGAAGGGGAAGGGCGCGCAGCCATTTGGCCCTAAAACAAGGGCCCAGCCCGGCCCAAGGCCGTGGAGGCCGTAGGGCTGTGGGCCCGCCCCGTCCCGCCCGGCCCCGCCCCGCCCCGCCCATCGCTCTGACCTATTGCCGCGGTCATAAAAGGGCGCTGCCACGCCACTGCCGCTCGGTCAAGGGCTTTCGCGTCGCTTTCGCGGCTTTCACCGCCGTCCTGAAGGGCCGTCCTGAAGGGCGGCACGATGACGTCGGGGCGCGTCTCGCGTGTCCCTGCCTCAAAAGGGAGGGGGAGTCTGTGGGTCCCCGCGGGGTCCATCTCCGGATAAATCTCCCTTTCTGCCGCGCCGGTCGCGCCGGCTGGCTCCCCGGTCCTGACGGTCCTGCAGGCCGCCACCGTGCTGCCGGGCGGCCCGGCCCGGCCGTTCCCCTCGCCGGAAGGCTATTGAGCGCCTCCCCCTCCCCCTCCCCGCCCCCACGCACCGCCCCCGCCCCCGCTCCCGGAGCGGCGTAGCGGCGCGGGACGGTCCACAAGGACACCCAGGTGGCGAAAGTCGCCGTACCGCGCTTCTGCCGCCGCCGCCGCCGCCGCGCCTGCGCCTCCCTCATAGGACATGCCTCCCCGCTGGAGACTGTGGAGTCGCTTTCGTCGCTCTGTCTCTCACGCACTCATGTTGCGTACCCCCCGTGAGCGAGGGAGACAAAGCGACAAGGAGGACTCTCCGAGCAGCCTGTAGAGGCCGTGGCCGTGCCGTGGCGCCGTGGCCCGGACACCCTATTAGCGGTCCCAGCCGAGCCGCGTGCCATTCCATGCACTCCATATTTCACGGCGCTGTCTCCGACACTCTCCGACACTGCAACGCAACTAGTGGGACGTGGCCTGGCCGTGGCCTGGCCCTGCTTGGTGTTCAGCAGGCCATTCCAGCCATTCCTTGTACGGGCGTGCCCATCAGTGTCGCCGCACGAGTAGATAAAAATATCCACCATGCACCAGTGTGGGAAGGAGCCAGCCTCAGCCTGGGGCCTGGCCGCTAAAGCACGCTCACGCACTATGTGGGCGGTCCTCTCGAGAAAGTGCCTTGTGTTTGGCGCCTTCCATGCAGTCGACGCCGCCTGCCGGACAGCCGGGCGGGCCCGCCCGCCGCACGGGGATGCCCACCGGGTGGCCTACCCCGGATCCGCAGGCGCTCTGCAGGGGTGCGCGTGGGCCGACCCGCCGCGCCGCCACGCCGGGCGGGTTGCCTGTCGGCTGTTCGCAGGCGGCTCTGGCCCTAGGGTGCGTTCCGCGATTTCCCAGCAGACTGATTCCGAGAGTCGTTTTCGTCGCTCTGTCTCTCTTGCACTCACGGGGCGAAGCGCGTAGGTGCGAGAGAGGCAAAACGACTCTTGGAATCAGTCCGCAGTGCGTTCGTGTTCGTGCCCCCGTGGACGCAGAGGGTCGGTCGACGCCGAGGGTCGAGGACGAGGCCGTGGAGGCCGAGGAGCTATATCGCCCACCGTGATTTACGCGGGGCTCCCGGTCGGCCCCGGTCCCGGCGGGGTGTTCCAGTGCCCCGCCGCACCGCACCGCACCGCTCCCGATCCCGCGCGGCTTTGCTGCTCATTCCGCTGGGAAACAAACGACTCGAGGGTGGCGGTATTTCAAGCGGAAAAATACGCGCGTGCCGCGGGCGGGAAAACTCGCTTTGCAGTCCAGTGGGCGCGGCGTGGCGGGGAGTGGCGGGGCGGGGCGGGGCGGGCGCACCGAAGGCACTCCCTGGAGTGGCCAACGCCGTGCCGTCCCAAGGGACTGCTCCAGGGCACCCCAACAGGTGCTTGGCAGGGCCCCAGGACCGTCCAGGACCGAAATGCAGTGCAGGGCGTGCTGCTTCATGAAGGTGGCGATGAATTACACATCGCCGGGGCGTACGCTCCAGGCCCGGCCTTCGGCCCCGTAGGCCCACCCCTAAATGACTGCCCTGGGACCCGCGCACGCGCGCAGCGAGGGGCCTCGCGAGGTGTCGTCCAAGGCCCCGACGCGCCTGCCCTGGAACGCACAGCCAACGCAGCGCGCAGCGCGCAGCGAGGGGAAGGTCAAGTAACTCGCCGCGTCCTGGAAGCACTGGAGCATCCTGGTCCGGGCTGCACCGTGGAGGGTGCGCAGGTTTGGCCTGAGTCAATTTGCACAGCCGTTTATCACGAAGCGGGTTTCCAGCCGACGAGTAAAACTCCAGCAAGGACCATTTTAAATCTACTTTCTTTTTACTGCTTCGCAAATTTGTTCTTTCGAGGCGTTTCTTTCTCGGTGCGAATGTGGCCCCTCAGTAAGCTGGGCTGCCCCCCGCGCCGCGTCCTTGCAGTGTATACACGGTGGGTTTGGAGCCCTCTGCGTAAGCAGCTGATGTTGCTGCGACTCGACTGCAAGCGGACCGGGTCGATAGGCTTTCCCACCCTCACGCGCCGCTGTCCGTCTGTCCCTCTCTCTGTCTCTCTCTCTTTCCCTCTCTCCCTCACCCATCTGACGCCACCCACCTCTCATCTCATTTCATATCCCATCCCTTCCCGCGATTTGCTCTGCCCGTACAGTGTGGCGGACTGCGGCAGCGATGCAAATGCAGAGGATGGAGGGATGGAGGGAGGGGCCCTTCACTTTCACGGCGATGTTAAAGTTAATTTTGCTCAAAACGCGCGCTGTCCAAGTTGTTGAGCTTCATTGTCTACCTCTAATCTCTCTCTCTCTCTCTCCCATCCCACAGACGCGCACTCTTGCAAAGAGCTCCAGAGTTCCTCGCACCAGTTCGCCGTGCAGAACTTCCAAGAGGTGATGAACACCGAGGAGTTCTTGCTGCTGCCGTACAATGATGTAGGTCTCTCTGTCTGGCTCGTACCTTTCTTCCCCGACTGGCAGTTGAATGATTTTCGTTTTTGTTCGCTCCGCCCTCGGCTCCGCCCTCGGCTCCGCCAGGTTGAGGAGCTGGTGTCTTCGGGGCAGCTCAACGTGTCCAGCGAGGAGAAGGTGTTTCACGCCGTGCTCAACTGGGTCAAGCACGACCTGGGCAACAGGGAGCAGCACGTCGCCAAGGTGGGTTTATTCTTATATTCTTTCCTTTCAGACTATCGAAATAACAAGCAAAATAAAAAGCAAACAAACCAAACAGACGGATGAACGAATAAGTAAACTTGCTTTGCAGTTGCTGAAACACGTGCGGCTGCCGCTGCTGGAGCGTGACTTCCTGATGGCGCACGTGGACTGCGAGCCGCTGGTGCGCGCCTCCGACTCGTGCAAGGAGCTGCTGCTCGAGGCCATGAAGTACCACCTGCTGCCGGACCAGCGCGCCGCCCTCACCACGGAGCGCACCGCGGCCAGGCAGCCCGAGGGCCTGGAGCCCTACCTGTTCGCCATTGGTGAGGACCGGGACGACGCGCTGCACAGTGGGCCAGAAGACCCGCGCCGGCGGCCAAAACGCTCGGCGCGTTTTGAGCTCCAGAGTCGCCAAACAGGACTCGAACCGAGCGTGTGACTCCACCAATAGATTCCTCGTTCGAAGAGCGGTCCTTTGATGGGGTCACACGTTCCGTTCGAGGCCCATTTAGCGGCTGTGTAGCTCAACGCGTCCGGGATTTCTACCGCCTCCACCAGTCTTCTGGCCCACTGTGCACTGTCCAATGTGTGCTCAGTACACAGCTGTGGGAGTGTGCTTTCAAGTGTTTGGGATGAAAGCGTGCTTGTCTACGTACACATATGCGCGTTTGCCCAAGCGCTTAGTTTCGAATCGGTCATGAAGCAGATCCTTCGTAGACTTTATACAGTACAGTGCGGTAGCGAACGACTGGGCGAACGGCCTAGCGCGCCTACTACCCGTAGGGCCCAAATTAGAGTCCTGCCTCAAATGTAAAGTGTACCCGTCGCGTTGCCATGGCGTTGCCGCGTTGGTGAGTGTGTGCTGTGCGTGCACGCAGGAGGCGGCTCGCTGTTCGCCATCCACAGCGAGTGCGAGGTGTTCTCCACTCGCGGCGACCGCTGGCAGGCCATCGCACCCATGCTCTACCGCCGCTCCAGGGCCGGCGTCGTCGGACTCAACCGCCAGCTCTTCGTCGTCGGGGGGTAAGTCAGTTGGGTTTCGACGCCGGGCGGTTTATTTTGCCCTCATGGCTGCCGCAGTGTCTGGAGACTGGTCTGTCCCTGGCCCGCAGGTACGACGGCACCTCCGACTTGTCCACGGCCGAGTGCTACTCGCCGCACCACAACGCCTGGACCACCATCACGCCCATGGGCACCAAGCGGAGCTGCCTCGGTAAGCGTCAAGCCGCCAAGCCGCCAAGCCAAGCGCCAAGCACGTGCCTGCTTCGTCGCTCTGTCTCTCTCGCACCCCTATGGGACGCCCCCGAGTGCGAGAGAGACACAGCGGCGAAAGCGCTGTTCAAAGTCAGCCTGCAGTGCCACAGCTCAGTCTAAACCACGCCGCGTGCCCTGGCCTGTCTCCGGTTTGACTGTCCGCCTGGGATTGTTTCTGCAGGCATCTGCGCGCTGGACGGGCTGCTGTACGTGTGTGGGGGCTACGACGGCGCGTCGTGCCTCAACTCGATGGAGCGGTACGACCCCTTGACGGGCGTGTGGACCTCCTGCCCCGCGATGCTGCTGCGACGCCGCTACTGCCGCCTGGCCGTGCTGGGTGCGTACCGTCACCACCCCTCGTCGCTCTGACTCTCTCGCGCCTCCTCGCCCCCCGAGCGCGAGGCCAACTCTCGGACACCGTTAGCAGACTGATTCCGAGGGTCGTTTTCATCGCTTAGTCTCTCTCGCACCTGTACGGGACGCCCCATGAGTGCCAGAGAGACAGGGCGACGAAAACGACTCGCAGAATCAGTCTGCTGCAGCCGTCGGACGGGCAGGACACCGTCAACACGAACCCGTCTCTCTGTGCAGACAACTGCATCTACGCGCTGGGCGGCTTCGACTCCTCCAACTACCAGGCGACAGTGGAGCGGCTGGATCCCCGCGCGGGCCGCTGGGACCCCGTGCCCTCCATGTCGTCGCGGAGGTCCTCGTGCGGCGTGGCGGCCCTGGACGGCATGCTGTACTGCGTGGGCGGCAACGACGGCACCATGTGCATGAGCTCGGGGGAGCGCTTCAACGCGCGGCGGCAGGCCTGGGAGCCCATCGCCGCCATGCACTCGAGAAGGTGAGCCAGGCAGAGCACTGCAGAGCACTGCGAGCACTGCAGAGCAGCCAGCAGACGTTCCGTGTCTCCGTCGCACTCAAGGGGCGTCCCCGTCCCCTGGGCGTGCGAGAGAGACGGAGCGACGAAAGGACTCTTGGGAATCGACCGGACCTGGCGGTCCAACGGCGCGGTGCGGTGCAGCAGCTCATGCACGCCGTGTTGTGTTCCAGGTCCACGCACGAACTGGTGTCCATGGGCGGCGCGCTGTACTCGCTGGGCGGCAACGACGGCAGCTCGTCGCTCAACTCGGTGGAGCGCTACGACGTCGCCACCAACAAGTGGACGCTGGTCACGTCCATGCTGACGCGCCGCAGCTCCGTGGGCGCCGCCGTCCTGGACTGCCTGGGCGTGCCGTCGTCGTCCTCGGCCAGCTAGTCCTTGCTCGTCACTGCCCTGTGATCGCCGCCATGCGCCGCCGTGCCGCGCCACGTCGCCCTGGTCGCCGCGCCGTCAGAGCCCCTCCAGGAAGACGGCCTCGACGACCCCGACGTGGCCGCGGCCGCCGCCAGGCTGGAGTGCCTCATCTAGGACTCGCTGCAAGGTGCTGTGACGTAGGAGAAAGAATTGAACCATCGCTGCTCCGCGCCTTACACTCTGACGCGGTGGTGAAGGCTCCATTCTTTCCCCTTTCCAGCCCACTCTGCGCCACGGCACTTCGGCACTTCCCTCACGCTGCGCATGCGGCCCTTCGCCCCGGGGCGGCGGCCAGCCAGGTCTCGCCGCCTGGCCACAGCAAAGGCCGCCTCCCGGGGCGTCACCACATCGTCACATCGTCACGTCACGCGGGCAGTGACGCTCGGACGCCACGGGGGCCGAGGCTGTGCGGCCCCCGCCACCCCAAGGCCCTCGCGCCTGGGAGCCCCCACTCGGGGAAGAGACAAGCAAGCACGCCGCCGCTGTCTATGAGAGGGTTGACGCTCAACCGCACTCAACTTGCAAGTGTGGGCGGGCACGTTCCCGCCACACTGCTGTGAGATAACATTTTGTGATACCTCTGAATTTGCACAGCAACACTGCCACCGACCTGCCGGTTTGCCACTTCGGATGAGAGGAGGACAATGCACGGCTCATTTTCTGACGTGCGCTGCTTGGTTTCCCAACTGAGTTTTCGTTTAAGACCAGGCCTGTGTTTACTGAAACTTAGAAAAACCGGATCATTTTATAACTATGGGTATTTATGACAAAAAAATCATTTATTATCAGCAATTTATTACCAACACTGCCAGTATTTTCTAGAGCGAATTGATTCTTATTTTATGAAGTATACTTTTTGGATGGAGTGAGATTATTTTGTACTCCCTTTATTCTTTGGAATCTTTCATATTACCATAATGTTAAAACTAAAGGAGATTTTCAGTACTTGACCAATATGTTAAATGTTTTGAATTTTCAGTCTATTAAGTCCCCCCTCCCCTTCTGTCTATATATTTACTCAAATACTGTACTGATCAAGGTTCCATTTCAACTGCCTTGTGAGGTTCTCTACTGCCCATAATGTGACATACAAATTGTTCTATTTCTGTTTCAACTATTATCGAGTAACTTCCTTGTTGCTTGGGACAAGACTGAAATATTGCTTTTCAATTATGTACTTACAGGTTTTTGGGTCATGGTTTGATTGAGAAAGTGAGCAATGTGGTGAAGAAAATGTCATGTGCATAAGTGTGCAGTATACATAAATTCAGTTTGCTGAGATGGAACTTAAAACACTGAGCCATGTGAGACGAATGTAGTGATATTAAATATAAGGAAGTAAATATGTACAGAAAAGAAAAGAGAATTAATAGTTCTTTAAGTTCTCAGCTTGCAATCACTAGAAGTAGCAAAACAACTGATGTCATTTATCATAGTCACGATTACTAGATTTTATGTCTATCGTAGTCAAAATATTGTAGAATAGATTAATTAAATGAATAGGCCAGAGTTAGATGCAGATAGTTTGTACAACCAAAAGAATCACACCTCATTCCATTTAGTGGGATATGCTTATGCTCTTATCTCATGGCTTATGACTTCTTAAAGAATCTTTGTGACTGATTTTAGTTCTTAATACACCAGCTATGTCCTCTATTTTTATTTCATTCTGAATAGTAGAGTTACCATTAGCTCACTGAAATTGAATCTGTGTAGTTGAAGTTTGTTTGCACACCATTGTAGTTCCATTTCTAAGCGAATGAAAGGAACAAATAAAAGTCGGAGGAGTAACTTACTTAATTGATTTACTTTTCTTGATGAAATAATTTATAATTTATTTAATGGAGACCCTCTACATCGAAATTAACCATCAGGAAAGAATTCTGATTGAAATGATTGTTAGTCTAAACAGCAAACCATACAAGGTTGGGTAATGAAGGTGCCAGAAAGGTCTCAGTCTACATTTGTACACATTGGGGACTCTGAAATAGGAGTGAGTGAATCACCTATTGAAGGACTACATGTGCCCCTCATGCAGAGACTGCAAATCGAAAAGATGAAAATTAGAAGCACTAGGAGTAAGTGATCTATGGTGTATACAGTCTACCAATAATTTATCTTTGAAACGGTTTAGTAAAAATTAAAAAGGTCTGCTGTTACCTGATGACAATCCTCCATGAGCTAGGAAAACCAAGAAACAAAATTTAGTTAGAAAACAACATGGTTTAGTTTTCCCATTGATAACAATAGTAATCTTGACTCAACCCTAAGAATCATTCTAGTAAATGATGGCTTCTACTCAAGGTACCGAGAAAATTTAAGTACTGTACCTTAAGGGGGCACACCAGTGAAAATCGTCAAATTTTTGCCTTCTTTTTTATTTTCTCTTAATTTTCTGCTATTCATCCCGAGTCGAAGGCCGCAAACCCGACCCCAAAATTCCAATTACTTTGGCTTGTGCACATTTTTAAAGTTGCTAAAAAGGTAATTATTTTTGCATATTTTAGACCAATTGTTAACGTTCAGGTTTTTCACTTGAAGTTCAATTACAAAACCTTTGAACCACCCAAAAGCAGTTGAAAAGAGGAACATTTTGGCGCAAACTGAACTAAAATACGTCAAAAAGCGCATTTATAATCCGAAAAATCACGTCAAATCTATGTTTCTACTTAAAGGGCTTTTTCTCAAAACACCGTTTTTGTACCTTTGTGCCACTCTCACGGGCGCAAAAATGAAGATAATTAAATGCGGTTTGCGGCAAAATGTTTCTTAAACTTGCGGCTATGGTCTGAACCTCGGAAATGGCCATCCCATAAATAGGACGTGAGCTGCAGCCATGAAAGCGCGAAAAAATTGGTTAAAAAATTTGTTTCTATTTTTGCCTTTTGAAAAAACAAATTCAAAATCATTCTTTTTGCACGCCCGTGGTTCAGACCATAGCCACATGTGTCCTGTTGAGAAATTTTCAAATCCCGTGCTCGTGGCTCAATCCAGAGAGGCGGAATCGTGGCAGGAGTGAAGCAAGGTCGCAGAAAAATGTACTGCACTGGCGCTCCGTCTTGCCATCGCCACCCCGCCCTCCCATACTGATTTTCCTTTTCTTTGACATAATTTTGAACCAAGAATAAAATATCAATCGAATACATAGGTTACTTTTCTCAGAATGATCGTTTTTCGAAACCTCTGCATTTTCACTGGTGTGCCCCCTTAACCATAAATAATGCTCCATGCCTCTATCATCACTCTACTATCATTCTGTGACTAATGCATACATTTTCAAGTAAAAAAAGATAAACAAAACCTTGACAACAAAAATATATTGAGTAAAAAATACAAGAACATTGAAATAGGGTCCAACTTGACCGAGGCTTTTCACTCTTTATCACCTCACTTGACTGATCCAAGCTACTGAGACGGCCGCACCAAAATTTGAGCAGCACTTGCTGCAGATCGGCTCACGACTGACTGTGCAGTGCGGCCGTGGCCAGGGCTTTCTACAGTAGCTGGCCCAATGCCGCGCCCAACGCCCCCGAAAGAATCGCCTGCAACCGAAACCACTAGGTAAGCTCGGTCCTTGCACAGGTCAAAGGAGATGTACAAGTAAAACCCCCATCAAGTTGGAACCTTGCTTTCATTTTAGAGAGATGCACTAGACAGCAAAAATGCATGCCACTACATTGAAAAAATTAAGTGTTTAGGAAGATAAATTTATTTTGTAAAGAAAAAAAGGAATGGCTAAAAGAAAATAAAACTCCAAGTATGTAGAAGTGACTATTTATTGATGTGGTACAATGAACCTGTGACATGCAACCAATCATGCACCTAAACTCAACAATATATTACTCAAATGCAAGGCCATACAGGCTCCTTGCTAATAAATGCATAAATTTAAAACAAGAGGCCATAGAAACTAAAGAAAAAAAAAAACAAACCCCAGTTCAGTCTGCAACTTTAGCAAACACCGCATAGTTAACATTAGTCTTCAAGCTCAAAGTGCCTCAAAATACAAACAGATGAAAATATCCAGAAAATCTATTGTTTGCTTTCTGAGAAACTTAACAAAATTACACATAAAATTACAATGGACATAACACTACAGAATCATGCAAGAAAAATAATCAAAAGTTGAAAAAAAAAGAAAAATGCTAATATTAAACAATATTACTAAAAGTTACTTCTTACTTTTCAGCAACTTCTCACTAGCATCATCAAAGGCAGGGTCACCAATGTTTAGCATCAAGCTAGAACCACTCAGGAACACCTTGTTTTGAGAGTTGGCAATCTGCAACAAAAAAGAAGAGTAAGAAAACTGCTACGTTTTTGGACATTACATTTCAGTCAAACATCTCAGAGATTATGTGAAGAACCAAATGACTAAAGAGAAGACTCATACCGTCTTGGAAATGGTTTGGGCTGCACGGATTTTGCGAAGTTTCAGGAAACCTGGATTCATACCAATGGCCTGGCCCAAGTAAGCAAGAGTTAAGGATCATATAAATAAATTTGAATTAAGTGAATTAAAATTGATATTAAAATTTGAAATCTATGCATGTTAAGGATATCATTTTAGCAGCTTCAGCTTCTCCCTCAGCCTGAACAATCTTCTGTTGCTTTTCTTGCACAGCACGCTCCACAACGAACGCTGCTCTCTGGGCTTCTTGTTGAGCAACCTAGAGAAAGAAATCCATAATTAATATAAATGTTATCTGAGACTGAAGAATACATACAAAGAAAAAGTCTAACCTGTTTAGATTCAACAGCTGCTGTGTACTCCTTGCCAAAGCTCAGTTCTGTGATAGACACATCATCCAAAATGATGTTGAAATCCTTGGCCCGCTCTACAAGCTCTCTCCTGACCAGCAGGGATACCTGTCAAAGTCAGTATGTGATTAGAACAATTAGGACCCATAGTAATAACAGTTAAAGAATGTCAATAGGTGTAATGGCATTAGACATATCTTTGAGTAATTTTACAACGAAACATATAATAAGGTAACCGACCTGCTGTCTTTGAGTGATGAGCTGAGAAGCATTAAACTTGGCTACTACAGATTTGAGAACTTCATTACAGATTGATGGCAAAACTTTCTCATCGTAGTCCAAACCAAGTTGACGGTACATAACTGGCAATGTTGCTGCATCAGGTCTAGACAAAACTCTCAGAGAAATATTGACCATCTGTAAATCCTTGGAGCCAGTTGGTGATGAGATTTTTCTAGGCCGCGACCTAAAGTCAAGAATAAAAATAGCATACATGGCAGAAAACTCATCAGTAATAGCACAACAGCGCCAAGACTATCCTTACCTAATGTCATAAATAATTGGGTAGTGGAACCATGGGACCCTAAAGTGAAGACCCTCAGCATGAACTTCCTGTTGAATTCCACTCAATCTGCTAAAGATGATAGCTCTGTGACCACCTTCCACTGGAACAGAAAGGAATAAGCCATTTAGATGAGGAAAGTGAGACCCAATGAATGAGGTTTGCATAACCTCCAAGCATAGAGGTGGGAAAAAAAATTGCAGGATGTAAAATAAGACAAGACAAAAGAGGACAATAAGTAATGCTATTTTCAAAGTCAATTTTGGATTTCAAGTGGGTAGAGCAAATGAGCAGGGGATAAAATGACTAAAGTACAAAGGACAAGGGTTACAAGGTAGAAAAACTTGCAGAGGTTTAAGACGAAAACGAAACTGAAGGGAGTGGAAATCAGATTGCCACAATAAATCCCTCGGTCGCCACACGGTCTGAGATTTCCCTCGATTGCTGCCACTGATTTCAGAGGTGGAACTTACCGGTGTACATTGACTGGCTGATTCCATAGGCAGACGCTCCGGCCATGCAAAGTAGCGTGACACCGGTATTCACGCCTTTCGGGGTCTTGCCAAGACGGCCCAACAAGTCGTTCAAGCTGAACTGAGACATTTTCAACTTTCACAACGCACTAGGCCAGACTCAAACTTGGATAACAAAAATGATGTAAGAGTTGTGAATTTCCTTGTACTTGCACGAGGACCTCAGGTTGTGGTAAGAAGAAGAATAAGAAGTGCACAAGTCGTGGTCTGTGACGTCACTAGCAGTGCTGTGTCAAAATCGGATAACGTTCTCATATGTGCTCTGATTATTAATTAATTTGCAGATGTAGCGTATGTTACTACTCATTCCGTTACTTTTGCGACATCATAATAATTTTTGAGCATTACAGAAAGCTTACTGACCGGCTTCTTCCATCATTTTATCATTTAGTACACAGTCGCGCAAAGCATTGTAAAGTGAAAACAAACCGACAAACCTACGAAAACCTAACCTATAGCTTCATTCAACGACAATGAAAGATTCAATGGGTCCCGGTCTCTGTTTCGTCCAATTTTCACAACTCTAGAGCTGGAGCGAGAACTGGTCCGAAAACATGACATCATTCAAGAGTATTGATTAATGGCATTTACCTCTGCTAAGGATTTTCCGTCAATTCAATGGATAAAGTCAAAGCTCTTGCTCTGTAAGTATGCGTAGAGTCTGAACCAAACTTACTGACATGCTTTATTAATATTTGTTTGTGGTATTTAATGTGACAACTTTTCTTGTTCTTTTTTCAGAGAACTTGGCTTTGTAGAAACTTTTAATGTTTGTCAGCCAGTTAAATCCGTCTGTCAAGAGAAAGGTTTGTTCATAGAAATATTTTGATGATGCTTTAAATTTGTTGCATAAATGATTTGACTGTTTATTTTTTTTAATACCATTTCAGGAGGGTTGCTGAATTTTGATTTTGTAATAGTGATTGATTTTGAATCAACTTGTTGGGATACCAAAGATAAACAATCAAAATGGCAAAACTTAGCTGAAATCATAGAATTTCCCGCAGTCTTGCTAAATTTGAAAACTGGTAAAATTGAGGATGAATTCCACCAGTATGTAATGCCTGTGGAAAATCCAACTTTATCAGAATTTTGTACAAAATTAACTGGTAGGTTGTTTTAGATGTGTGACTGAACATATTCTTCTGAAACAGGGCAACGTAATTGTTACCAAAAAAGAAGGTCATTACAATTCTTTTTGTCGTGGATTGACTTCAGAGAACCTGAAATTTTTACTTCTGCCTTTTTGGAACTATTACGTTAGGAAGAGCTTTTTATTTGCTTTGCCTTGCAAATAACATACAAAGTTACATTGAACAAAAAATGTGTATGGTCTTTACAATTGTAGGCATCACTCAGGAAACAGTCAATGCTGGAATACCTTTGGGGACATGCATAATGCTTTTTAACAAGTGGATTAACCAAATGTCCCTGGAAAGAAAAATGACGTTTCACAAGCCATGTATTGGACACAAAACTTGTACTTTTGTCACATGGTCAGGTAAGACAGGAGCGATTCATTCAGTAACATATTTGAAATTCTCACCATTCTTTCTGTTCTTAAAGTAACTGGCTTTCTTTCCTCAAACCTCAGATTGGGACCTTTCCATGTGCTTACAAAATGAAACAAAGCGGAAGCAGCTGAAGAAACCAGATGTTCTTTCTCAGTGGATTGACTTACGTCTTAGCTACAGAGTAATGACCAATTTACTTGCTTTCCATTTATTTGTTGTAGGGTAAATCAAATTTTATGAAATTGTGACTTAGCAACAATCACGTGGTAACTCTTGCTTCCTCTTTTAGAAATTCTACCAGCGGAAACCTCAAGGACTTAAAGGAGCTCTGGCAGAATTAGGATTGCCTTTTACTGGTAGAGAGCATTCTGGTATAATTGATGCTAGGAATACTGCTAATCTTGTGTATCGAATGGTCAAAGATGGCTGGCAACTCATAATCACCAGCTCTACACAGCTGTCATCACCCCAGGTAAATTTTTGAAATGAAAATAGGGCAGGATGGTAATCACCTTACTCATTTTAAAATTCTGAAAATGTGCTGATTTCCTTTCCTGTTTACCAGGTAAATGCAAAGAGGTGCCCTTTAGGAACTTTAAAAAACTCAGGAACTCCTCTAAGTAGAGAAGGACAGTCCAAAGGACGCACATTGAGGAGTACCTTTTTAAACCATAGTAAGCCAGAAAAAGACAATCTTGTAAAGCTGTGTCTAGCCCCTGGTAACATCTATAAAGATAAAAGTAATAAAAAGACTGTTGGCAATGGGTTACTTGGAAAGACTAGTCCCTTCAATTCTTCAAGAAATGTTCCAGACAATAATAATTTTATGAATAATGTCTTGAATACATCCACTCCCAAAAGGCAAAATTTAGTCTTATCAAGCTGCAAGCGCACCCCTCCCTTGTGTCGTTGTGGACGTAGAGCTGTATGTAAAGTTGCTAACTCTCCTGGACCTAACCAGGGTCGCAGTTTCTTTACTTGTCCTAATCCGCGCCGATCTTTAGGAATGGTTTCAAAATCGTGCAGCTATTTTATGTGGTGCTGAATCTTGTTTAAATAATCCAGAAATATAAGTAAAATACATTTATTGTTCTGATTTCTCCCTTTTCCTGAACTTTTAAACAAATAAGCTGTAAAAAGGAAATTTTGCCTTTTTTGGTCAAAACAAAAAAGCAACAAACACAAGAACTCGATATAAGAACTACCACATGAAAGAATGCAATAAATGCAATAAGTCAAGAAAACATATAATTTAAAAGAAAAATCAACTTATATTGCAGTGAGATTCTACAGCCAACTTTTTCTGTGAGTTGTACTTACTGAAGAGACAGTAAGAAAGAAATGGAGAAAGGTGTCGGGAGGGGGATGGGGGAAACCAGGCAAACAAAGGGGAAGGGGGCGGTGGAGGGGGTAATGCACCGACAGTGAGCCAATCGGAGAGAGACTCTTTGCCGCCAAAGCTGTGGCAACAACCGCCGCCCAACAGCCAGCTGTTGATTTAAAACACCGCCATCAAGCCCAGCCGCAGTTGCACCTCCGGCTTCACCGAGATTTTGCGACTCGCGCGGACGGTCACAGAACCGCTGATCTCGTGTGAGCCTTCATGGTAAGGTCATAACAATTGCATCTTTGCCTCAAATTTCGAAACGGCTAGCCATTTCTTGCCTTATTTCTGTAAACACTAGACACATAACTCACCGAGGTAAGAGGTTAGCCGGCATAGCTTGCCTTTGCTGTGTTGTCTTTCGGCGGGAAAGGATTACCTGGCCTACGTGTTAAAGTGAAGGTTTCCTTGATCTCTGTCGGGTCTAGGGCTTATTTATCGTCCTGTGAGTAAGCTCTCCTTACGTCTAAGTTAGTCATGGATTTACTTTGTTTGGGCTTTTGTGAAACCCGCTGAAACTCTTGGAAGTAGTTGGTTGATGCAAGCGTCGCTGCAAGATCGTACGTTGATTATCTCTTTGGCCCATCCCATTCAGTATCCAGCGCGATCACACTTGTTTATTTACTACACTTCCTCTAAAAACAAACTACACATCACACACAGTTCATGGTTTCTGTTAACGCACTCCAATTTGAAATCCGTCAAACACTTGTACATTCCTTCTTTCTGTCAAGAACTTTCAAAGGCTGATTTTCCTGCAGGTTTTCAAGTTTTGCAAACTTCATCATGGAAACTCCTCCTCACGATTTACCAACTGGAAGGCGTCAGACAAGAAGTGCTTTGTCAGAAATACCTGCGCGCATGGGTCTCCTTACCGTCACTGATGAAGCTGCGACTGCTATTGGTATGGCCAATATTTTGATGATTGATAAATTAAATTTGAAAACTTTTTAATTTCCTTTCTCATTACTAGGAGATGCTTTGACACCGTTGAATGGCCGATTCAGTCTTGGTGGCTTATGGAACATCAATACGAATTTGCCACCCTCGTACATTAGTCCTTCACCATCCCCAGATGAGCTTGTTATCCTTCAACGAGGAAGACGTAGAGTTCCAGTTACATGGAGTCCTGACATTGATGCCACTAAACAGGCTGCAGAGAGTAAGATTTTCTTTTCTGATTTGAGAAATTTTTACTGTTTTTCTTTTGAGCTTGGGCAATCAACTGACTTTATCCTCAGGCATGCGAGATTGCACACCAGTTAAAGGCAGTGGCCCTAACAGCCCCCTGAAGAATGCTGTTGTACGTCGCAGTACTCCACGGAAAAGGCTCATGTTGAGTGACCCCAAGGAAATGATTTGCTCTCCTGACAAAACTAAAACACGGGTAGGTTGTTTTATTTTTACGTGGTTTTTATTGTGTAGAAAGTGATTATTCTTCATTTCTTTAGCATTTGCTTTCAACTGTGCAGTATTATTTAAAATGAAGTCTTCTTTTCTTCAGCCAACTGCTTCACCCAACCCTAAAAAGACCAGAGTCGAAAGGGTTGGCCTGAAGAGTTTCTCTGGCACTTTGCACGCAGCCTTGAAGGGTCTCTCTCAAGAGCAGCTAATTGATGTTATCCAAAGTTTGGTTGAGAAGCATCCTAACTTGGAAGATGTAAGCAAAGTTTTCAATTTGTCAAATATTTTTAATCTTTTCAATCCCGCCAAAATTGTATAAATTATTTATTTTGAATTCTATTGCTTCAGGAAATGAAGGAGTCTTTGCCAGCCCCAGACTTAAAACCTCTTGAGGAGAGGCTCAACTATCTAAAGAAGAACATCTTCAAATCTTTGCCAACCTCTCGGCTCACTTCCAAGACTGATTCCCCAGCATACAGCCGTGCAGCTACTCATGTGACAGATTTTAAGGTAATTAATATGATAATTATTAGTAAATAAATATGCGGACTCTTACTTCACAACAAGAACCTTTGGAATATTTTTACACTGAAGACATTTTCTAAATCAACTATTTACTTTCACAGAAATGTGTCTTGGATCAAGGTAGAACTCTCTTAAACTCTGAACATTGGGATGCTGTCATGGATTATGTTCTTCTGGCTTGGTCATATGTCCGAGCTACTCCGTTGTGGGACAACCCACCTCACAATGCTGCAAGAAGACAGTGTTTCAAGGCTTTGGCAAGTCAGTGTATGACAGCTCTTAAGAAGGGCACTTGGACAACCGAACAAGCATCAAGCCTCAAAGAAAAGTAAGGCCAATATTTTTGAATTTTTTCAGCTTTTTCTTTCCTTGCAAATGTTTCTTCTCTCTGCCTCTCGCCTCCCACTGTTATTTTATCTAATTTTTTTTTTCTTATCCTTTTTTAGACTTGATGGATTTGTGTCTGACAGTGAAGATATTCATTCGTGCCTCAAGCAGCTAGATACTATGTGCTCATAGCAAACATTGCTATCACATGAGCTTCCCCAAATTGTTTATTATGAAAGGAAACTCTTATTTCTTTGATTTTATATAGTGTGGTTGTTGCCATTAATTTGATTTACCATTGAACATGGTAATTCTGTGTTCATAGACAAATTCAATGAAGTTTTCTAATTAATGTATGAATTGTGTGACTAGGGTATAATGTAAAATTTTGTTAATTTTACCACATGTTTACAATGATTTTGTGTGGTCGGTTGTAATGTTTGTATCTTATAGCTGTTCCTGATTTTTCACATAAGGATTTTCCCATCACCTTGGCTGTTGGTTAAAAGTCAATTTTGTTTTTAAAGTGATACAATTCAAAAGTGGCCTTACCCCATTGAAATACTGTAGTGAGACTGACAGTGAATGTGTGAGATAATGCATGTAATAATTTGGCCATATGTCATGCAGATAAGTGTTTTTTAACTATTCAAAATTTTTATTTGACTGATGTGAGGGAAGTAGAAGTTTTCAAGGCCTATAATGTTTTTACCAACTTTTTAAGAAGTAATATTTTTTTTGAAAGGTTTAATCTTATTGTCTGATGTTTTCAACTAAGTCTACTCAAGGCTTTTTCTTTCTTTCAGTAATTTATTGACATCACCAAATCTTCTTTGTTCACTTAGTCTCAAGACTCCATGGGCATGGTTATGAACATGTTGACATTTTTATACTTTTCAGATTTTAAGGTGCCTTGATATGCAATTAATTATTGTGGCATAACATTTTCTTTTGCATTGTGATTCTGGAATATCTAGACTTCAAATGTGCTGTGTGGTGTTTTTGATTGTATACGCTTACCATGTGCCGATTTTGTGTTGTACTTTTATCCAAAGTTTTAGAAAATGTGGCGCAAGTTCACAAAAGCATGTGCATTTTGTGTTAAAATCTGATATTTTCCAAAATAAATTATTATTCTTACACATGTGGTTGAACGTGTCATTACTGACTGAACTTTGTGTGCTTGTCGCACTCACAGATAAGGTTTACCCAGGTTTTGTGATTCTTGTGAAACATGGGGTTGCAATACACATTTCATCCACATCGCTTCCTCGGGAGATTAAAAATCGACACGGCAAAGAAAAATTTCATCGGGAGAACTATACATAGCCTTCGGCTGATTTCATAGAAAGGCCTTCCCACATATCTTGCGAATAGGCGCAACGGGCAACAGGCGGGCGGCATAAACAAATGACAACACAGATCAAGATCACCCATCGATGAACATAACCTATATAGAATCAGCCTCAGCTACGGGTTGTTTTTGGTACGATTCATTACATCAACAAACAATAATATCATATGCTAACAAATTAAGTGGTCTGTATTTTCTGTTCATACGTTAATTTTGGTCACTTTTGTTCCTTTTAGATTATGGGATAGCGCAAGCGACAAGGCTCCAAGGAGCGGAAGGAAAATCACCTGAATACTCTCCAGAGAGTGAGTGATCTTCTACTGATAACAGTTGTTGTTTATTGGGTTTCAAGTCACTTATCGTTCTTTGGTTTTTTCAAATGCAATCTTTTCTCTTTCAGACTGCGACCTTATTGAGCTAACATGGGGAACTCTTCCAGTAGGCGAAGACTCAAAGATTACTCCATATCACCTGGTGAGGATGCAGTGCAAGCTCTTATCACATCTACGTCTGTTTCTTCTTCATTGCAAGATAACACAATCTTTCTGAATGAAAGTTTCTTCTCTCTTGACCCATGCATGACCCATGCATGTGAGATGGATGAAAACAATCATGACCCTTGCGTTAATAGATTTGTAACTGGCACTGAGGAAACTCCAGAATGTTTGAACTCGAGCAACTTTCACACATCTTTCTTTGCATCATTAGTGTTGGGTGGTAACCAATGCCGTCAATCAGAATCTCAAACTTTAATCAATATTGTCAATGCCCATCGCTGGAGTGCTCAATGTCCAGAGTATGTTGCTTTGTGTGCGTCTTTCATACTTTCTGTTCTCCAAATCTACGGACAGTGCATACCCCAAGATAAAACATTGATAAATCACAAGTCAATCCTTATGTTTAATGCATTGGACGATCTTTATGAATTTCTTTTTAAAATGAAACAAAGCAGATGGCTTGTGGATGACACTAACGCCAAGTGGAAATCTTGCCGTGACTGTGACATAAGATTAATGGTTTTAATGCAAGTCAATTTTCTAAATCGTTCTGCAGATAAAATTTGCTCTGTTTGTTTGCAATTTGCCTCCTTTTGTAAAACAAACATTCACAATAAGCTTAGAACACGGCTGCTAGCTGCTATGTACCCTTATTCCTGCTCGATATGCCTAATGAAATTTAGCACAGAGGTTGATTTACAACACCACTGTGCTGTAGATTGTCCTAATATTGCTGTTGAAGGGCAATCTGACAGGGTGTCATCCAAGCTCTTTGGCTGCTTCTTATGTAGTTTACCTTTCAAAACTCAAGGGGACTTAACTCTGCACATCCAGTCATCTTTAGAGCATGCACTTCGCTTAGAAGTAGCCACAGAACTAGCTCTAAGGAATACAGTAGCCCTAGATGAATCTTGTGACTTACAGTTGAGTGATTCATCACTGGTGAAATCCGTTCTGAAAAAACAATCAGATTATGAAGAAAATCTCATTGAAACTGCAACTTCTTCTCCTGATGTTTCAGATGCTCAGTATTACTGCTCTCCCTGCTCTACTTTTGTTCAAAAGTGTGATATCGTTGATCATGAGAGGGGTCTGAAGCACCGTTTGAAATATGAGGGCTGGATTAGTTGCCTGCGGAAAAAGTCAAGTGAGCCTTGCCAGGAAGTTAAGGTTTCATCAGAGAACCAACTCTGTCCAGTCTCAAGAAGCAAAGTGTCTGTTAAAGATGCCTCTACCTCAATGGACTTTAGTGAGTATGGAAATATTGATCAGCAGGGTGAAAAGCTTCTAGAGGAGTTTTTCATTCTCGAAAAAGATCAAGTAGAGAACCGTGGTGAACATTATTTTTGCACCAAGTGTTCCCTTCATGGCAAACCATTTGAAATATTGAGTCACATATTAGGAAAGAACCAATGCTGCAATGTGGATGAACAAGAATCTGAAGTATTGGAAGAAAAACTTCGTATCCTTACTACTCTCATGTCTATTCTTGTGATGAAACAGATGTATGACTTATTGAAGCTCATTAGTGTGGATGCAGTGCCAAGACTGGTTGATGTTTTATGTTATAAGAAAAGTCAAAATCTTTGTAATGACAAGCTCTCTGAAACTCATAAATTAGATGTCTTGAAGGAGAGTGATAGTGACAGTGTGTCAACATCTGAGAGTGATAGTGACAGTGTGTCAACATCTGAATCTTCGGAAGACAGCAACAAAAATAATGAAGAAATAATGGATGACCTTTCAGATGACATTATGTTGGCAGAAGCCTCTGCTCCTGATGATGCAGTCCAACTGCACAAGCAACATGATGGCAAGGAATTAATCTCCAATGCTGCCATTAATACTTTTACTGCAGTGGATGTTATGAGAGAAACTGAGAAATATTTTCTTCTTGATGGAATTGTAGAAGTCGTTCCAGGTCGTTATCACTGCAACCTTTGTAATAATGATGGTAATATCAAAGAAATGGCTGGTCATGCCTTAAATGGAAGGAGTCACTTCTCACTGAAGTACCTTAGATCTCAGCCAATCAGCACACTGGAAAAAAAGTTAATTATAATAAATTTCTTTCGGTTGGCCAAAATCCGAAATGAAGCAGTGGTGGCTCATATTTCTCGTCATCAGCTTAATTTTGCCAAGACAGCTTTACAAGGAAGACTTGCAAGTATGAACCATTTTCTCCCCTCAACAGACTCTTACTACAAACATGCTGAAAAAGGCACAGATAAGCAGGGGCTTCCTTCATTGGCCCTACCTGGAACAAGCAAAATAAGGGAAATGGATATACCTTCATCTGCAACATCCACAAGCTCTTTAAAGCACTCTGGGATGAGAAATAAAAGTGAGGAACGGGCGCCTTCAGGAAATATAATAACAATTGGAGACACTGCATCTGAGAGTTTACAGCAACAAATGCAAACTGCATGTGCAGGAAGAGATTTGAATGATTTTGAGATGGAGTGTGGGACTTGTGGAGCTGTATTTGAAATTTTTAATGATGATGTTGATTTGTCATTAGACATGCACATACAGACTGATCCTCAGCATGCTCTTGCAATAGCTGTGCCTGTTGAAAGAAATAGCCAAAGTTTATCTGAAATCAATACAGTAGTAAAATCTACAGTAGAGCACCCCAAACCTCCTATCTTGCGCCAAACCTCCAAAGAAAATGAAGATAGATTGCTTGATTTAACAGCCAAAAGAGAAAGACAAGCTTTTGAATTTAAAGAGAACAAAGCGAGAGTAATTGATAAAGTTTTGAAACTTGAGCAAAAATTTGTTATGATGAGAGAAAACAAGTATTATTGTGAATTGTGTGTAGTTCATGTGAATAGTGAGAGTCAAATTACTCATCATATTTTGTCACCGAGGCATATGTCATCTAGATGGATTAAGCGGCACACTCCTGAAGAATTACGCCAAAAGTTGCTCCAACTTAAGTCTCTTCTTGCATTTAAGTACGCTGGTGCTGCTGTGTGCTTAGCAATTGATATCATAGATAAACATCAGGGTAAAGAAGGGAGCTCCTCTGAATCCCAAACCCCCAAAAGGATAGAACCATGTAGTAAGGATAACCCAAAAGTTTTCTATTGTGACGCTTGCAAGATAAAGATGAGTATTGGGAGCAAACCACAGCATCTGAGAGGAAAACGGCACAAGGCAAACTCCTCTGCACTACTTCTAAATTTTAAACGCTCAACAAACTCTTGAGGACCAAATAGTATTGACGTGAGTTGCAACACTGGGGTGGTTCCAAAATACAGTCCTTTCAGAACTTTGACTTAACAACTGTGTTGTAGCAATTAAATTTTGTACCTCTCTGATCACAATGTTCTTATTAATCTGGAAGGATAAGAATTACAAAAATAATCTCATATGTGTCTTTATTTATTGATCAGATTGCAGTGATGTAAGAAAATACAATTATTGAAAGTCCAGTTCATTACTAGCCTGTATACATAAAACAGTTCCTTCAATCTGATGTTCTTTTTCTTTCTAATTTTATAAAATGTGTCTTTTTCCTCGACAAATGTATTTTGTACAATGGTAAAATAAATTTTAAAATGTGACTCTAATGAATAGTGATTTATTTAACATTTTGTATAAAACTGTCTTTCAGCCTAAATTAACTACCACTGAAATTGCTTATAAAACTGTCTTAAAACATTAGCCAAAGATAACTAAAATTGAAATGGCACATAAATTATCAGTTATAAATTAAATATTCAATTTGGTTCTCTTTTTCTTGGGTAATCTTACTATGGTAGACTGCTCTTCTTCTTCTTCTTTAGCATTACCTTCTGCCTCCATTTGAATGTTTATTGGACTCAGAATCTGGGCTGTTTCTGAGCTACTAGCAGACTCTTTTGGAATGACCCTCTCACTACTTTTGGGTTGTTGTAGTGTTACTAAATTTAAAACGTCTACAACTTTGCTTAGTTCTTCAGATAAATTGCCTTTGCTATCTTGATAACTACTCCAAAATTCGTTTCTTTGAAAAGGCGTAGTTTCTATATTCCGGCGTGACAAGGTGGCACCCTCCAGCTTGTACTGCTTAATTTCAAGGTCTTTTTTTTCCAAAAGAGAAAAAAGGTGGTCTTGTTGAGCCAATAATAGTTCAGATAATAAAAGTAACGGACTCGTGACTTCATTAAATAAAACATTAGGATTTTCTTGTAACAGAGTCATATTTAGTTTAAAAGGATGACCATGCATTTTGCTATTAAATTTTAACTGTAAAGAAGAATCCTCTTCCAAATCTAGATCCAGAGTGGACCTAAACCCGTCTTCTTTTTCCCTGCTTCCAAGATGGTTGTCGACCATCGTCCAGATGGTCTGCGCGGAGAACTCGTCTTCATTGAACTCCAATAGCGGATTCTGCTCTTGACACAAAGCTAACAGAGTGCTATCCGACATTTCTTGGACCCAAATGTGGATAAAATCTGAGATTATTAATCGTAGAGTGCCTGATGAGGCACACTTCTTAAAGACGAATGTCTTCCTTCCTGTCTTGATGAAATTCCACATTACACTGCTGCTCCCGCTTCTGACTTTTAAATTTCCGAACTTCCCTAGTGAGCGCCTCAACAGTCTTCTTTTCTTTAAGCCAGTCAAAGCCAAATTAGTGAAGAGCGTCTGCTGTCTCTGTCTGCTGTGCCAGGTGCCAGCCGTGTGTGCGAGAGCGAGGAGATCCCGAGCCCCGAGCCGGCATCCCGTTATGCTTGCGCGTTTTGATTGGCTGACCACGCCGCACTCGCAGCCAATCACGGTGCGTTCCGAGGGCTATTCGCACCACGGAATAGAGTCCTTAAGGACTCTACACGGAAGGGGTTGACGGATAAATTTCTCATACACACCCCGAATCCTCTTTCTCCCTCCCGCTCCGCCCCTCGCCCGTCCACCTTTCAACTCGCTTTCAAGCCGAGAAGAAGGCTCTGTTTTGAAAATGGCTGGAGTGAGCGAGTGTTTTAATATTGGAAGTGTCGTAGCTTGTAAAACGTGCTATGAGAAAGAAATTGAAGGAGAAGTTCTGGCCTTCGACCCTCAAACGAAAATGCTGATTTTGAGTATCCTTTATTCTAACGCAGTGTGTCTACTTGTGTGTTTACCCCCTGTTTTCAGAGAGCTGGGCATCTCTTTGACACTAGTCTAGCTGCTTGTCTGCATCTGAAAATATAATCAGTTTACATTGTGCACCTTTTATTTTATCCTCTCTGATAATTCTATTTTGGATTTGAGAGGCTTTTAAAAGCACTAGATGAACTCGCCGCTGCATTGAGGTTAGGTATTTTGTGAGGTTAAGTCATTTTAAAAGTTTCTGGAACTATTTGTTGTTTAATTTGCTAATTGCTCGATTGTAGTCTAACTTGACTTAATTCAGCTATAGAAAGGTTTCTTGTGTCGAATTTGGGTATTATTTACAGCAGTTCTTTTAATTTAATTTATCTAGTCTGTTTGCTGCCATTTTGTGTACATGAGCATCTTGTAAAGAGGCAACCAACTGATTAGCCATTTACCCAAGAGTTTCGTTTTCAATGTCCTTTTAAGGCTGACAGCTGTGTGTATTACCTTGTTCCTCTCTGCCGCATCTGACTTTCTTTTCTATCTCTTTTAAATCAAGAACACTAGTGTTATTCCTTAATTTTTACCAGAATGCCCTGCTTCAAGCGGTCGGCCCTCTCGTAATGACGTGCACATGGTTAATCTTTCTATGGTCAGTGATGTTCAGGTTAAAAAAGAAGCAACTGCCCCGCTGGAACCGACCCAGTCTCTGAATCTTCAAAGAGTAAGTTACCATATCACTTCAGTATCTATTGGCCGCATTGGCCCTGAGAATTTCATTTTTTTAACATTTAAGTCGTTTGCATTCTATTTTCATTTTATTTGCTGATTGAATTTATTATTTATTTAGTTAAATACCAGAGTACGAAATCAAATAGAAGAAAAGAGGAGGCTTGTGACAGCGCTTGCAGCTGGTGTGTCTCCAGAAGGCCAGAAATTATTCCTCACTATTACTAAGACGTGAGTTTCTGATTTAATTGAAAGTGTCATCCGTTTCTCATTTTCTTATCTAATTATACTTTGAATGTCATCTAGTATTAATGAAGCAACTTGGCAAGGGCCTGATATTGTTGTTTGGGATACTGTGACTATTTCACCACCATATACCCCTGACAATGTTAAAGGTCAGGCTGATAGCAAGGCCTATTTGCACATAAGGAAAGTGGTTAGTACATTTATTCAACCTATATGTTATGCTCTTCTACTTCTTATCATGTGTAATCTGTTTTTGTGCTGTTAAAAATTTTTTTTGTTGCCCAGGTTGAAAAGCACACAAAGGATATGGCTGCAGCAGAGGCTTCTTCACGAGTAAGTGGCGCATCGTCTCCAAGTGGTCAACAGTCGCCCTCTCCTGGCCCTGTGCCCGCATCTCAACCACCATTGCAGCAGCAGGCTGCTTCCAATTAATAGTGGTACAAGATTGTGAACAACCAACAAGTGATTTCCATGTGTGCAGAGTTGTCCAAAATGCAGAAAGATATCTCAGAAGTGGGAATTGTGGACTTCTTTGTGTGACTGTTTCCTTCTTCAAGAAAATGGTCTGTGTATCCACTCATAGTAAATTTTTGGGATGAATGCCCTTATTGACTGTACTCCCCCATTCATGTGATTTTAGTTTATTCCGGGCCCATGTTGAGCAATAGTGGCAAATGTAATTCCAAAATCATAGGATATGTTAGATAGAATTGTGTTGTCATCTCTACTGTTGCGGGTAATTTGGAAGATTACCTCTGGTATTTAAAGCAGAGGGTGGAACTCTTAATTCATGTCTTTTCTAAGCACATGTGATCTGCATGTTAGCTTTATTTCTGTGGCTTCCAGAGGTGGTAAAGTCTCATCAATGAAGTGTTGCAGATTCTTCTTTTTTCTTTCTTTTTTGTTGTTATTATTGTTGAGGGATTATGTGTGCGAGCCACATACGCATACTAAACTTTTGTTTGAGTATAAGCAACTCTTAACTAATAAAATCTCATTACAAACGAACCTGACTGCCTCTTCATCACAACACCCTTAGTTACATACAACACACTTCAGGGAGAATCCAATTTATCTCATCTCCTGTCTAACTAATCAATGAATTTATAGTAATGAAAAAGCAAAATTTTAATTACTCTCTGATAAACCCAATCCATTTATTTTAATCATAAAATGCACGAGCCGTGACCTCAATGAAGCTGTTGGTGAAAGACTTAGGCTTCTCTGTGAAATCACCAAACAGCTTCGTCGTGAAATAATGTCTCGTCATTTTCCTCAGGTTGAAATTTCACGCCAAGGCTAGGGCTCCACCGGCGGTGAGCGTGGACCAATCGGATTACGAGAGTGTGAATACCGTTCGTTGGCTGGCCAATCAGCTTTCGCCACACGGGTTGATGTCTGCTCGGCTCGGCGCTGCTCGCTCGGCAGGTTGTCGGTCGTCTGTCGGCACTCGTACACATGCTAGACTTATACGTGGATGGTTGACACTAAATACCTTTGCGTATTGTGACTGAAAACTGTTAATTTTTATTTAAAGTGTTTCGTCCATTTCATGTAGTAAGTTCGTTTCCTTAAATTCACATCGGTGTGATGAAAAAAATTAACGATCTTGGTGGTTAAGGTTCCAGCCAGTATGGGTTGTTATATTTTACTTGGTTTCAATATTTAAAATAAATATTTTATTTAAAATTTATGTTTCTTAGGAACGATTTTTATACTAAGAACAATATTTATTGACGTGGCATATTGCCGGCCCCCCATTCATTCGTGGCAGTGACCGGTGGGTTCTTTGACATCTGGAACTTAAAACGTCAATGAATGAATGCGCCTAAATTTCACTTTTCCTCTCTACAAATTTCAGTGAACTATTGTCTCTGTTTGATGTTTTAAGTTGACGTTTCTTTGTATCGGTAAATTTTTCGCTCCCTCCCTTGCAGAGTCAAATTAAGTGCCCGACAATATGCGCACCGTCTGCTATTCTAACCTCTTTTGCGAGGGTTGTCTGAAGCTGAAATGCAGAACAACTTTTTGTTCTTTCTTTTCTTACACAAATTTGTTTACCTTGTCATCTTCTGGAAATTTTGATTACTTGTCTTTGTGACCGTTAATTGTTTATGTATTTCTGCTTTGCCAACAGGTACAATATGTGGCTCAAAATGAATATTCTCCTCTTCTTGCCTCTTGTAGCTTTATTTTTATCATCTGTTAACTATACCCATTCACTTGCTGTGATCAGTGTGGACTTGGGTAGCGAATGGATGAAAGTGGCATTTGTTTCGGTAAGGTCTCTTGCTATATTGCATTAATGACATGACAGTTCGTGATATCTGCAACTTGATGGTTCAACTATGTTTCAAATTTTTGTTTCTAGCCGGGTGTTCCTATGGAAATTGTTTTGAATAAAGAATCAAAACGTAAGACACCAGCAGTTATCTCATTTAGAGGTGATGATCGTACCTTTGGAGAAGATGCCATTACAGCAAGTGCTCGGTTTCCGAAGCAAACATATGCCTACCTCCTTGATTTAGTTGGTAAAAAGGTTGACAACCCTTTAGTGAAACAGTTCCAAAGAAGGTTCCCGTACTATGACATAATTTCTGATCCTATCAGAGGAACCGTTCTTTTTAAACATGACGAGTATGTGTCTAATGATTGTTCACAATATAGAGTGCTTTTGAGTCTGTTCTGTCCTAATTGATGGATTCTTGTTTCAGTGGTGTGAACTACAGTCCTGAGGAACTCTTGGGCATGCTTCTTCACAGAGCAAAGGAGTTTGCAGAAGCTTCAGCTGGGCAGGCTGTGAATGAAATGGTGTTAATTGTTCCTGGGTATTTCAATCAAGCAGAACGACAAGCAATGCTGCAGGCTGCTGATTTAGCTGGCTTTAAAGTTCTCCAGTTGATGAATGACTATACAGCAGGTGTGATCAATATTGGGATTATGAAGTGCATCTGCTTTTGTAACTGTTGCTAATTTGTGTCTCATTTCAGTTGCTCTTAACTATGGCATCTTCAACCGGAAAGACTTCAATGAAACTGCTCAGTATGTAATGTTTTATGACATGGGTGCATCGAGTACAACAGCTACTATTGTGAGCTATCAAGTTGTGAAAACCAAAGAGAGGGGCTTTGTTGAATCACATCCTCAGGCTTCAATTGTTGGTGTCGGGTAAGTACATCATTCCTCATTTTCTTCAACTTTCACTACAGCAAATTTTATGTCACTTTTTCTTGTGTGTATCAGGTATGATCGCAGCCTTGGTGGGTTGGATATGCAGTTACGTCTCCGGGATTACCTAGGTCAAAAGTTCAATGATGCCAAGAAAACCCCAAATGATATTTTTAAAAACCCTCGAGCACTTGCAAAGCTTTTCAAGGAAGCTGGTAGAGTGAAAAATGTTCTCAGTGCAAATGTAGACCATTTTGCTCAGGTTTGCCCAGATTCCAAATTGATTGATGTTGTTATGAATGAGGTTGCATGAATTTATTGAATCTTCTGCTCTTTTAAATTCAAGGTTGAAGGTCTCCTGGATGATATTGACATGAAAATTCAGGTCACTAGGGAGCAGTTAGAAGATTTATGTCAAGATCTTCTAGATCGAATTCGCAACCCTGTTGATATGGCTTTGAAGTCATCTGGACTTACTATGGATGTGATCAGCCAAGTAAGTAACAAGGCATGATACTGTCTTCTAAACTGTGCTTTAAAGAGTTGAAAAAAATTTATGGTGAAGATTCTTTACTATAATTTGTCTTGTTAAGTAGCCTAATTAATGAATTATAATTTCATGTTTGTTTATAGGTAGTCTTGGTTGGAGCTGGTGCTCGCATGCCCAAAGTGCAGGAGCGTTTGCAGGAAGTGGTTAAAATGGATTTAGCCAAGAACATTAATGCAGATGAAGCAGCTGCTATGGGAGCTGTTTACAAAGCCGCTGATCTGAGCACTGGTTTCAAAGTTAAGCCATTTTTGACCAAAGATGCTGTAATTTTTCCTATTCAGGTAATTTGGTGCACCTTCACAATGGGCTAGGTTTTCTAGTGAAATACAAGGCTCATTTCTTACTTCAATTTCAGGTAACATTTGAACGAGAAGTTGAAGGTCAGACTGCGCCAAAACAAATTAAACGCCTTCTCTTTGGACCCATGAATCCTTACCCTCAAAAGAAGGTTCTTACATTCAACAAACATACTGATGATTTTTCATTCAATGTGAAATATGCAGACCTGGATCACCTTTCAGAGGAGGAAGTAAAGTATGTAGTTGTTTTATTTCTGTCAATGTGCCTTCCCTTTTTTCCCCTTTAAGTTAGTGCAAAGAGATTCTGTTCAAAAATTGACTCATTACTGAAACTTTTCCAGGAATTTAGGCTCTCTCGACTTAAGGTCTGTTGCATTGACTGGTGTCGCTGATGTTCTGAATAAACATAAGGGGCCAAATGCGGAATCAAAGGGCATTAAAGCACATTTCTCTATGGATGAAAGTGGCATTTTAAGTTTGGCTAATGTTGAGTTGCTTGTAGAAAGGAATTCTACTGATGATGATGAAGAATCAACGTTTTCTAAATTAGGAAGCACTATCAGCAAACTCTTCACAAATCCAGATGAAGCAGACTCAGACAAGGTGGGAGAAAAGCCTGCCTCTGAAGAGCCAGAGGAGGGTGGAGAGGAGAAAGATGTTAAAGATGGTAAGGAGAAGGACAAGAAAGATGAGAAACAAGATGAAGCCAAGAAGCAGGAAAATAAAAGTGAAGAGAAAAAAGAGGATTTGAAGAAAGATGAGAGTGAAAAGAAAGTTGAGAAGAAGACTGTCACCAAGGTGCTCAAGGAGAAAATATCCACTGAGGAGGAATCATTGGGAGTCATTCCTATGAGCAAAGAGGCAATGCAGGAAGCTTTCAAAAAGTGTGTAACTATGCCAGCCTTTTGATTTAGAGTGACTGTAATCTTAAAACTATAGTACACTGATGTATTTATTTACCTTGCAGGATTCAAGTTTTGAATGAATATGATTTCCAACGCAACCGTCGTGAAAGTGCGCTGAACGCCTTGGAGAGCTATGTATTTGATGCTCAGAACAAACTAGAGGAAGAGGATTTCCAATCAGCAGCTACAAGTGAAGAAATTGAGAAAATTAGACAGGGATGCTCTGAGGTATGCTTCACATTCTTGTAAACTAGTGACTTTTGGGGCCCAAGCCTATCAAATTACAATTAATTTGTTTTATTTTTTAATAGGTCTCAGATTGGTTGTATGAAGATGGAGCCACTGCGGATGCCGATGCTTATGAAACTAAACTGAAGGATCTCCAGAAGCTCACCAAGGCCCTCTACCTCCGCGTGGGTGAGCACCGCGAGAGGCCCGAGGCAATCGCCGCTCTGCGGCAGGTGCTCAATGGCAGCTCTACATTCTTGAAAGACGCCCGCAACGTGACGGCAGCCAAGCTCGAGGCAGAAGAAAATTGGGTCTTCACCGAAGTGGAACTCACTACACTTGAAAAATTGATTAAGGAAACTGAGCAATGGATGGTTAAAATGGAAAAGGAGCAAGCTGAGCAGAAACTTTCAGAGGCTCCCAAACTCTCCATTAAATCAATTGGTGAAAAGATTAATGTCTTAGATCGTGAAGTTAAATATCTAGTTAACAAAGCCAAGATCTGGAGACCACCTAAGGCAAAGGAAGAAGTGAACAACGGTAATTAAAAGTTTTAAACACCTTGCGTGATTGTTGTTGCCCATGTAATTCCACCAATTCTTCTGGTTTCAGATGCCAAGAACTCGACTGAGAAGAAGAATGAATCAAAGGATACTAAGGATGGAGATGATAAAGAAACAGTTACTGTCGATGATTCTCAAACAGAGGATGCACCAACTAAAGAGGAAGCATCAGACTCTTCAGAAAAGGAAATACCAAAGCCATCAAAAACAGGTAAGTAATTGTGGAAACTGTTTGAAATTCTATGAGAGTTAACCATGTTAAATTGTGGTTTAGAAAAACATTCATTAGATTCTTGTGAATGCATTAGAACACTGGTGATGGCTTCTGTTACCAACCCTGTTTCAAATCTAGTGTGTCAGATGTTTCAGTCAAACATGTGGAAAGTCCCTCCATTTTGGCTGCTGGTGTTGTTGTATTTGTCATTCATTTGATGTTCCACTTCATTTGAACCCCTACTTCACATGTTCTTAGTGAGTTGGATCATTCTCTTCAAAAGTCTGTCCTTCCTCATTACTTTTTATATTTATACGCTTCTTAACTTTTACCTTCTTCGCTTCTTCTCTTTACTTTCATCAGAGGGGCTCCCGGGCTATTAATTGATCTCCACTTGACAAGAATTTCACCATGAAACTGATCAAATTGTATTGTGACTAGACAGCTTCTATGAAATTATGCATGAGGATTATTTTAACATGGGTTGGTGCCAGATCCTAACTCTAGTGGCTTAAAAACTTGATGCATTCTAGGTCTGGTTGGGCTTTTTCCTAGCTGGTTTCTTTACAGATTTCATGATTGTATTTTCTCCCTCCATCTTAGCATGGACCTTTCATAATGTCCAAGAGGTTTTAAATGTCATTTTTATTTTTCAGATGACACGCCAGATGTACCACACTCAGAACTGTAGAGTACAATTTTCTAGTATCTGTAGGTGAATAATTTAACATCAAGTTCTCATTTTCATGAGGTGATTCTGTACAGTAGTAACAATTTCACCTATCCATCATAAATCTTTTGTCTATGAAGAGAGTACAAACGTGGAAGATTTCACACGTATAGAGTATATGAATTCCATTGTAAGTATACCAGATAGTGTGATTTTTGTTGTAAGATATGGGAGTAAATGGTTGCTTCAGTTGTGAAATAGGCAACAGCTTATAAGTTGCCGTAGTCTCCTCATTAGGTACGTTACTTTTATTTAAAAATTCAAATGTGCATTGCCTTTTGACAATACTGGCTTTGTTTGGGAAAGTGCAACTAAATGGAGAAGGCTGATCTTTTTTTCTTTTCCTCTTTATCCCCCCCTCTTTAAAAAGCAACGTGGGAAACAATGACAAGAGACTGACAACACCTTTTAAGAATAAAGCATAATGATTTGGGAAGCCTTGTCTACACTTAATGTCCAATAACCATTACCTTAATGGTTAGTCAAATTTTGTTCAGAAATTCAATTGGGCACTGCAATTTCGCAGTAGGAAAATATTCACTCTTCTTTTCTTACCATCATACTTCAAATTTATTTTTGTACAGTGCTTACCTTAACTAATGTTTGACTTCCATTTTACATCCTTCCTTATTTCATCATGTTTTTGACTTCTTTCTATTTTTAATGTGTAATCACAGAATAGCACAAGTATCATTCACAAGCAGTGGTGTGATTAGCTCATTTTTCATTTATAAAGTTCATGCATGGAAGGGATTATGTTTATATACCTGAGTGATCATAAGTGAAAATAATTGAATAATTACTTTTTTCCTTTGTGTACAATCCAAAGTTTCTGTATTTTTAAGAAAGAAATCTTGCATTTAGTTTGGTTTGGCCACAGTGGTATCTTCATTGCAATTCAATCTGATTCACTAGGTCGTCTTTCCATTAGCCACCATGAACTTAAGTTTAGATTGTACAATTGTGTGTTTGTTTAATTTATGTGTGAACTTAGAGTAGTAAAATCCTATCCTAAGTAAAGCTCGGAGTTGATGTGTATTTTCTGTTAATAGTGTTAGAGATATGAGTGCAGCAAAGATCAATGAGTTGATCACCATGGTTTTTTTGGGTTTCTATCTTCTCAAATTTTACACCCCATTTGGTATACCTTTCTTTTTGTGACTGAGAATCAGATCAATTTTCTCTTTTTCTGGAATTGTCATTGGTTATATGATTCAGCTAGGAAGGTAAAGTTGTTGAACGAGTTCTTTCTTATTCTTGACTCGGTTTGATGGTCAAATTGTGTAGTGTGAGTAGAGTTCTATTGTGTGCTAAGATATAGATGGAGCTTTAAACTTTAACAGTTACATCTGTATTTGATTTCTGTGATTACTCTGCATAATTAATTTTACTGTGAAAATGTTCATGTAATGTTATTAAACACTGCTGAAAGAAAAGTGTGTCTTGCTTTCCGACGATCCCTTTTCTCAAATGCTGGCCAGCTGGGAGTTGTACCCCCACCCACTTTTAGCACAACTACTTTGAGGGAGGAACATTCTGTAGCTAGTTTAATACAGATCTAGTTCCACCTACATTGTGAGGAACAAGTTAAGTTGCAACATTTCAATTTAATTTGTTTATTATCCCATTTTATAATACTAGCTCTGGATCATTTGCCTTGTCTCCAGTCTCATGTGAATCTTCAAAAATGTCAATAGGTGTCACTAGGCTAGCATTAGAGATTTCTTCATTGGGTACCAGTTCTTCCTTATTTACGTTTTCAGACAGATTTGGATTGTCTTTCCACTCTCTTTCATAAAGTTCACCCAATTTAATTACATAAGCTTCTTGAAGTTTCAGCAATTCCTCTTCAGAATTCTTGTTAGCAGCACACTCTTCCCCAACCTATAAAATATGTGAATAGCATACCTTTAAGAAATGGAAGAAACTTGGTAAAATGAGGAAGGAAAATTCAGAAAATACCTTATATAAAGCAGAATTGAGGCGTTCACACATCAATGTGCTTGATTGCTCCGCTCCTGCTAAAAATGCAGTTTCTGCGGTAGATGTCATCATTTTCTCAACGTAGTCCATCAATGAAACAAGTTCCTGGGAAAACAAAATATTGAATCATTGCAGTGCACAGCACCATGCTTAATGTTTTGAGTCGCTAGGACTTACCAGTAATAATCTATGCTGTTCATCTACTATGGTTCTTTGCTTGACAATCAGTTCTTCCACCTCATCTAGAGGAGACGTTCTTGAATTTGTAAGAAGAAGAAGACTCTCTTCCAATAAAACCATAAGATCTGACATAGATTTTCTGCAGAACATTGCAAGTAACATGTATTCTTTCAATTCTTTAAAAAGCATTCTTTTCTACAGACATTAAAAGAAACAAAATGTTATCTCACCGATATTCTTGGCTTGTTTCATTTATTGCAATTAAAACTTGAGTAAGAAGTTGACTCGAGGAGTTGGCTGTTAAGGTGCATGCTTGTCTAATAAGAGCTTCATGAGTCATCTCTTTCTTATTAAATAACTGAAATGCATAGATTTAAAAAAAAATATTAGAATGTCATCATTTTGTTCAACTGTCTCTGGGGTTCAAGTTCAAGGAGCTTCATTTACACATTTAATCCTCATTGAAATGGTGATCTTGTTGGCATAGTGAAATTGATCGTGGATAAGGTAATGACAAGGAAAATGACTAGGAAAAGCATTTACAAACCTTAAATGGTAGTGGACGGTTGGAATTTGTGGCAGATTCATCTGCAGCACATGCGGACGCAATCAGAACTGACATTGAAGTACACGGTTTGTTTACTGATCTGACAACCTGCCTGCAGATGAGTCTGAGCTGAAATAAGATTAAAAGTCCTGGATCGTTTCATTGTATGAACAAAAAACATCATTTCTATCCCTGGACTGTTTCACAGACAGGGCAATAAATCAATCAACCTAGAAGCCGAAATTAAAAATACGAAATAACGATGAACGTGCAGAACTCAAAACATCGTAATAAAGAACCCACTCGAGAAGTTTCTATAATCAAAACACATTCATAAACAAAAACAACAGCACACTCTAACCTAGACAACCCTATTTTCAAGATGAGCTAGATACTAATTTTAGGTGTCTTTTAACTTACCCCAGTGCTCAAATTGCGCATCATCTTTGAGTTGATTGCTGCCAGTGTCTATTGCAGACAATTAACGGGAAAATGAGAATCGTGAGGAGTGAGTGTGTTGCAGACGACAAGATTCAAGTGCGGCTGCGACGCCAACCTTCCGGCAGGGTGCAGCACACAGGCGCTGCACTACACCCATTCGAAACAGAAGTCTGTCCGCGTTGCCAAGCTACTGGTAGCTACTGGCAGGTGTTTCTCCACACAAGCATTTTTCTGGAATCAGGAAATTCAAAGTGAAGTCCAGATTTGCTAGTTTCTGAAATAGAATTGTGATGGAGATGGAGTAGGGGCTCAGGGCGTCAGGACCGTTCTCATTCATCACATTTGAATGAATTGTGACAAGAAATGCCTATAGAGTTGTGTTTGTACAGAGATCGGAGGGAAATGCAGACAACATTAAAATATTGCTAAATAAAAACAAATTTTGCTTGCGCCACAATTGTGAATTTTGTACCATTTATTGGCTGCTATATAAAATTGAAAAATATAAGACTAGACCATTTGTGCAGGTAAATAAAATAATACACAATCAAAAATCATAATTTTAAAATATACTATGCTTACAAACAAAAGGTAATTGAACACTAACAGTTTTTAGAAATGCCAAAATATATGATGTTTAAGAATCCAGAAGATTATGTAGCTGGGCTCGTACCTTGTTTGAGAGAGAAGTTCTGGGGGTTTTAATTTGAGGAGTTCTTGCTTTCTTACTGCTACATGACAGAGTTGGAGTCCCAAGGCACCGAAAAGACCTTCTCATTTGCCTGTAGGCAGCTTCAGAAGCAGGTAAATTTTCTTTGCTTGTGTCAACAGCATACAAATTTGAAACTGCTTTCTCATCAGAAGTGAATTTATGAACAGATGAGGATTTTGCTTCATCAAGTAACTTTCGATGTTCATCCAATATGCTTCTTTGGTCATGAAGGATCTGTGAAAAAACGTCCTTAGCTTCTAAAAGCAAAGATGTTTGCTCCTCTACAGAAGATTTGACTGTCTTCATTTCTTGGAGAATATTTTTCTGTTCTTGGAGTAAAGATGTTTGCTCTTCTACAGAAGATTTGATCATCTTCATTTCTTGAAGAATATCTCGCTGCTCTTGAAGCATGTTCCGCTGTTCCTGGAGACCCTCCTTCAGGTCCTGGAGAACCCTCTGCTGTGACTCGAAGACATCGGCCTGGGCTTTAGATTGACCTGAAGTGCTCGCTTTCAAACCATTAAAAGCCCTGGTAGATGTTGGCAACATAGTCTTTCTGGAGTTCGTGGCCCTCAGGAATGTGGAGCTCCCTTGAGAAGAAACAGCTGTCTGAGATCTTGTTACTGGTTTTCCTTTCTGCACACTGGGCGGTTTAGGTATGCGTGACTTTTCTGGGAAAGCTCTGACAACAGGTTTGCGGAGGCTTCTCACAGCAGGTTTGGAGGATGTGGCAACAGATTTCGGCCCATTGTGTTCCTGCAAAATTGGTGACAAAGTTACACGAGAAACTACTAAGTTCTACTTATAAAGAATGGTTGAATAAATACCTCATTGTTTTGGGGTCCTTCTAGATTTAGATTGAGGCGCCTTCGAGTCTTTGGGGATTTTGGACTCTTTTGGGATTTCTTAATGGAGAAATAAATGCTTGCTTCAGCAGAGGACACATCAGCTGGTCTAATAGGAGTTATTCCATTTGTCACTAGAACAAAAATAAAGCTTATAACGACCTCAGAAAAATGTATCATACATATTGAATAACACTGTCCACATACATCCCATTCCCAAGCGTGGGCGTGATGTGTCATGCCTTCCTAGGAAGTATGTGGGAGAAGGAGTTCCACCAGATCCTGAAAATGACAAAACGATGTAACAAGAATGCTTTCAAACCCTCAGAAAGGTGTGTCAAAGAAATGGAGTCGCACTATTTTACTTACTACCCATTCCCAAACGAGGGCGTAATGGATCATCTAACAAGTTGGTGGGAGACGGTGTGACACCACATTTTCCAGTTCCTGCCAAAGAAAATGTGATTAAGCAACAACGGTTTTGAAAAACAGACAACAATAAATGGGTTGGGTGGACATTTCAAACAGCAAAGAAATTACTTACCAAGAGGGGATTTTTCTCTCACTGGGCGCATATCCAATCTAACCGGGAAAAAGCCTAGTTTGGCGGTATTACCCGTGCCAAAAGTAGATTTCCTCCTCGACCGATTCATTATTCGCTTGACACCTGTGGCACGATGAAATGAAACTGACAAACTGTGACAGCCGCACGACAGAAGGGTTAAGTTGAACAACGACTTCCCGCCAAGTGGAAACAGATAACAACAGATATTGGCAGAACTTCTTGCGAACAGTACGAACCTGCGGATAATGCTCATGAAAAACTTGATGCAGTGCACATAGTGCACAGTTCGGTTTCTGCTTGTTTTGCATAGGTTAAGCGATATCTGTTTCTGGCCATGTTCTAAAGTCTTTATTCAATTTTACTTGGATTAAGTTTCTCCATAGCAAAGAAAATGAGCAGACCTGTGCCTACGCGTCCTCTACTCCGCTACGCAGAGCTGTCAAAATTAGTTTCTCGTCTCAACATACCTGTTCATTGGCATGTGAAACGAATGAGAAACCCACAAGGGCCAGAGGGTCGCTTGATAAAATTAAGACAAACTGTCACAGCTCTTTTTAAGTACGAAAGGATAGAATTAAACTATGCTCGGGCTGATGAAGCCAGGGGTTACGCCGAACGGGTAAGTTCTATCATCAACTCACCACCGGAGAAACAACTCTTTTTGTGTTCAACCACCTTCGATTAATCTCGTTTGATTTTCTCTTTCAGCTTATTTCTGAGGCCATCCGACATGGCCCACAATGTGAGGAAACTATGGAGATGGCAGATTGGTGGCTTGAAGAGAAGCAACTTGTGCATAAGCTATTCAAAGTACTCGTGCCACGTTATCAAAGCTATCCCACATCATTCACTACCATGTACAGGGCACCTTGTTGGTATTTTTCTGATGGATATCACCCTCAATTGACTGAAGTAGAAAAAAATCGAGAGGTGAATGAAACAATATCGATGCATGGTGTTGTGCTTTTACAGAAAGCTGTATTGGAGCTCAAAGGTTTGTACATCCTATGCAATCATTTCCTTTTATTATTTAAAAAAAAATCTGATGTCTAACGTATTTTGTTTAATATTTTAGGACATCCCTATCCTCCAATGTTCCGTACACATCATTCTAACCCTCGCTTTATTCAAAACGTTCTACTTTCTTCCGCCAAAGACTACTTGAAATCAACACGATCACAATCTGCCAAAAGTAATGACACTCCCGATGTTTAACAAAAAGTAAATAAGTAGAAGTTTCCCTTCGGATATGTAAAATCAAATTTAAAGATGCTGGCCTTACAGAAATCTAATATATTGTATCATGAGTGATGTGCAGCACAATGCATTTACACATCTCGTTGAATGTTTCTTTGTGTTTGTCTATCAAGTGTTCTAAAATAAATGAAGTTCTTTTGTTGGAATATTTGTAACATCTTTTTCTCCTTGTGTTGGACTTACAGAAAAACAAATGTTTCAAGGGCTTTTATATTAAGTTTAAAGTTTTGTAAACAGATCTATGACTGCTAGACAGACACTAAGTATTAAGAGGGCAATTGGAACTTTTTGTTGCTGGAATACTGAGTAAATCTGTTTGGCTGGTTGTGGTTTAAATTTGTTCCTTTTGTCATCATCAGTATTCAAATCATCAGAATCTTCAGCTTCATAAATGTGAGCTGCACCACCATCATAGGCAACAATGCACGTTTCATCTTGAAAGTCCTATGAAAAAAAAAAAAAAACCTTTAAAATTTTGGGGAAAAGTAAAGACATGATAAAATGTAACATAGTTTTCTGACCTGATGATAGAATTTTGAAAATTTACGAATTATTTTTTTAGGTAAGGAAAGAAAAGAATCTACTTTACTGCTCTGAGGATGGTATTCTATGCAAAGAGTGATGAGAGCCAGTACTGTTAAAAAAATATTTATCCACTGTAAAATCCCTGAAACACAGAAAACAAACTGTTATGTAATTTGTGCCATAATACACATTTTTTGGATACACAACTGTAGTTGCATTACAAATATACTTTTACCAGTGTCAAAAGTGGATTGAGGTGACAGTCTATACTTTTCTTGATTGTGATATTTTGTTCTTACTGTCAAGCTTAGATTACATTTCCCACAATCTTTTGATAATTCTACTACATTCCAATCAACATTCCACTTTTGGTCAACACTACAAGTGGAAATCTGAAAAAAAATAGCAATGTGCTCATAGCAATTGATGAAAATTATCTGTTATTTGTTTACACACGCATCTTATACTTACTTCAATGCAACTATTAGATTTGGAATTAAGTGTTGCCATAATGGAGCAAGACAATGTATCTTGATTTTCGTCATGTTTACAAGGCAGTTTTAAATGCAGATGAAAATTCAAAGAAATTTTTTTATCATAATTCACCTGAATGGGTCCAGGGACCAATTTCAACCAACTTTTGCCTCCACTCGCCGAACTGAAATCACAAAGATGTTCCAGAAATTTTCCTCGTCCAGCACCAATTATTTTAGGTGACTGTCCATACCTGACAACCATGAGATCTGAAATGGCATTATTATCCAGCACCTCTTCCATATCCGCGAGCCAATACTGGGATTTGAGCATCCCTCGGAACCAGGCCGGGTTCCACGCAATGCCCGTGTCGTTCCCGTACTGCCACTCCTGGAAGGGCGAAGCCAGCAGAGAGTCGTTTTGGTCGCTCTGTCTCTCTCACCTTCGGGGCGTCCCGTGTAGGTGCGAGAGAGACCGAGCGACCGCGACGACTCTCTGAATCAGTGTCCAGCCAGGGGCGCGGCCAGGTGGCTCGCGGGGCAGGGAATGCCAAGCCCGGCCCTGCCTGCCCCTGTCGGCTACTCGGGATACTCGACCTGCATGAGCGTCCCGGTCGCCGTCACGGAGCCGTTGTGCACGGCCAGCCTCTCGATGTCCATCTGCAAGGTCGGCGCCGCGGAGTGCGGCGCGCGCGGCGAGGCGAAGGCCGCGGCCACCGAGCCCCGGACTGCCTCAAGCAGGCCGACCTCGGACTCGGACTGATTTACCGCTGGCAGCGAGGGCGACTCTGCGGGAAGGGTTCATCGTGTAAGGAGGGCGGCCCTGGCCTCGGCAGCTCGGGTTCAGACGAGTGCTCACTGTCGCAGTCGATGAGGACGTGCACCAGCCGGTTCCTGTACGTGGCGAAGGTGACGAAGTTGGGGGCGGCGGGGGCGTTGGGGTTGGCCCAGGAGATGAGCTCGCGCGCCTGGCCCGTCTCGCGCGTGCTGTTGTGGTGGTGCACGTCGCCGGTGCCCGCCTTGACCACGCCTCGGCCGTGCGGCGGCACGGACACCCACAGCGGCCGGAACTGCGAGTCCGACAGCAGCGTGGGCGTGCTGGTGACGGCGGCGCGCCCCACCATCGCCGTCACCCAGGTCTTGGTGTTGAAGTCGCCGCCGAAGACGACGTGGTGGACCGCCTCGCCGCGCCGCGAGTGCAGCCGCTCGGACACGAGCACCTCCACGTCGGTGGACGCGCGCGCCCAGAACTGCAGGCGGCCGTGGCCGTCCGCGATGTCGGCCCAGCCCGCGGCCAGGGTGTGCGTGTGAAGCAGGCCGGTCTTGTGCAGCAGCAGCGAGCGGCAGCCGGGCACTCCCAGGCCGTGGTCTGCGGCTGTGGCAAGCGAAGGGGAAGCCCTGCCGTGAAAGGGCGCCGGGCTGCGCCACAGAGCGGCGAGCGCAACAAGAATGGCCGCGCCGCGCTAGCCTCCTGGCCTACCTAGCGAGCCTGCCCCCCGCAAAGCTCCGGAGTCCGGCAGGCGTGCCCAGGCGTGCCTACCCGCCAGGCGGCGTCCCGCCAAGCCTCACCTGCGTGCTCGCTGCCCCCGGCCTCGCCGCCCTCCCTGGCCGTGCACGCCTTGCACACGGTGAAGGCCACGTCGCCGGGCCGCGTGCTGCCGAAGCTGAAGGCTTCCACCTGCAGGGGCTGCGTCGTCTCGTAGGTGAAGAGGGTGAGCTTCGCTGAGGCGTCGGCCTGGCGAACGAATGGCGTGAGGCAGGGCAAAGGCTTGTGCTGGACGCTGCAGACTGATTCAGAGAGGCATTTCACTCACTCCTGGGGCGTTTAGTGTGGGTGCGGGAGAGACAGAGCGACGGAAACGGCTCTCGGAATCAGTCTGCTGGGGATGAACGCGCTGAAATGCTCACCGGCTGCGCCTCCACCTCCAGCCGGCCCGTCTTGTTGCCGTCGGCCGCTTCGTCCGTCCTCCAGCGCAGCCACAGCTGTAGGCTCCCCGCCTCGAACAGAGGCTGGTGGAGCAGGGGCGCTACGGGCGACGGGCTGCCGCGGATGTGATGGTCGGCGTGCACCAAGAGCTTGGACTCGTTGGCGTGCGCACCGAGGACAAGTTCGTAGCGGGGTTGGCCGGGCAGCACCCTGGCCGCGCTGCTCAGCATGACGCGCGCGTCCTCCGTGGCGGTCACGTTCACGGCCAGCGTCCACCGGCCGGCGGCGTCCGGCACGGCGTGCTCCCGCCACAGCAGCTGGACGGTGTACTCCTCGCCGTCCTTGTCCGGGCGCGCGGTGCCATGCGCGTAGAACGTCCTGCACCCCGGGGGCACGGAGGCGCGCTTCACCGGGGCGGCGGGGAGCGCGGAACTGGTGGCGGAGCCGGCGGTGGAGCTAGCGACGGTGGTGTTCACTGCTGCGGCTGCGGGAGGAGCACACGCGTCTCAAACCCGGGTGCGGACACGGTAGGGCTGCCTTCAAAACGCAAAGTGGCTTACCGTTGCCAGGGTGGTCGGCAGCCTGCGCGCCGGCAGCCAGTAGGAGGTGCAGGAGGCACAGGGCCACCCACAGCGTCCGCTGCCGTTCGGCGCGCCGTCGTGTCACGGCCGTGGCCATGGCCCTGAAGATCCCCGCGCCCGCCGGCAGCTCTGCCCTGCTCCGCCCCGTGCCGTCTTGAGCCCGTCGGCGACCAGACTGCGGGCGGCAGCCGGTGAGGGACGACCGGGCTGTCGCTGACGGCCTATCTCAGCCGCGGTGGGCTGCTTCCGCGACGCCAAAACACTGCGGCGGTTTCGGGCGCGCCTTCGGCCTGTCGGCCTCGCGGACGCGACCCGTGCCAATCGCGGCCAAGCGCGGCGCGGGTGTGGCGGCCGGTGGCGGCAGTGGCGGCCGAGATTGGCATGTGCAGCCCTCGCCCTCGCATTCGCACACATCGTTATCGAGGACCTGCCCTGCCTAATTTCCTCCAACACCGCGGGGCCAGGAACAGCAGGGTCGAACTGCCGAGTGATTCGGAAGTCTCGTCCCCCGTCTCTCTCACACCCAGACGGAGAGCGCCGTGAGTGCGACGGAGACGAAGCTTCTGAATCGCTCGGTTGCGGAACGAAGGGTGACAACACGCCGCCAGGAGCGGCCCCGCGTCCGCCCCATGTAGGCGGTGCCAGTGCCTTACTGTACCAGTGCCGTGCCACGCATGACGGGCCGGACAGGCATTGATGGGTCTCGCTCCGCAACGCGCAACGGGGCGCAACGCGGCCACCCGTGAGGGACTTCCCCGCCGCCGCGCCGCGCCGCGCCCAGACTCTGGGCCCAGAGCGCGCGAGCGGCGCGGCAGTGCAAGGCGAGGCGGAGAAAACGGCGCCGGTTGCGCCTCAAGAGCCTCAGGGACGCAGGGACGGACGCACTGGACGGCCGCGGTGGTGCGGCGGGTGGCCGTCAGCAGCGTCGGCAGGCTAGCACTGTGCTGACCTGCTGACCGTGCTACCAATGTGCTAGCACTGGGCTACCACTGTGCTAGCACTGGGCTACCACTGTGCTTTCAGTGTACTACCACTGTGCTACCACCGCTGTGCTGATGACCGCGAAGACGTCGCTAGGCAAGCCAGCCTCGCACTGCCGTTGCTGTCCCTGTCTCCACAGGCCGCGGCAACGCGACACGTGCCGCTCCTGGCCAAGGACCCCGCGGCCTGCCTCGGCGATAGCTCGAATATCGGTTCAAACAGTTGCAAGTGCAGCAGGGCCTACAGGCCGCCTCGCAGCACGTGAGCGCACTCCGCGGCAGCGACAACGACCCTGCTGCAGCCGCCACTGATTAAAAGTCCTCGAGGTCTTTGTTGCACGCGCCGGCAAGAAAGTGTACTGCACTGCCAAATGGGATTGTTTGGTTGCGAGATAAGGCCACGCCGATGACAGCCAATGACAACCTGCCGTACCGGCCGAGGGGCCGACTCTGGTGAGATACGGGGTCCAGGGCTATGTGCAAGCGCTTTGCGTTTCGCCGAACCCGCCGCACAGTGGGGCTGCGCCAGGCTGCGCCGAACTGGCCAGCGGCTGGACACCGCGTCGAATGCAGCCCCAACGCCGCGGGCGGGAGGGCAGAGAGTGCGCGGAAGGGGAGAGGAGGGGGCAGGATCGCACAAAAGATGGGAAGGACACCCTTTGGACACGATCTGGCGGTATAAAGGCTGGGCGGTCGGGTGGACGGGGCACGGTGTCGGATCCGAACTATCCAAGCCAACGCCACAGCACCGCCGTCATGAACGCCAGCTCTGCCCTGGTGAGCTCCAAGCGCACGAGGCATGCGGCACGACGGTGTTCCCCGCGAGGCAGTGACCGCTAACGCCGAGGTTCATTCGCAGGTCCTCCTCGCCTCGCTCCTCGCCGTCCTGGCTGTGGGTGTGGCCGCGCAGGCCCGCGAGGCTGACCTCAGCCCCCGGGAGCAGGTCGAGCAGGTGCAGGAGGCCGAGCAGGCCAACAAGAAGGACAAGCGGGGCCTGTTCGGGCCCGTGTTCGGGTACGACGGCTACGCCCAGCCGGCCGCGTCGCCGTACGCCGTGCCCGTGGCCTACACGGACGCCTACGCCGCCGCACCCTACTCGCAGGCCTACTCGCCCTTCTACGCCGCCTACAAGACGCCGGCGGTGGCCGCGCCGTACGCCCTGGCCGGCGGCTACGCGGGCCACGTCGCCAAGGTGGGTGGGGCGGCCCGGCCAAGCCGCGCGCCGTCGACGCAGGCAACCCTTCGCGCTCGGGCGTCGCATGGTCTGCTCTTTCTTGCTCTTGTTGCAGGTGGCGTACAGCCCGGCCTTCGCGGCACCCGCCGCCGCCGCCTACGCCGCCTACACGGACGGCGTGTACTCCAAGGTGGGCGCGTACGCCTTCCCGGCGCCCTACGGCTACGTGCAAGAGGGCTACGTGCAGCCCGCCGTCCACAACGCGTACGCCTACTGACGTCTTCGCGTCGCGGACCCATCGGCCAGCAAGTCATGCCGCTGAGTCGTCTCATCACTAGGAAGTCTTTCTAATTTTATTTATTTATTTATTCTGCTGTTTATGTTTTTGCATGTGTGAATAAAACATTTGATCCGAAAAGAAATGTGCAGTTTTCTGACTGCACTCACCAAACTCCAGACGAACTCAATCACTCACGCCCAACAACGCAGGGTTTTGTGCCAGGAGTCGGGGTTGAACCGCCAACCAACTGTTCAGAAAACTGACACCTTCGACATAGAAAAGCCCCGCAAAAAAAAGGAACGTACCGAAATGTACCGAAAACGGGGACACACGGCAGTGCCTGCTCCTGTCTGGTTGGAATATGACTTCCCATTGCAAAAGTCTGCTGGTCGATGACGCACGCAGCCACGTGACCTGGGAGCGTTATTCACTTATTTCCCTAAGGCTTAAGCTATTTTTTATGACCGGCTGGACCTCCAAGTGTTTACTGTGCGAACGCATATGGCGCGCAGAGACAGGGGCCCTGAGCCCATAGAGGAGGCCACCAGAACGCTTTCATGCAACTTGTAATTTAAAAGAAAAATAACGGTAAACAATGTTAATGCTAAATTATCGCAGGGTCCCAGTCGGAAATCCATCAGCGATTCGACGTCGACTCGACGTCGAAGATCGATGGTCGATGTTGGTCGAAATTAAGATCGACATCGACGAAAATATGTCACGGATATCGACGCTATGGCGATGTCCATTCGACGTCGAATCGACATCGAATCGACATTGATGACAAGGGTGCTGAAACGATGCTCGGACTAATGAAAACCAAAGGGTGACGCATAGGCACTGATAGCAACGCACTGTGCCTCTGACTGAAAGGGTATCTGGGGTTGTTTCTGTGTGGCAGCTGTTAAACGTAATTGGTACTTGGTGCATAATAATATTGATTCATGTCAATAAATGTTTATCCCCTAATGAAAGGGCCGTGAAAAGCAAACTTCGTCTTATGCGCGAAGTTTTTTAGAATCATTTCTCTCCCCGCTCTGGATGCCTTGAACAGCCATCGCCCTAATGCGTAAGACGTATGGCCAAATGAGACATTTTTCACCGCCACTGCCTTGCCGCGCCACGCACCGTAGCGCAAAGGCAGCAAAGGCTGGCGGTGAGGCCGTACGCACTCCATTTCATTCACTTCAATTACTGAAAACGAAAACACACGGCTAATTGGCCAAGAGGGAAAACGGATAATTTTTTTTTGCGGGGGCGAGGCTACACTGTGAAAAGTTTTGGAGCCCAAGACTATTTTACTTGGTTTTACTGGGTCCAGTTGACTCAGTTCTCGGTGAGTTGTGTCTTTAAATCTGTCTTGAGGTGCGGACTGTTTGGCTGCGGCCACAGTGAAATTTCTTGATACGGTGAACACAGTGACACAGTGGCATCAAATTTAACTGTCTTAGCCTTCAAAATGTTTACCGCGCGTAAGAAGAGCGGGTTTTGGAGGGCGTTGTCATCGCGAACCCCTACGATTCTTCACGCAGAGTGGATTGAACATGCGAATATCGCGGTAGCGACGAAGCGTTATATGCAAATGCCATGGAGTCATGGCGGCGCGACGCGGGGAGGCGCAACTGGTGCGGCACTTGGACGCGGAGCCTGGATCGCCTGGATTTGCCTGGAGTTGCCTGAAGTTGCCTGGATTTGCCTGGATTTGCCTTCCTCGTCGCCGCGCCGCATTCCCGCACGCCTATCCTTGATTCGGAAAAAGAAAGAACGAACAAACGCAGGGAGTTAAATCCGCGGCCAGTGATATCCCGGCAACCACAGGGCAGGCGCCGCCCCGCCCCGCCCCGCCCCGCTCCGCCCCGCCCCGCCCCGCCCCGCCCCGCCCCGCCCCGCCCCGCCCCGCCCCCAGGGTCGGCCGGCGAGTGTGATTATGTCCGTAATACTGCGAGCTAACACATACGTTTCTTATATCCCTTTCCTCCCCCTCCCCCTTTTTGAGCCCCTCCCCTCGTCCCGCCCCCTCCCCCGCTCGATTGTTCTGCTAACACTGACCTTTGCATTTGGAGGGCCGGGCGTGTGACGCCGCCAGGCCGCGGCAGCCCGGCAGCACGGCCACTATCCCAAGCGCCCCAGCGCCCAAGCGCCCAAGCCACTAACCGCGGCTTGGTGGCTGCGCGCTGCGCGCCGCGCGGCCGCGGCTCTGGCTGTGATAAGCCGTTGGTCTTTTGCGCGAGTCGCGGCCGCCAAGTCGCGGACCGCCAAGCCGCCACGCCGAGGGCGCGCCGAGTGATTCGACTTTTATTAGAACAACAAGCACAGCCTGCTTCCGAAGGATCGGTTCGTCGCTCTGTCTCTCTCGCACCCCTGCGGGCCGATTTACGAGTGCGAGAGAGACAGAGTGACGAAGCGGTCCTTCGGAATCATCGGACGGCAGAACGCCGAGAGAGGCAACGGCGAGAAATTGGCGCAGCGCGTTCGCACCCGTCACGCTTGGTCTGCCTGCTGACTGAGAGTCGTTTTCGTCGCTCTGTCACTCTCGCACCGATACGGCACGCTCCATGAGTGCGAGAGAGACAGAGCGACGAAAACGACTCTCGGAATCAGTCTGCCTGGCCCGGCCGATGGCCCGGAGGGAAGGGAAATCTTTATTATTGTGCCGTTTGTGTGATCGTGCAGCGCGGCGGCAAGGCGGCGGCGGCCGGCGCCATCGCAGTGTCGGACTGCGAGATGCGCCGCTGCAGGCACTGCAGGCAACTGCAGGCACTGCAGGCAACTGCAGGCACTGCAGGCAACTGCAGGCACTGCAGGCAACTGCAGGCAACTGCAGGCACTGCAGGCAACTGCAGGCACTGCAGGCAACTGCAGGCAACTGCAGGCACTGCAGGCAACTGCAGGCACTGCAGGCAACTGCAGGCACTGCAGGCAACTGCAGGCACTGCAGGCAACTGCAGGCACTGCAGGCAACTGCAGGCACTGCAGGCAACTGCAGGCACTGCAGGCACAGGCACTGCAGGCACGGCCAGGAGCGAGGCGAGCAGGGTGTCCCCTTGTCCGCCGTCGTCCCGTCACAGGAGCTCCGCGAAGAGTCTCATCCCATTAGTACTGTTCCAGAAAGGTTCTCGGTACTCTCGGCACTCCCGTCTCTGTCAAATGAACCATTACGTACGCCACTCCAAGGAGAGCGCGAAGCTGGACTTCGCGCGTCATGGAATGTGTTCGACGGGGAGGATGGGTTTGAACAGCGCTACTGGAAGCGTCCGTTTGAAAAGGTCAAGAAATTATGGGATTCGAACGTAGGTTACCAGGTTCCGAAGTCGACGGCTGTACGATCTCGGCCGCGGCGCGACGCGCGTTGCATCGTTCCTGTCGCCGCGTGACCCTCGAACCCCGCGTGGGTAGGCAGTCCCGCCGACAAGGCTGCGTCCGGGACTGCCTACGTTACCATTACCATTACGGGTTCCCCTACAGACATCTTCTTGACTTGATTTGCGGTTGAGAGACTAGACCCAACCGAACCGAGGCATCACGGACGGACTTTGCCTGCGGACTGATTCCGACCACTGCTCTCGTCGGTCTGCCTCCCTCGCACCCTTATGGGACCTCCCATGAGTGCAAGAGAGACAGACGGACGAGAGCATTGCTCGAATCGGTGTACTGGCGGCTATCGTAGTTCTTGCTATGGCCGCTGAGCGCCGTGGTTCTTGCCCGCAAACCCGAGTTCACAACACTTGTCCATTTTTCATAGCCGCTCGCACCTTTCACGTCAACACTTTGGCTTTCATCTCTATCTCTCTTCTCTCCCTCTTTCTCGCACGCGGCCTGTCCTTTGTCTCGCCCTTCCCCGCATTCTTTCAACATTCCTTCGCTGCAAAGGATTCTGCCGAATCACTCCAGGACACGCGCGGGCCTCGCCTCCCACACCTCTCTCCGATAGAAAAACAACAACAAAAACAACCTCACTACCACTAACAACTACAACAAAAACAACAACGCGAACCTTATGGCCATTCATTTAACCGTGAACCCGAGCCCTGCCCGCCACAGTTAAACATTACACCTCGGCGTCGGCGGGGTGCCCCGGCGAGCTGCAGCCGGCTGATTCCGAGCACTAAGACGCTCTGTCTCTCTCACACCCTTGCGGGACGCCCCATGAGTGCGAGAGAGACAGAGCGACGAAAGCAGTGCTCGGAATCAGCCTGCAGGCCAATTGCCGAACAGACCGAAGAGTGGCTGTCTCTCTCGCACTCATTGCGAGTGTCGCGTGGGTGCGAGAGGGACAGAGCGACGACCGAGCCTGCTGCCGCCCTCCGCGAGATAAGCTACGTCTGAATGGGCGTGACTGTGACGCCCCGGTCACACTAATGAGGCGTGACCGGCCTTGATCTGTGACGTGTGACACATGCGTGGCCCACCGCCAGCATGCCGATTCCGAGCGCCCCTACCGCTCTGTCTCTGTCGCATTCATAAGGATCGCCTCGTAGTGCGATAGAGACAGCAGTAAAAGCATAAAGCATACACGGCAAAAGAAAGTCGCCAAAAAGTGTCTACGCGGCCGTGGCCGCGATCTGCAAAAGCGTCGCACCGCACCGTCGTCCTGGAGGAAAGGGCCGTAACTGCCACTGCGAGGGAAGCCCCAGCCCACGCAGTCGGGAGCTCGTTCTCGGGACGGGCCGCCCCGCCCCGCCCCGCCCCACCCCGCCCCGCCCCGCCCCGCCCCGCCCCGCCCCGCGCAGCAGGCAATGGGCAGTAAACTTGGCTAATTGCCGAGGGTCGTTACGGCGATTGCCTACATTGTTCCCAAATTGCAGACTGCCGGGACGCTTCTTACACTGTGTCCAGTCCGCCGCGCAGGCTGATTCCGAGCGACAACGCTTTCGTCGCTCTGTCTCTCTCGCACCCATGTGGAACGGTCCTTCGGGGTGCGAGGGAGAGAGAGAGAGAGAGAGAGAGAGAGAGAGAGAGAGAGAGAGAGAGAGAGAGAGAGAGAGAGAGAGAGAGAG